ATATTATATTTTATATTATTAGTACAAGGAATATTCTATTCATTTCATGATCATACCTAAATTAAACTAATAAAATAGATATGAAGTACACTATAAATCTATAATGCATATAAATTGAGGAAATATATATATATATATATTTATCTTGATGACGCAAGCATTAATTCGGACCTATAATTAATGTAATAATTTCAAAACCTGCAATCATTTTCATTCGAAAGATCAAAAAGCATACGCAATACACAATTTTAATATTCATAGAGAATTTTATATAGGCCTAAGAAATATTATTTATCTTAATTTCAATATGGATTATGGCCCTAATGTTAATAAAATAAAATAAATCACATTAAGCTAAGCTAGTATTGAATAGAATTGGGCCAAATAAGAACAAAATCAACACAATCAATAGTTTCAAGTTTTATTTATAAGACTATATTTTATCAATTTTTTTTTCTATTATTTAATATTTTAATTTATTTTTAAAAATATTTAACGCCTTTCGTTTATTATGTCAGCATTCATTCATTCATTCATTATTATTATGACTATTATTATTATTCTTTTAAGGTTAAAAATTACTAATATTTTATTTGTGACATATGGGTTTTTTTTTTTTTGTTTGTTTGCTTTTTTATTAAACAGTGGAATTTTAGTTTAAAAATATTTTATAAAAATCAATATTATATATTTTTAATAATTTTAGTTTTGGGGTTTGGATTTTGGATTAGGATTTGAATAGTAAAAATTTTAAATTTGAATAATTGTATGATGTGATATAAATAGGTATTGATGTGATGTTTTGAATGTAAAATTGATTTTTAGTATTATATAAAAAATAAAAAATAGGTATTTGATTTGATGTTTTTGGGGAAAAAAATTGGATGAATAGTTGGATTTAAATCCAATCCTCCAAACACACATATATATATATATATCGAGTAAGGTTCTTTTTTATTTTAATTGTTTTATTATACCATTTTTAAAATTCTTATAACATATATTTTTTTTCTTCTGTCTTTAAAAATTATATTTATCTTTATTTTAATATAAAAATATATGTATGTATAAATTTTTTTTTATAAATATTATTATATTAGTATTTATAAAACATTAATAAAAGTATTTTTTTATTATTTTTTAAATTTATATTATATTGTAATACTTTCTTCTATCTCATTGAAAGATTATTATTTTTTATTTTCGTCCGTCCCAAAACAAGGTTACTATTTTCTAATTTAAAAATTGTACTACCTACTTAACATAATAAATACTTTCTCAACTTACAATATATTACACAAATATCATTATTTTTATATTGAACTATACTAATAAGGGTATTTCTATCTTTTTTTTTATTATAATCCAATATAATACTAATATTTAAAAAATTTAGTGCAAAAAACAAACGTCACCCTTTCAACAGGACGAAAGGGATATAATAATCAATATTAAAAATAAATATAAAAAATAAATTAAAACTGGACAAAAGTAATATCTAATCAGATATTTTATGAAAAAATTAAAAAAAAAAACCGTAGAGTTCAAATAATATTTATTTAGAGATCGGAAATACTAGAACCAGCTCGTGTTGGGAGAACTAGTCGACAGTTAAGATGTTGGTGGTGTTGAAGTCCCGGGAGCTTCGAAGAATCACCTGAAAATAAGGGCTTGTTTGGTGTGGAGTGGGACAGAAGTGATTTGACAAGTCCATTAATGGTGTGAAAGGAAGGATGTGATAATGACACATGACCTCTCCTTGTCAGTCTAGATTTTGGAAAAATTAACATTCTTTGCAAATTTTATTACACTTTTTCATCCAAATACATTCAAATTTTATTTTTTTTTAAAATAAAAAATATATTCATTATAAAATATTTTTATATTATCCATGTAACTCTTTATATTCAATATTAAAAAAAAAAAATAATTCAAATTTAAACAAAAAATGAACAAATTTTTAACTTTTTTATTTATTTAAGACTCATCTAAATAGTTAAATTATTGATATCCATATATTTATCTCTATCTACCCAAATGCCTACACTTCACTCTTAAAATTACTAAATGAAAGGGTATTTTAAAATATTTTTTAAATACAAAAACTTATTTACCAAAAAAATATTATTCTTATTTTTAATTTACTATAAATTCCTTCTTAGACAATTAAGATGGGATGAAGGTAACATTTGTTTAAATTAAAGCTAAAATAAAGTGTTTTTTACTATACAAATATTTCTTATTTTTAAAAACATATACTTCATTCACCCACTATCTATATATTCCTTTTGTTATTATTTTTATTTTTTTTATAATGATAATTTTCACTTAAATAAGAAAAATATTGCTGACCCTACACAATATTACAAGAATACAATAAATAAATAAAAAAAACACATGAGTTTACACAAGTTAAAAAAAAAAAAAAAAAAAGAAGCATCCCTTACATTGTGCTTTTTGTTGGCGTTGATAGTATTTTTAATTTTTAATTTTTTCTATACAACTCAATTTAAAATATATATCAATTTTGTTCCCTCACAATTTGGAATATAATATACATTTATATCTTACTTTTAAAAAATTTTAAGTGGAAACTACTGAGAATTTTTTAAAATTCCAAATATTGAACTTAAATACTAAATTAAAAATACGATTTACTCTCTTTGTTTCTAATTCAAAATATTTTTTACTTTTTGTAATAGATTAAAAATATTACTATTTATTGATTATTGAAATTATATAAGATTGCTTACACATTTTGCGTTGATTAAAAAGAAAAATAAAAGTATTTTTATATAAGTTAAAAATATTTTAATATTTATATATATCACTTTATTATAAGTAAAAGATAAATAATTTTTAATGAAATAAATAATAATAATAATAATAATATATTGAATTGAAACAAAAAGTATTATAAATATAAATATGCAATTATTTATACAATTCAATCGTATATGTACATCATCCCATATTCTGTATACAAACGGATAGAATGATCGTCAGCCGTACGATCGGGTAGAGCCGGCGGGTTGCCCGCGGCCCACAATCCGAGGGATGGGTGGACACGTGTCAACAGCCCATGAAGTCCCTCTCATCCATCAGTGAATTATTACAAGACATTTGTGTACTCAGTTTCTTCCCTTGTGTCTATGTTTGTGATTTTTCTTTTTCCTCAAAAACATATAAAAAAAAAAAAAAATACACTGATTTTAATGCATTATTTTATGCCCAGTCTGCAGACACAGCTGCTTCCCCAAAATCATTATTACTATTATTATTATTATTATTATTATTATTGTTGTCTGAAGATCAACATTCAACAGTACAATAAATTAAGGAAATAATTATATTTTTAAGAGGGAGATGAAAATTGATGTGTGATGATGTCACTTCAATCACTCGTATCTGATTATATGTCTGTCTATCAGTGTTTTGGCTCATTCCTTTTGCCTCTTGTTTTATTATTTCAATTTTTATTTATTATTAGAAATAGGAAATAATGATATACAGAACTGACTACGAGTTACTGCTCTAAAGTAAGTACAGTTAAAAAGATTTTCTGGTGACGTGGGACCCATTCCATTTAGATTTTGTGTCGTATTTTTTTTTTTTTTGTATATTGGAAAAAATATTGATGGCTATTTTGGTTTAGGTTTTGAATGAGTCAAAAGTGTATGTTGTGAATTGTCTAGAATACCCTGTGATGGCGATGGTTTCCCAATCTTGGTTAGGGTGTTTTCGTTTTATATAGGGAGATTGCTTTGAATTGTGTGTGTTCATGAGGGGTATATTAGTAATTGCAGAACTGGGCCCGCTGCCCCGACAATCCTGGGCTGTCTAGTCTTTTCAATATTCAGTTTTTCCATACCTTAATTATTTTTTAAAAAATAATAATAATAATTTTATTGCATACTTATTTTATTTTGCGTATATTCACTAATAAATGGATATAAAAGTTATCTACATTTATACTACTCTATTTTATAATTTAGAATAAATATAATTAATAGATAATTAAAAATATATTAGTAAAAATAATTATTTTATAATATAAATAATTATAAATTAAGATTAAAATAATTAATTAGTTTAATTAAAATAAAAAAAATTAAATTAAAAAATTTAAAATAAAAATATTGGACGGAAATGGGCAATATAGACGTTGTAGATGGAAATGAGGGAATATTTTTTAATACAGAGTAGATCAGAATAAGTAATTTTTAATTAGTTAGTTAGTGAGTCAGGCTTTTATTTGTTTTGACAAGAAACCCAGATTTGGTTCTTTGGAATACTTGGTTCTCTTTTTTTTTTTCTTTTTTTTTTTTTTTTTTATCAAAAGTAATATTCTCATTTAAAAAAACCTAAAATAAATATAATCTCTACATGGAAATTATATATAAAAAACGTTGAAATTGAAGAGTTTATTAGGCCGGGCCCATTGCACCCGAGACTCGACTTGGCCCACTTCGAATTGACAACTTTGGCCCAATTTCCTTAATTGCAGTCTTAATGTACAAAACTAAAGAATTACAGTGTTTGTCATACACAAATATATATATATATATAGTTACCTAAGAACAAACATTAATTTTTTATTTTTTTCATTCTAAGTTCATCACCTATTTATCAATTAACACTACAGACAAAGCCTAACTTTCATTAAAAATAAAAATTTTAAAAATGAAAACCCCCTAAAACCAAACATATATACGGTTTTGTAAAGTTTTTATATTACTATAATTCTTTTCCCAAAAAAACCATAAAATCAAACAATTAATTTTACATTCAAAACATCAAATCTAAATACCTAATTATATCCCATTAACAGCTATTCTAATTCCAAATTTTATATTCAAAACTCAATCACAAAATTCAAACCTCTAACAAACTCAAATAAAAATTGTCTCTTTCATTCAAGTTCAACACTAAACTTTCATTCAACACTATAATAAATGAAAATTCTCAAAAAAAAAAAAAAAACACAAACAAACGCAACCTTGTTTAATCCAGATATCAGAATATATAGAGGATTTATGTAATGAAACATACACAAGTAGAATTATCCAACATTTCACAATTTCTTCAAAAAATTGTAGTTAAATTAGCTAACCTCTTGCATTGCTTAATCATGATGCACCCATTCCTGCTTCAAAGGCAGCCAATAGACAATTTTCGGAGTCGGGAATTTCTCCGGCAAAAACTCGACAGCACTCTTCAACGTTTTCTTTCTTGCCGCCACTTGTACACAGGTCCTGAGGTTGGAGTAATAATCTCATCTTGGCCAAGTTTCCGTTTCTTGCCCTTTTTCTGTTGTGTCAAAATCATACAAAATCGCATTAATGCCGGAAAATAATGTAATAATATGTATTTAATGCTTGTGTTTGAATGGTAGGCATACCCGCAATTCTTTCTGCATTGTCATTTCCCCATATATTTTTTCTAGGTCTTTTACTCGGCTTTTTCTCGCCTCTAGTTCCCGGTAAGAAGCAGCTGTCTTTCTGGAGATCGGTTGAAAAAAAAATCAATTGAATGCTTTGAAAGTAAACAAGAAAAATATGATAACCATGATATTAATAATTAAACAAAAAATTAGTTCCATACTTTTTAATTGCTTTTGGCAAGCTTTCAAACTTGGGGGTCTCCCCATGTTTCGAAGAAACCTGTGCTCGAATTTCTCGCGCCTCCTCCCTGAAAATTATTACAGCATAGTGAATTACTGCAGGAATAACATGTAATAAGCTATTCCAACAATACTAGGGAACCCAGAAACTTAATTTCAATGATCAATTAGGAATACAGGTGTATGTATGTATTTATACATATATATATAAAGTTGAAAATAAGAGCAAACACAAGAAACTCAAAACAGGCAGACAGCTCAAGAATCAACCATATAAATTATATATACAAACCAGTCTTAGAGATAAAACAAGAGTAAATCATGATCGCACGATGTTATACTTACATTTACTTTGAAGGATAACTATAAAAGAAATATATATATATATATATATATCAAAGATGCCGTGAAAAGCTTAATAATCACCTGTCTTCAGCAAAATATACATGGTTGCTAGATGACGGATTGTTCAGAGAATGCAGCATACCACTTAGCTTTTCGATTTTCTGTACCAAACAATATAACGAGCTGAATCAACCAACATCATCCTTAAGTTTAAAAACAACATTGACAACAATGCACTCAAAAGTTTAAGATTAGAACCTTCTTTTCTGATTGAAGTTTCTGCATTATATATCCAATATCCTGAGTCTTCATCAACATGATCTCTTCAGGAGTGTACTTGTTCGATTCACCCCTTTAAGATTCAAGAGTTTGTATGCAATTAAACATATTTGAATCGTCACACAGCATAACATACAACTTGACATGAGATTTTCTATCTTACTGCAATCTATGTACTCCGCCAACAGTCTTTGTCTTGATCATTTTGAAATAGAACTCATCTGGATTCCTAAATGCCGCTTTTTCCTTAAGTTTCTGTATAAGTATGGGAAGATATCATGAACAGTCCTTCAGTAATTCCCAAAAATTCACTCATGAGGCCTAATTACAACAAGCAAACACAACATCACAGAAATTACCTGCAGAGTCTGCTGCTTTTGTTGATAAGCTCGTGCACGCTGGACATAGTCCTTGTGTTTTTCAAGCAGTCCATATTTCCTTCTCGAATGCCTGCACGCAAGGATGCCATCGGATAATAAATAATGGAAGTACACGAGTGTGTGCGCGTGGTAAGAACTTGCCAAATTCAAAATCTAAATCAAATTAAACATGAGCATTAAGGAATTCTTTCCTATGAAGAACAAACAGAGGAAAAGTTCTTACGGCTGAGCTCGCTCCTTGTGAGCTTTTCTCGGAATAGCATTCCTCAGAGACGACATCTGTTCAGCCATAAAAAAAAATACATATTCAAACACAAAAATACAAAAATCATTACAAGAAAACAAACAAACCCAAAAATAGATGCCAAAAATCCACAAGTCGAGATTTCAAGAACTAACCACAAACTTATTCGCACAATCGCTAGGGCAGAATAACAGTTACAAACAATTGGAGTATCTTCAAATCACAACACAGTGATCAAACGTGAATAAAACAACTGTTAATTGTACACTAGGAAATGCGTCAAATGTTAAAAGCTTTTATTGCACAAAGAATAAGAAACAAGAAACACAATATTGTACGCTCATACCTTGGGAGGGATTGAAAGACGAGGCGAGACTGCCAAACGGCGATTGCGACTTCGGAGTGGGGGAGGAGACGGACGACACGACTGCCGGGGGGGCGGGGGGGAGGGAGCCGGCGGCCGGCGGCGGTCTGCGAGGAATCGATCGGGACGAGAGCGACTGTAGCCTGCGGTGGATTGAAATTGGATTTGGGCTATTGGATATTAGGGTTAGGAATTTTGGATTATTTATTTTAGTAATTAAATTATTTAATAAAATATTATCAGTATAGTATATATTTTTTTATATTTTTATAAAAATAAAAATAACATTAATATTAATAAAATAAATATTGATAAAGAAAAAATAAATAATAATATAATATATAAATTTGTATTCATGTTTTTAAAATTTATTTTTTTATTATAGAATTATATTATTATTCAATACATTAATATTCTTCATTTTTTATTTTTGGCAATTTAGTAAATTTCTATTATAATTATAAAAATATACTAACACTTATTTACATAAATATAGATATCTAAGTTTTAAAGTTCAATACCATTCTTAACATTATCTTTTAATTATTATTAATACTATAAAATTAACTATATGTATTTAAATAAAATTAAAGCTGGAATCGTTATTCTTTAATAAAATTGAAATTTAAAAATAAATGAGTAAACCGTAATTAAAAATGTTCGATTTTGTTTCAACTTTTTTACAAACTGAATTTAGTGGTTCCAACAGTTAGAGCAAGTCTAATTGCACCACATATGTTTATTTTAACATGTTACACTTTTTAGTAATTTAAATGACGTCAAATTTTACAATTTTATTAAAAAAATTATTATTTTCTATCAACATAATTATTAAATTATAAATTACTTTGTAAATAAAATAACCATATCAATAAATTTACTTGATATATTGAACAACAAATATAATTGAGAATACCATCTAAAGATAAAGCATTTGAATACTTTGGTAATATTATTAAATAGAATATAAATTAATAAATGGGCTAATAAGTCCACAAAACACACTTCCAACGTTATTAATAATGGAAGGAAATTTCATGGAAATTAAGAATGAAATAATAACGCCACAGACAGCCCACCTGCAGAGAAAATTACACAAACAAAAAAAAAAAAAAAAAAAATTAATGCCGAAAGTGACCCATTGTCTATCACGACTTTTCCCAATCTTAATTTAATTTGCGTTTGTGTTTGCGGTTGTTTGTTTGTAGTTTACAGCCTTTGTTTTTATGGTATTAATTATCACTATATTAATGTTTCTCAACAAATAAATCCTTAATATCTCCTTCTATATAATAGAATAGAATAGAATGAAGAGGTAATAGTTGTAAAGATAAACACAACAATAATAATTCAATTATGAAATAAGTCACTTTAGAAGGGTCGAGGTTTTGAACGCATGGATCTCATTTAGGAACTTATCATCATCATCATCATCATTATTATTATTATTATTATTATTATAAATGTTTGTGGTACATACATTGCATTGTATCGTATGGCATGTGGTGGTATAGTAGTGGTGCACATGTTGTAAATTTCCTCTACTTTTTCCAACTTTCCAACCCACAATCCACCAAACGCGTCTAACATCAATTATTATTTGTAACTATATATATATATATGATTTAAAAATAGTGCAATTTGATACTATGTTTGTAATTTTTTTGTAAGAAAATAATTTAATATCTATAATTGACTTCCAATTTTCGATTGGTTTTATTTTCACATGTCACTCTATTTCAGTTCGGTAAATTAAGGGTAAAAACAAACAAACAAACGCGCAAACAACCTAACCGTAATAACATGTCTGCCTACGTGGCTCAGTCTCCGCCAATTGATTGGTCAAGGAGCACTTTCTTATGCCACATGTCAACATTCTATTGGGTACCAAGAAAGTAGCTTCCATTTTGTGTTAAAAATATTTTATTTACTTGTTTTATTTTTAAAATAATATCATTTCCTGTAATTAAAGCATACAAAACGATTTCACTAAAAAAAATTATTTATTAATACTAGTAATTTATTTTTGCGTTAAACGTGACACTATATACGAAGGACACCTGCAATCGCAGCCGTCCGATCGATGAGCTGATTTTAGATTCACATCATCCAACGGTTAAACCACATACCCAAATTTATGCGATGTTCATGCAAAAGATCCTCCCAATAATAAATAATAATAATGACAAAAGAGAAAGGATAACGAGGAGAGGCTTGGCCAATGGCAAATTTTCAATTATTTTATTAATATAATAATTTAAAATAATAATGAACAGAAAATTAATCATCGCTGAAGATCCATCATACGGCTGAAATCGTCGAAGCAGACGAAGCCGTCGCCGTTACTGTCGACGCCTTTTATCATGCGCCGGCAGTCCTCTAACGTGCACCGGGCGTCGCCGATGGTACGGAAGACGTTGAAAAGCTCCTCCGCCGTGATCCTGCCGTCACGATCTGAGTCGAAGAAATCGAACGTGTCTCTGAGCTCGGTATCGCACGTCGGCGGCGCGAAGGCGGAGCCGATCGAGTAGAACTCCTCCAACGTGATGCAACCGTCGCCGTCGCGGTCGACTTCGCTGAGCATAAGCTGCATCTCCTCCTGGCTCGGTGGCTCGGCGCCGAGCCGGCAGAGCAGCGCCTCCATTTCCTCTTTCCGTATCTTTCCGTCGCCGTCGCCGTCGATCATCTCGAACGCCTGTTTCAGCTCGAAGTACGCGTCGGCCGAAACCTCCGACCACTCCTCGTTCGGAAGGACGCTCGTCGGCGTCGACAAACCGTTAGGCTTTTTGAAGACGTCCTCGGAAGACGCCGACGACGACGTCGTTTGAGAGCTAAACGACGACGGATCGCCTTCCGATCTGGAAACCGATCGCGATTTCTTCGATTTGAACAGCCTCCGGGGGATGATTCTGACGAGCTTCATCACGGAAACCGGATCGAAACCTGCACGGAAAATTCTCCGCAGGAGAGGATGCAGCTATGAAGGAAAGTGGAAGCTGAGGCAACTGTGGGAGCGAGGGAGGGTTAAATGCGTGAGGATTTGGGGACTCCATAGGTGAGCTTCCAGGAAGCTTCCTGGAGAGAGAAATGCGAACTTTTTCGGTATTTATTGGTATCGTAAGGGCGTGTTTGGTTTACCCTAAAATAGATAAATTAATCAACTAAGCAATAATTTAATAAATCAGTCTAGAAAAACTGCCTTGGTAGAAGTGTAAATTGGAAGGCTGACTTTATAATAATCCAATATTTGGAAGTGTAAATCTCTCCAAACAGCACTACATAAGTGAAATAAAAATATGCGTTATATTTATATGAAATTAACAATAAGCTGTGCTGAATTATCTGCTTTTGAAATATTATTATTTAAATAATTTAATTTTTGACAATGTTTGAGAGGTTATTGTGATTGGGAAAGTGAATATTCTAATCCAAAAAGAGGCTTGTTTGCTAATGCTTTTTTTGACTGGTGCATGTGCTCGTTTCAAAATTCCTCACAAGCATGCCTTATGTTTTAACATTTGTTTATTTGGACCAGAAAGAATGTTGTATGAATCATCTGTCATCTTGAGTCACATGTCCTATCCTTTTAACTATTTTGGACAAGTAAATAACAGTTCAGCTTTGTGCTTGTTAAAATACATTCATACATATATCATAATAACAAAAAATAATACAAAAATACCAAGATAAGTACAATTAAGGGCAGAGACACAATTCTTTTCTTACATACAATCATAAGTATACAATTGATCTTTTAATCTATACATACGGTGCTCTGATTTTATTTTTTTCCAAATAAAAATTATCAAGCAATCTCAATTACAACCCAACTTTCCTGTGGAGCCCACAAATATCACGGGTATATTCATATTCTACCCTACTCTGCACAGGAGCAATACTCCCGGGCCCCACCAACAGTAGCACGCGGAGAAGGCGGCGGCCGGCCGGCGGGTAAATTAACATACGGCGGCGAAACCAAGGCTGACTGAAGAAAAAGGCTGCCGGAAAAAGACACCGAGTTGGCTCACTCACCACCGCCAGGAACAGGTATAGTATACATACAACCCAGCATCTTCTTGTCTTCCCCAAAACAAATCTAATCAAATCAAATCGAATCAAAGCCTGACCTGTCTCCAACCAATCATCATGTGGAATCAAATGCGCGCCGCGGGACATTGGACTGCAACAACAAATTAGTATTTAATTTGATAGTTTTTGAAAAATTGAATAGTATCGAAATCCTAAATGCAAGTCTTGTGTAAACAAAGCTTCAACTATTGTAAATAGAACTCACCAATTCGATTCAATTTTTGTCGTCGTCGTCGTCGGTGGTTTCCTCGTCCGGGCAGTCGAGCTGTAGGCACTCGGCTGCATTGTCCGAATCCCTTACTCGATCGGATTGATTTGAATTTGAATTCGACGGTCCCTTCTTCACGTTGTTTAATACAATGCCGTTGCACATTTGCTTCGTATGAAGGTCGACTCGTGGTGCCACGGTAACTCCAGGATTTTCGACGCTCGGGGGGACTAGGTTATGCACAAAGTCTACGAATTCGTTGGCTGAGGTAGTCCTCATCAACGGGCCACCGGTTCTCGTCCAAGAATGGAGGTCAACATTTTCGAGATCGTTATTGCTTCCATTGCGCAAATTCTTCATGCCATGTGCGGCTGGGGCAGGGAGATCTTCGAGGGAACCTGTCGAGCTTTCGTGGGCTATGACATTCCACGACGGGATTCTCCTCGACGCATTGGATTTGAACGGTGACGGGAGACTTTGAAAAGAGGCAGCAGCTCGGTCGACACTTCTTTCCAATCTCCGCCGATGGTTGAGTATCGTAACACACTCATCGAGCGCGAGTTCGATCGCACAATTCGCTTTTATAGTCGATAGCTTCTCCCAAGTGCACCTCCTCCCCTGATTCGCGGCTTTCTGAAGCTCGCCATAAGACGGATTCTGTATTATCTTCAACAGCTGAAAAATCGAGGAAGCCAATCAATCTAGTCAAATTAATCTCGACAAATATATAAACTTCATAAAATCTAGCATCATCGTCATGGTCCTTACTTGAGATAAAGTGACCGGCATAACAACAGTTACGTCGCCCTCCCAGTCCTGCGCGAAAAGCTTGGCAAGTCCTCCGAGGGGAAAGCCGAGCTCCATTATCTGATTGCATCGATGTTTTACCTCCATCTCGACGAGATGAGCTAGCTGCATTGCAAGGGGACTCGATTATCAGTTTCTTTAGCTTAAGACAATGCTAAACAATTGTAGTGACAAATTCTAGAATCGAATTTTGAAAAATCAACCAAACATACCTTTGCAGCGAAGTTGCCACCGTAAGCTCTAATGATCTGCTTCATCCTCAGCAAAGGTGCAATGTGAGGATTCGCTTGGCTAACTATAAAATGATTCACATTAAAGAGTTCTTTCAACTGCATCATCGGCAAATCGATCTCCAGGCTGCCATCTCTCCACCGGCGAGCTGAAGCACTCGGAGCCTCGTCGGGTCCCAAATGAAATGGAGGGTGGTAAGGGACGATTTCTCCCCTCCTATTCTTAGCCATGAGTTCTTGAGCTTCAAACAGACCAGGAAAAGCACACGAGGCCGTCACAGCACTCCATATGACGACATGAGGAGAAGTCAAGTAGTTGAGGCATCGAGGCGGCTCGTGCTTCCTAGGGGAGCAAACTGTGATCCCCAATATCCTCCCCGTTATATCATAAGCCTCTTCGAAAGTTAGATTATTCGTGAGCTCCCTCAGCATCACCTGCAACTGTCTAATGTCATGAACTGCACCACGCATCATGACCCTCTTGAATGTCGAAAAAATCCCACCTAATCTGTCGAAGAATTGGATAGAATACCAAGATTCCTCGAAGAAACTCTGCAGCTCGGGCCACGACCTCGTGGCAACAATAGAACAGATAATCGACCCTACGCTTGAGCCAGCAACTATCCGGGGCAGGAGCTTCTGCTCTACCAATGTTTTCACCACTCCGACATGGAAAGCTCCTAAAGAAGCACCACCACTTAAGAGTAAAGCTGTTCTACCAAAGGTATGCCTCGTTTCGTGCATGAAAGCAAGTCTCTCCTCCCAAAGAAGATCCTCCGAGTCGGAGGTGCATACCATTCTCAACTGTGTTGTGACCTCGTCTATGTACTCCCTTATGAGCTTCGGGACTTGGAGTCGCCCCTTGTGAAGCTCCGGGTTGCACATATTACCTAAGTTCCTAACAAGGTCAGCCCTCATGTAAAATATGACATCCCTAAGTGAACCTTTCTGGCGACGATGGCGAAGCTCCTCAAGTTTATTTCTTACAAGCTCCACATCGTAGAGGTTCGCTTCATTCGTTTTTACCGACTCTTTATCCAGCATTTTAGCTGCATGAGCCCATTCGTCGTAGGTCAATGCTGCCCTCATCATGTTCCTCCAAAACTTTCTCCTATACGCCATCTCTGCCTTCGATTTCACATTTGTGTAGCGCTTGAGCATGAAGGCGATTACCATAACCATTATTAGAATCGCTTGGGGATTCTGTGGGTGTAAGGATGAGATTACAGGAGACAAATAGTGTCTCAAACAATACTTCAACTTGTCAAAGTATTCTAACAATAATCGAAAGAGCTGATGCTTCAGATGAGACATGGAGTTGCAGAACAATACTCTACATGCAATGGCTCTACCAAATAGTGTCGAAGGACCAATGGAGAAAGAATCAAAAATAGCCTCACTACTTATTTCCATGGCTTCTGGTAATTTAAAACCTAATCTCAATCCCTAATGGTTCCTACTTAAAACTTGCAGAGACAATTATTCAACAAGCAATTAGAGAAATTTCGATGTATCGGAGGAAAAGAACGAAGAATCGAACAATCACAGCCTTAAACCATTAACAAAAAGTCGAAGAATCAAAAAGCCCCAAACCTCTCAATCCAAACCCTAGAATGCGAAATAACGCCAAAACAACTTCGCACCCAAAATTCCCTCATTCGACGAACTTAATCAATACATACCTACACACGAATTGAGAAACAAGCTGGAAATATATGCTATAACTGGAGATTAGAATCAAATGCGTACAAGAGGAGATGAAATAGGCGCGTTCCCTTTGCAGTGAAGAAACTAATGTCAATCGGCAGCTTGTTTGTAAGCAGAATTGATTCAAGCGCCCCAAACAATCCACGCATGCCAATAATCGCCGGTAGATTGAAGAGCATAAAAGCTGTATATATCCTGGCGGGTGGATAAGGATGATGACAAAACATCGCCTCTGCAAACGTGTTTCACCTGTCAATCCAATCCTCGCTTTCAGAAACGTCCCTTGGGAATTAAACATTAAGGGTGAACCCTTTGGAATTATACATGAACAAGTCAAGGAGTGGGTGCTCGGTAGCCTAGGTGGGATTGTTCATTGTTCGATGACCTTAGCCGATTAGGCGATTAATGGGTGCATTTTAAATTTTAATATATATATTACCAACAATTTGGGCGTGTTTATTTTTAACTTTTTTTTATTATTTTTTCGAATAAAAAAAAATGCATTTTTATTTTATAAAATACTTCTTTCGTTTTGGATGAAAATATATATATATATATCTATTTTATATTAAATTAAAAAATAATAATATATATTTATTTTATATTATTTTCATCTTGCATAAAATATTTTATTTATTTATTTTATTATATTTTAAATTTTATAATTTTAATTAAATTAGATAATTATTTTAATTTTAATTTATCATTAATTTTATTAATATATATTTTAAGTATTTATTAATTACATTTTACTAAAAATTCGTATGTGATAAATATAATGAAAAAAGTATATATTTAGATATATTAAAATAATAATAATAATAATAATAAAAGAAAGAGGAAAGTTCGTGAGGCTTTGAACAGAGGCAAACCGCAAAAGAAAAACGGGCAAATCTTTCCAATTTTTACCGAAAAGTTAATAAATTAATTGTGGAAAGGAAAAGTGCGAACAATCTCGGGTGCAGGTGAAGAAACGATCTACGAATTCTGTCGGCACGAAGATGGACGCCAAGATCAATCAGTTCTTCGAATCTGTGACGAATTTCTTCAGCGGCGGAGATCATCTTCCTTGGTCCACTCCCGATGTCATCGTTGTATGCATGTTTCTCTCGTTTTAATTCGTGATTTTCTCAGCAGATTTCCATATTCGTTCAATATGCTTCATTAATTGCATTGATGTGAAGGAATTTGAAATGTTCTGCTGCCCCCTGCTTATTCCGCATCTAGGTTTTCAATTGCTTTTGTAATTAGAGTATTTTTTGCCTTTTAAAGTTTCATTTTTTGAAAGGGATTTGCAATTTGTGATAATTGAGAATCCGTTTGCGCAAATTCTGTGGTTTCATTTTTTATTGAGGAAATGATGTTTGGTTAGGGTTTTGTCTTTATCTTCATACAGTTTTGGTGCGATTCTAATAATTAATGAACTTTGTCATCTACGAATGATATATCAGTTTGCTGGAATTTTCACTTCGAGCATTTGTTATTCCAACTGTAATGTTTAAGTTTTTAATTTGTCGACAACTTATGGAGTAGTTGTTTTGTAATGTCGGCAGACTATTTTATGAATCTTAAGGACGAGACTTTTGAATTCTTGCAAAGATTATAGTTGCTGCGTGTGTTATGCATAAATAGGTTTTGTTCTTAACTATCTGATGAATCTTAAGGACAACCTTTGGAATTCATGCGAAGATGATAGTTTCCGCGTGTTTTATGCATCCGGGGATTTAGTCGAACGGCCATCGTATTAAATAGATTTTGATCTGAACTATTTGATGAATCTTAAGGACAAGACTTAGGAGTTCTTGCAAAGATTATAGTTACTCTGTGTTTTATGCATTTGGGGATTTAGTCGAACAGCCATTGTATTTGCGGACATTGTATTAAATAGATTATGTTGTGAACTATTTGATGAATCTTAAGGGCAAGACTTCGGAATTCTCTATAGCTTCCGTGTGTTTTATGCATCCGGGATTTAGTTGAGCTGTGTCAGCTGTCATTGTATTGAATAGATTCTGTTGTGAACTATTTGATGAATCCTAAGGACAGAGACTTAGAAATTCTTGGGAAGATTATAGTTGTATAGTTGCCTTGTGTTTTATGCATTTTGGGTTTTAGTGGAACAGCCAATGTACTAAATATGTTCTGTTCTGAACTATTTGATGAATCTTAAGGATGAGACTTAAGAATTCCTGCGAAGATTATAGCTGCCTCGTGTTTTATGCATCCGGGAATTTAGTCTAACAGCCATTGTATTAAATAGTTTTTGTTGAGAACTATTTGATTAATCTTAAGGACAAGGCTTCAAAGTTCTTAGCAAAGTTTATGGATCTCTAGGCAAAGCATGTATTAATAGATATTATTCTAAAACCATACTGTGTTGATTTTGAATCATTATATCAATGTTGTCTGGTGGTGTTTACGGAAGTAAGAAGCCTAAGCATTCTAAGTTCCACACAGGGGTGCGAGCGAGAAGTTGCAGCTACCAAAGATGAATCCGATGATCGAAAGAATGAAAGTATCATGCGACTGTCGTGGGCACTTGTTCATTCCAAACAACCTGAACACGTGCAGCGTGGAATTGCGATGCTTGAAGGTTAAACTTTAGATGGATCGAACTCATTTCTCTTCTCATATCACTGTGAATTGAAGCTCGTGTATTCTATTCTTGATATAGGTCCATAACTTATTCAATTATTTGGTTCTTATCGGCAGCTTCGCTGACCAACGCAAACAGTCCGTTACAAAAGAGGGAGAAGCTTTATCTGCTCGCTGTTGGATATTACAGAACCGGAGACTATTCAAGAAGCATGAAACTTCTCGAAGAGTGCTTGGAGGTTAGTCTTTTTTTTTACGCCATTCACTTACAACATCCTTCGTTTTAACCTGTAATCTTTGATCGGTAGATTGCTCCTGACTGGAGGCAGGCGATATCACTGCAGAAACTTGTGGAAGATAGAGTAACAAAAGGTAATTGCAACAGTCGAAATCTTAACTCAACCTTTTCAGATACAATCGAAAAGTTAGATAAGTTAGGCGAAATTCTTGCCTTCTTTGCAGACGGCGTTATTGGAATTGGCATCACTGCAACTGCAGTCGGACTTATAGCCGGAGGGATCGCTGCTGCCCTCGCTCGGAGGGGATGAACCGTCTCAGTAACATCGTTTGTTCTTCTGTCATCTTTTTATTGATGTAAAGTGTCGAAAGTTTTGTGCTGGTTTATCGATCGTTAGCTCTTACATTTGATCAAAATAGAGACATGTTTATGAGAACATAGGTTTGAATTAAGTCAGGGCAAAAGTTTCCCTGTTTTTCCAGGTTCATTAGCCATCGAGACTTACATGCAATAGAAAACAAGCATAGAAATGCATTACCAAACACATCGATAGGCGACGTGCATCTGTGTTAGTTCGCTGTTGTACGTGATCTTAACGACCTGCCCTTTCTTGTACCCGTAATATCTTGACATTGCATCCTTTTCAGACATACGAGGAAGCTGGAAAGAAAATAGTCGAGATAAGCTAACTCTTTACTTAACTGAACGTTAGGCGACGACAAATTCATGCTAGAAAAAGACTGACCTGTTTTTCGTTAATGCTGTACTTCTTCAGCAGATCCTCCTTTTCCTTGTTGCTCAGGATTTGATGCTTCGGCTTTAGCTCATGCTTCGTGACATTAACGAGCAAGTCCTTGATCTAAAGCGAATGATGAAATAAATCAACTTTGTAGTTTTTGTGCAGAAATAGGCGAAGAGAAGGTATTTGATGCATTACCTCGAAAATTTCGACTTTGAAAGGTAAAACGTCAATAGATTTCAAGGCCTGGCTGGTGATCTTGCTCTGTACGATGAAGATTGCACGTTCCAGTTTCAAGCTGAGTAGCTCAGCAGTAATAGCACGGATTGAATTTACTTTGATTATGCTTGGACCTAAGAACCGAACTTGAAGCTGCAGAAATCATGTATGGATTCGATCATCTCACTGGAAATGAAGAACTCAACAATAGAGGATTCTATCGACTAACAAAGTTCATCATTGGGAATATGCAAATTTTCAGGTAATTGGAACCTCTTCACAGGTCATATATGTCTTCAATTGAAGTTCTACCAAATCAATTCGCCACAGTAGCATATAAAGACGATGGAAACCCTAAATTCCCAAATTCGAGTTATAGTAAGTACAAAATTCGAGATCATCTCACTGGAATGACGACGAACTCAACAATGCTGAGGATTCTAACAATCAACAAAGTTCATCATTGGGAATATGCAAAATTTCAGGACATTCGAGCCTTTTCACAGGTGATATATGTTTACAATTGAAGTTCTACCAAGTCAATTCGTCATAGTAACCAATAAGGACGAAGAAAACCCTAAATCCCCAAATTCTACTAAAGAACATAAACGGAAAAGGGAAATTGCGCGAAGATTCTAGAAATGATGAGACAGACCTTAATCTCAGGATCGTCCATGAGACGAGTATCAATCGTCAAGCTATCAACATCAGGCATCTGGCCGTGCTTGTTCCGAAATTCCTCGAGCGATAGATCAATCTCACGGTTCGGTACTGCGTATCCACGATCCTTGAGCATTTCAAGCGCCGTTCGTCGTGCCAGATAGTACCTGCTGCTTTCAATGTTGCCTTCGTCCACCAAACTTCTCAGGCAGGTCCCAAAGCTCTGCTCTCCGGCGGCGTCGCCGTCGTCGTCTCTATCCATAACTCTGGTAATTTTTCCCCGCTCGTTTTTTTCCGCTCTTTTCTGACCTAAGTCTGTGTTCTACTACAGTTTTAAGGGCCTCTTTAGGTTACCTGCGGGTGACCTTGGGCCGGCCACAGCCTTCGTTATTATTATTATTAAGTACTGTATTATTTACTATAAAATATCGTTAAATTAACATTATCAGTTGGATTTTTCCTTCTAAATTTTTTAAGAGATTTTTAATTTTTAATTTTTTATTTTTTATTTTTCAAGTGAAATAATACGTTTACATTACACTCCAACCAAGATGAGTACATTTTACACATACACCATAATACAATTCTACCCATATAATAATATTATTACAACTTCGTACATAATACTAAATCCAAAACATCACACAAACAGCCATAAACTTCAACCTTATTATTCAAGAAACATTCACAAATTCCTCAATAAACACCCGAGCCGAGTCGAGCCGAACAATAACCACCCGTATATATACACATATATAAATAAACACTTCAAAGTCGAACCGACGACGGATACATCGAACGAACCTAAATCAATGCCCGCAACCGGAGCATCGGACCAACCCGTTCTCATTACACTCCGGGCATTCCCTCGCCGCCACTTCCGTCTCCCGGTAAATCTTTCGACTCCCATTGCAATTTGAGCACGGCACAAACCTCGCATCCCCGCAATTCTCGCACACGCACCCTAAATCGATCGTCGGAAATGCTTCCAACAACCTCGCCAATTCACCGGATTCGTTCATCTCCTTGATCTCCTCAGCCCCGCCGACGCACTTCCCGTTGATAAACGCTCGCGGCAGACCGAATACTCGCCCTTTCAACGCTTCTTGCAATTCGATCCGGTACGATCGATCCATCGAAATGTCCCTCTCGTCGACGATCACTCGAAATCCCCTGAAGATCGCGCGCACGGCACAGCATTCCTCGTATGTCTTCCTTATTCCCCTCAAGCTAGTGTAATAGAGGATGATTCGATCCTCGGCGCCGGCCGGATTGATTGATTCGGCCGGCATTTCTTCGAGCTTCCGGAAGCCTCGGGGATGGGTGTTTAGATGATCGGAGAATGTCGCCGGACCGGCAATGGACTCGTCGGATAAATGCTTCCAGAGGGATTTTACGACAGGGTGATCCACGATATCATAGGACTCCATAATTGGAGCTGGAGAATCTACAATGTGGTAATTAAATTCGTCGTCGTCTTCGTCGTTGAGGCCTTCCATGAGTTCCCAAGTGTTGATGACTGAATCAGGGGATAAGGGATCTTCGAAATTGTGGGGCTTTCCGGTTCCAATGGCGGCCGACGGGATCGGCAAATCGTGGCCGCTGGACCTAGGGTTTGGAGAATCGACGATCACGATGGAGCCGTAGGTGGTGGAAGTGAGGGCGACGAAGTGATTGGAGTCGCCTTTCTTCAGGGGGGGGTGGTGCACCAGAGGGGTCGGGAGGGACTGCGCTCTGGCGACCGGCGGCGAGGAAGGATCCGACAACGTGGGACGGGGAGACGGCGGCGAATTGGAGGCGGAATCCTGTCGGTGGGTGATGAAATTGGCGGAGCGAGAAGCTGTGCAGCCCATGGTGGGGAGAAATTGGGGGTCCGATCGAAACCCTAATTTTGAAATTGGGGATGAAAATATGATGGATGGATTATCTGGTTGTATTTATTTATATGTTCGTTGCTTAGCTTGACCAAAAGTACAAATGATTAACAAATTAGTGGTAATGAAGTCTTGATGAAGGAGGGGTGGGGTGGGATGGGGTGGGGGGTGGATGGGATGGAGGAACAACAAGTAAATGCAGTGGGATATATCATGATCTTGGATTTCAGACACGGAGTGAAGGAGATGAATCAACGGTGGTCAAATCTAGAATAAACAACTTCATATCAAATATATATATATATATATTAATGATGTGAAAACAGCTAATTCAATACAAATATTTTTCATCATTTTTAAATTGATCTAATGGCATGTTACATATGGTGTTTTCAAATCTAATTTATAAATAATTATTTTCTATTGAAAATTTATCTCAAATACGTTGGAAAAATAGCGATTGCAGATACTGTAAACAAAAACTAAAATTGTGTATTAGATTATTGGATGAACATATATTTTATATTGATTTAAACTATATATGTATTTTTATTTCCTATTTGTCAATAGTTTATATGTTGTCATACAATATTAAATAATCAAAGTTAGATAGCGTGTTGAATTTCATCTGAGCCCTTATATAGCTTAATTACTTAAATTATTTTTATTTAATCATAACTCTTAAATAATACTACTGTAATACGAGTGTTTGTTTTCAAATTTATATGATTTCACCTCAATATATACTTATATTCTTCTAATCAACACTATTAAATATTATTTAAATTAAGATTTAAAATTCAATTTGAGACCTAGAAAAAACACACACAATTGTTTAATCAAGAATTGGGTACCACACAAATCACGTACACTGTACACACCCACCAAATATCTGCTTGCAACACCGACACAAACATATATGTTTAAAGGTCCAATCTTTAATGGCGAAAAGGGTTTGGTTCAAAGCCAGACCCATGATTACTTTCGAATTTTTTTTCTGAAATCCAAACAGTTTTGGGTTTTGTTTTTTCTCGTAGAGCCCAACCCATTAAGCTACACTCACCTCTCTCTCTCTCTCTCTCTCTCTCCATCCACCACACTCCCTCCCCCTTCTCTTCCTTTCTCTCTATTCCCATTGCCGCGTCGTCGTCGTCGCCGTTCTCTTATTTCGGGCACCGGACTCCATTCCGAGGGCTTAATTTTGGGGGCAATTTTCTAGGGTTCTTAGCCCATTGTTTTCTCGCGTAAACCTGTCTCGAATTCGCGGCGGTTTTGGGGTTTTTTTTCCAAGGGCTGAGAGAAAGAATTCAATGCTTTGGTATGAAGTCTGAGGATTATTACTTCGCTTCCGGTAAGTCTTCTTCCTGTTAAAATTATTGCAAGAATTGGGGATGTGATAAGAGTCTACGATTATATTTAGTTTTCTCAATTTCAATTTCATTTCGGAATTGTTCTTTCTCATCGAATAATGGCGGTTTCTTCGAACTATTTGTGCTCTGCAATTTCTTTCTGACCAATCAATTCATGACCTTAGTGTAAGAAAATTTTCAAATTTGATTGATGGTGAGTGGTTTGCTTTGCTTTGCTATGCCTTTTCTGGATAAGGATCTTGGTTTTGTGAATTAATTGGAGAGTTTACAGCTTCTGATTCTGCACTTTGTAAAAATTTAGTCTACCATTAGGGCATGCCATCATCTGTCGAAAATTTCACCATTTTGTGGATATGTAGAGTCAGTGAGAAATCATCATATCAATAGTTGCAAAAGCAGTGTCTTATGCCCAAATGCGAATACATACATACATATTATATATATTTGTGCATATGTGTGTATATTGCAAGGGTCTGCAATGACCGATTTCAGTGTCGAAACATTCATACAAGTAATGGATTTGAGACATTTTGGTGAAATGGGGAGGTGGAGAAATGTGAATGAAATTTATCTTGAATTGTCAAGAATGCTAAAGTAGACAGTTAATTAGGAAGATCAGTAATCCGGCGACCGTGAAATAACTAGAATTTTCGTTTACGAATATCCTGATCTTAAAATGGCTTAGATTGCTGATCCCATTTTCTTTGTGAAGTAATTTTGCTTCAGAGTCATCAAAATCCGACTGTTCTAGGAGATAATTCAAATGAATTGCTCTCATAAATAAATATGGTTGATAAGAAGATCGAAAGCTGAGAATGTCAGAAGTTGCGTGGACATTAGTATATGCTATAATGAAACCAATACGATCTTTTGTGGCCTGATTTAGTTCAATCAGTTGCCTGAGAAAAATCTCCCCGTCTGCAACTAGTGTATTTCTAACTCAAGAATGAAACAGTAAAATAGACATAAGCATAAATGGGATGCAAATTTGATATTATTTTGGCCAATTTTCGTTTGATCCGAGGTTAGATCAAGTCATTAATATATGTATCTGTTTTGTTTGAAATTTCATGAGCTGGTGTCCTGTTCTGCTTTTGATTGTGTCTATTGAACATTTTTATCGTCCAGCAACTGTAAAAGTTTGTTGATATGTTTCTCTGATCAAAATTTATCCGATTCTTGATCACTTTCTTCGAATCTAATTGAAGAAGTATTATTGGTGGATTAATCTATGTTCTATGATATTAGGCGCTGTTTGAATATGCTTTTACCTTTTGCTTTTAGTTATAATCGGATTTAGGAGTAGTTAGTTGTTTAGATGTTTGCAAATGAAGTTTTAATCGAAAAAAATTTACCGGTAAGTGGTTGGGGATAAAAAGGCAATAATTAATGGTCGGGTTTTTAAGTACGATTTTACCCTAAAAAGAATATCATTAAGCTGCTAAAGGAAATACCAAAGCTGTTTCAACATATTACTGAAAACTGTTTCAAAACTGAAGCAAAATTGAGATTTCATAAAAATTCGATAATTTCTTCGGAGGGAGAAAAAAAAAAAGTATATTTGGATTACATTCTTTCCGCCTAACTTGTCGAGAGATGATTTGCATTGCTGGGTAGAAACAAGTGCATTCTTGCAGTTTATAGACGAAATCTTGATTTCTCTTTCTCATATAACTAAGTCGTACAAACTGTAAGTCTCCTTTACTAAAACAGCTGTTCTTGGGGCGACTTTCTTGCATTTTGACAGATGTAACTTCTATTCCAATGGATGATTATGCTGCCAATCCTGGACCGCTCGATGATTCAGTTTTGTACGATCAAGACAAGCATGTCTCCGCCGCCGTTTGGGAAGGACAGGTATTTCAGCTGATCAACATCCCAAATCCCTTCTTTCTTATTCCATAGTCAATGCTTTCGTAACCTGCAAGATTTCGATTCTTTTTTGTTGCTGTTAGGAAAGAGGTGCACTTAGATGTCACGAACACACTTCGAAACTCGATCGTTGGCTGCTTACGGATAGACAGGTTGAATTGGTGAAGAGGGCCGGTTTCGGCTACTTGAGACTGATTCCGGCAATAAGTCTCGACAACCCTCTTATTTCCGCATTAGTCGAGAGATGGAGAAAGGAGACGAACACATTCCATATGACCGTCGGAGAAATGACGGTAACACTCGAAGATGTCGCATACCTTCTCGGACTTCGAATCGACGGAGAACCTGTCATAGGCGTAACGTATACGACGTGCGATTCAGTGTGCATTAAATATCTAGGTAGATCTCCGGATTCGAGGTACACAAGCGGCGGAATGGTGAAGCTGAGCTGGCTTAAAGAAACTTTCTCGCAGTGTCCCGAAGACGCCTCCGTCAAAGACCTCGAGTTCCATACGCGCGCCTACCTTCTTTATCTCGTCGGCAGTACCATTTTTTCGACCACGACCGGTAACAAAGTTCCCGTCATGTACCTCCCGCTATTCGAGAGTTTTGACTGTGCCGGGAAGTATGCGTGGGGCGCGGCGACATTATCCTTCTTGTACAGGGCACTTGGAAACGCGTCGCTTAGATCGCAGAGCACAATCAGCGGCTGTCTGACGCTGCTTCAGGTGAATTGAGATTAAATTCCGAAAAATAATTACTGATTTCGGCGTTCGATTTGTGACGATCGTTTTGTTCTTGTAGTGCTGGAGTTACTATCACATGAACATCGGCCGGCCTAAGCTCCATCACGACCCAATCCACGAGTGCTTCCCTTTTGTGCTCCGATGGAAAGGGAAACATAGCGGTCCGACGTCGAACCGTGATGTTTCTTTCTATCGTAAAGCTTTGGATTCACTAAAACACACCGAAGTACGTTCGGAATATGCTTTCCATCGAAACTTTTGTTTTCGGACCGTAGGATGTTAATTGCGTTAATTGCTCGTGTTTCCTATGCAGGTCGATTGGTGCCCGTATGCGAACATCAGCCACACCGTTATACCCGATAGCGTCTTGAATCAACTCATTCTCGGACGATCCAAGACAATGTTGATATGCTTCGACAAGGCGGAAAGGCACCTTCCGGATCGTTGCTTGAGACAGTTCGGCATGCATCAAACTGTCCCGGAAGACGTCCAGCGATGGGAGAGGAAAACCCGCGGCGTCGACGGCGGGATAGACCTGTCGACGAAAATGGAATTGGAGCTCAATGAATGGGCGAATCGTCACCTCCATATCGTGGAAGCCGAAGAAGACATGGATGAAGGCGAATACATGAACTGGTACTTAAAAATTACTCGACGATTGATAGGAAGACCGGTTCCGATCTCATCCGAATTTCAACGAATGGTAAGATTCCAATTTACGTTTCGACCGTATCTTTTTAACTTCTTTGTTTTTACGGTTTTCGGATTCTTTCCGTGTTCGTTGAATCGGGTTTCTTACTGAGCTCAGAATGCTGCATTGAGGGACATTGCGCATGTGGCAGATACGTTGTCGACGCACGGAATGGACGACAACCAGATACAGTCGATTGCGAGAATCAGGTACATTGTGCACGAAGGCTTGAGGGATCACGTCGGGAGCTCGACGGTGACCATTGCCGCTAACTCGCTCGACGAGGTCGGAAAAAGGATTAGAGGAAAGGAACGGGTTCGGAGAATGGGGTCGACGAAACGGCGACGGAAAGACGACCCGGAAGAATACTACACCCACACTCCGTCGTCGCAGCTCTGTTACTCCGTCATCAACCCCGATCAATCTCGAGTCTATCACATGGCCCACGACGCCGTCGCCATTGCCGATCAGGACCACCTTTCGATCCCAGTCGCATTGGCCCCGTCGCACATCGTCGACGGCGATGCCGTCGACGATCTCGACGAGTCCGAGTACCAGCTCACGGTCGAGGTCGATGAGCCCAAGCTCAGCGTGTTAGACGAAAATCCCCGCGCCAGTCGTGAGACGATCTTGCAACCTCCACTCGGACATGGTGATCCTGTACAGCAGTCGACTCTGGCAATCGGCGAGGACGTCGCCTGTCAGAACGAGTACAGCGTTACGGCATAATTAGAACGACCACCGGAGAAGATGACCGGAGATGGAAAAGGTGCAGCCATTGTTCGAACTTTTTGTTGTAAGAATTTAGGGATGTGTTTGGATGAGTAATTCTTGTTTTTGTTTTGGTGAAATTTGCAGGAAATTTGAGGTTATGACCAAATGGCCAGAAACATAAAGCCGTTAGGATTCAAGACTCTTTCTTGGGATGTAATTAATGTAGACATCATTTGGCTCTTTTTTTTTCCTTTTTTTTTTTTTCAACTTCATTTTTGGGTTTCACCATTTTCAGGTGTAGAAGATTGATGAAGATACTGTGTATGTAATTAATTAGATATATATATATATATATCTCTTCTATTTTGATACCATTATCATTTTTACCCACAGATTAATTAGGTCATTCCGTACGTTACAACCATTATATTTAATTAGACTTAACAATTTATTTGCAATTATAGATAAATATAGGTAAGCGGGGGTTAGAGTGAATCATTAATAAAGCATTTAAGCTGACAATATGTAATAATAGTAGATGTTATTATTGATCATATTAAATATAAATACAATACAATATAGATAAAAGCTCCTACTGCGGCAGGCCGGGGGAGGGGACAGGCCGGCGCAAACCCAACAGTTTTATCGGCTAATATTAATAATTATGTTTCATATATACTATTATCCATTTAATTACTACATAAATGATAACATGAACTTCTAACATCTATAATAATAATAATAAAAAAAAAGTGTTCATAATATTTGAAAAAATCTTATATCAATATACATTAACATACAATGAACCTTTATATATGGTCCTATCTCTCACTTGGATTTAGAATCGACTCTAGCTGTTCATACTAATGATATATACCTTATATATTTTAATCGGCAATTAATTAATTATTAAAATAATGTCGATATTGATTATCCAGAGAAGGTGGAGGGAGAGGAGGCATGTGCAAGTATTCTCTACTGTGTACTTCTTACAGAGAAAATGAGTTGTCATGTCATGTCATGTTATGTTATGCTCACAACATTACCTGCAACAGACACACAGACAAACAGACACCCAACCCAACAAAACCATCACGCATGTGAAAAAAAAAAAGAATCAAACAAAAATTTACTAAAATATACATATATATACTATCACAATATGTATATATATATGCAAGAAAACCCTTTCCCCCTTCTTTCTCTTCAATAATACAAAATTGGGCATCACTGTAATTTACTGTGTGTACAAATATCATCATCATCTTTTTTACCCTGTACAAAATCCTTTCATGTATTAACCCTTACAACCACCACCCATAAAAAGTTTAAGAAAAACAGGTTATACAATATATATATATATATAATTTTAACTTGACAGGACTGTGAGGTCACTGTATCTTGCCCTAGTTCTTCTCTGGGGTGACAGCTCTCCTCCTCCACCATCGAGGGGCTGCTGTTTTCTTTTATTATTGGACTGTGATGTGGGGTGTGACTGTGACTGTAACTGTAACTGTAGCTGTTCATCTTCTCCAGCAGGCTTTTGAAAATTAGTGTCGATAATAGAATTGCATTTGGTGGCTTTTACCATATGGGGTCTTAATTTGTTGACATCTGACAACCTTACAGGCTTAAGGAAGAATTCCTCAGCCCCTTCTTGCAAGCATCTGTTGATTCTTGATGGGACATTCTCCGATGACATAATCACCACTGGAATGTTTTTAAGGATTGAGGATTCCTGTTCATACAACAATTTTAATTTATTTATTTTGGTAAAAAAAAATAGGATGATGATCAAAACAATAGTAGTAGTACTGATTTTAATAATAATCATGTCGACTGAGTAAAAGGTGTGTCACATCCCATCAATGTTTTTGTTGGAAAAATTAAGAATTGCAAGAATTGGTTGGGAGGGAGGAAAGAAAAGATATTGTCAAGATTCAGATTGATTTTAAATTGAATGGTAAGAAAATGACACTTTGTGTCCGAAATTGTCATGTTACATCATATATATATATATATATAATTAATTAATTTGTGAAGAAAATAAATAAATGTATACATATGTGAATCTATACCTTCATTTTCTTGAGCAAGTCATAGCCTGTCATTCCAGGCATACAGTAATCTGTAATGACAAGATTCACTTCGACTTCCTGCAAGAAAATATATATAGGGAATTGATGAATTTCAAGATTGTTCTTTTAATTTAACTTGATCAAAATTAATTAAAAAGGAACAAAAGGGATTGATCATAACTAATAAACAAACCAAAATTCTTACATGATGATTATTGTTAGTTGGAGAAACAAATGCATCATTTGATTCACATCTCTGGGCAAGAAATTCCAAAGCTTTGCTACCAGAATCTACTGTAGTCACTGCAATACATTATTATATAATCCTTAATCAATTGACACACAAATAAATCGAAAGAAAAAAAAAAAAAAAAACCCAAATTTCAAACAACCTCAAAAACCCCAAAAACTAATTAAAATCAATATAGTACCTTGGTAGGAAGATGTCTTGAGAAGCCTCTCGATGAGTTTTCTGTCAATAAGACTATCATCAACTGCCAATACATGGAATTGTGCTTCAGTTGCAGCCATCCCCATTTCTTCAAGTCTTTGTATAATTTAAGAAACAAGATTAGGGTTTTTGAAGCTGTAGAGAATTTGGTAGGGAGAAGAAGAAGAAGAAGGGGCTAGCTGTAATGATTTTCTCTTTGGTTTGAAGATTATAGAGAAAGAGTTAGAGAGAGAAAGGGTATGTATTGAAAACTTAAGTCCCCACCAAAAATCCACACCCCATAAAGCAAGATCTGACCAGATTTCATCCAAAGATTTCCCCCAGCATTTGCCAACTTGGAATTGAAATGAATTACAAGGCAAGCAATACACTGAAACCCCCCAATTCTTGAACATGCCCTTCTCTCTCTCTCTCTCTCTATATATATTGATTGATTGATTCTTGGTAGGGTGCTTTTGTGTGTATTTTAATTTATAGGGGTGGGGTGGGGGTGGGGCCCTCCAAAATCCTTCAAAGAGATACAGGTGATGTAAGCAGAGTTGCCTTTTTCCTTGTGCTAGATCATGGCAGTTTCTTGGAGGCACCTTGGAGCTCAGATCCGGGTAAATCTACGCCGTTCATTTTGTGGGGTTAGATCGATCGATGGTATGGATTTGATTTGGCTTTGGAATCAGAGGATCCCTCAAGAATTTGATATTAAATCATTTGCAAAGAGAGGGCAATTTCAATTGATCCACTTTTAAGATTTGCTTCCTATGGCCATTCTATTGTGTGCCCCATTCATGTCTAAGTGCCCCCTTTTTAATTAATTAAATAATTAAATAAATTGACATTATATATATATTTAAAAAAAGAAAATTAATATTTGCCATTTTCAACTAATCAAATATCAAGATTGTATGTTACTATGCTTGGTTGATTAGGGTTTCTTGCTTAATTATGCTTTTATCTTCTCCAACATTTTCATTTTGATTTTTTTTCTAGAAAAAATATTCTTGTACCAATCTAGGACCCCATTTTCACATTTCTTAGTTAGTATTGTCTTTTCATTCATTGAATTAAATGATTAATTTATATAAACTGATTTATTTATTGATTGATTTTCACTATTCACTGGCCATGTCCTATGATTGTGTTGTCACAAACTAAGAAATGTGTTTTTGATATATATATTAATTGGCTATATGATTATATCAACTTATAAAAAATAATAATAATAAGAGTAGAAAATTGGCTCAATCATATAGACCAATAACTATATTATTTATGAGGAAGTTTGTATGGTTATTATAATAATATATATATATTGATATTTTTATTTATAGAAAAAGATACATGGTAATTTTTTTTTTTACTAATCTTAATTATCACTACAAAAAAAAAAATTGTATATTTGTAACGGAATTCCGTTCCTAAAGATCACGTAGCTAACGTAATTTCATCCATAATTTCGTCTCTAATATCATTTGTAACGGAAAAAATAAATTTAAGAACGAAAAAATCTTGTTACAAAATTGATATTTTTTTGTAGTGTATATTGAATTTGTTTGGTTTTTATTTGAATGGAAAGGTTTTATTTGAATCTCATTTTAAATAGTATTTGATATGATATTTTTGTTCGAATAAATTATATGTTTTTATTAAAAGTTATACAAATTAAATTAAATAGTAGTATTTATTAGTGTTTAAAACCAAATTAAATACACTATATCTTTTACAAAAGATATGTACATATAAATTGCATATATATATGTATATATTGGTATATACCATCTATTAAAGATGGGGTTATACTTCATGTGAAAGTTCATGGATCTAATGTATAAAAAATTTAAATACTTTTGAATGTCAAATACAATTCAATTTGTATTTTATTATTATTTTTTTTCAATGTTTATATAAAAATAAACAATTGATACTTAAATTAAAAGCAATTGCAAATGAAAAAACCACTCAAATTATGTTGTTAAATAAAAGTCAGAGAAGAATCAGAATCCAATTTTTGCCCTTTTCTTTTAGTAGCTAAAGTCAGCGTTGATATATCACTAATTTAATATTTCTATTTTATCTTCTTCTTCTTCTTTTTTTTTTTTTTTTCTTTTTTTTTTCTTTTTTCTTTTTTGAAGGGGATAACAAATAAATATGTTTAAAAAAAGAAAAAAGAAAAAAGACCAATATTCATCTTTCTTTTTTTTTTTGGGAAGGAATATTCCAAGAGCAATTTCAAGAATTAATCCTTGATCTTAGTTATATTGTTTCTGTGGTAAATGAGTTATTGAATGATTTTTATAAATCAATAATATAAAAAAATAAATATGTATAAATTTTTTTGTTATTATGATAAATCAGATAGATACAGTGAACCTTCAACCGTGACAATTAATTAAGAGATATGTTTTGATTACATCAAATAAATTATTGCATATTTTGTAGGTTAATTATCACTAAGTCCAAAAATAATAATTTTTTAAAGATTTAAACTTTTTTTAAAAAATGAAAAAAAAAAAAACCCTTTTAATTTGAAGTCAACCCATCAATAAAAAATACTATGTAATTCAAAAACATAATTTAATAGAGAATCTTGTGACGATTATAAATTAATAAGTACATTTCTTCCAAGTAATTACTATATTTAAATTATGTCCATTCCATCAAGAAAATGATGCCACTTTGATCACCCTATCTTCCTTCTTATTTTATTTATTTATTATAATCAAATAAAATTATTAAAATAGAATTTTGTTCTATGTGTTGGCAAGGCTTCAAACAAAGAATGCTACAATCTAACCAAATCAAAATTTCTTTAATAATTAAATTATTTTTTTAAATAAACCCTAAAGTCAAACGAAGATTGCATACAATTATCCCAACCCTCAAAGAACCCTACAAAATCTTGAAATGATTATTTCATTTTATACTACTAGTTATTTAAATTATTTATTTAAAGAAATTTGAAACACCTATGTTAGGAAAATACAACATTTGATTTCGAACCATTTTTATAAGGACGTGTTTTTATGTAGTTTGTAGTTATTTTTTTGTATTCATTTTTTTTTATTAAAATTTTAAATAAAAAACTATGTTGTTCATATAGTACTAATTTAAATAAATTGATAACGAAGGTATAAACTTTGTCATAAGGATTTTAATGCATTTGATTTAATTATAGGTAATAATAGGGTAGGAAAATATTGAAATCTCCTCAATTAATTTGTAGATTTTTTGAAAAATGATTATTAAAAAAAACACCTATATTGTTCTAAGACGACAAATAATTTGAATTGAATAAGTAATTATTAACTAATTATCCTAAGACAATAATTAAATAGCTAATGTACATAGGGTAAGATCCAATTCTAAAGCATAATTAATAGGTGTTAAAATTATTTGCGTGTTGTTCTTTTCCAACTGAATGAATCATATTTTATTCATTCATTAATTAAAAAATTTCGATTCAAAAGTGATTAAGATTGATAACAATAATGTAATTTTGTTTTTCATATATACATACAAATATTTAATATATTATCGAATGATATAAAACAATTATTGAATAATGGATTGTCATGTCACAAAATGAAATAAATACACTACAGCTTGAAATTAGATCCAAATGTATTAACTTTATACATAAATAATTAAATTCAATTCCAATAAAATGATTTCACTGATAATACTAATAATAATAAATAATGCAAGGGATACTTTGGCCACCCACAAAATCTTTTGTACCTAATAAATAATAATGTTTCTTTGTGGGGGGCTTTTTAATTGCTTCATTAAAACAACACACCTATAAAATCCTTACAAAATCTCATTATTTTTTTCACGTGGCTTAAAAAATAAATTTTATTCAACATACAATATATATATATATATATATCACCTATTTTTAATTTATTGCGTTTTTTTAATGCTTATTTTAATAAATTAAATTTGTTATTTGAATTTTATTTCTAAATTAAGATCCACTTCCATGGTTCAATTTTAAGCCCATCTTTTTGGACCAATTATAATTTTGGGCCCAATAAGCCCAAAAATTATAGCCCAATTTAAAAGGTGTATAAAACCGTTGACGACAGTTATCGAGTTCAGAGAAAATGAATTCGAAGCTTGTGTTGACTGCAGTGGCGCTTCCACTGCTCGCCGTGGTGGTGGCGCTCGCCACCACCGGCGTATTTACTCCGCCGCAGGTGCGAGGTTCGCTCGACATTCTCCCTCAGGCTGAGAGGATCCATCTCACTGAAGCTGTGGGACCGGAGAGCCTGGTGTTTGATCCCAGCGGGGGAGGGCCGTACACTGGAGTTGCTGATGGTCGAATTCTCAAATTGAGCGGCGGAGATTGGGTGGAATTCGCCGTCACTTCCCGACGAAGGTACCAATTTTACTTCCACCACAGTCGCACAGCTTGATTTTACATTTTACTACTTTCCGCTTGTTCTTAGGGTTCGGACTTGCTAATTTATTTGAATCGATACTCAATCTATAGATATTAGTAGTATATACTGCTAGTGCCTAGTAGAAATTCAACTTGTCGATTTCATTGATAGATTGGAAGCGTTTATTGTTATTTCTGTAATGCAGGGAAGAATGCACTCAACCATTCAATCCAGCAATGGAGCACGTATGCGGAAGGCCACTCGGACTACGGTTTCATCCAAAAACTGGTGATCTTTACATTGCTGATGCGTATCTAGGCCTCCAAGTCGTAGGGCCAGCAGGAGGTCTGGCCACACAGCTAGTAACAGAAGTGGAAGGCCAACCATTGCGCTTCACCAACGACATGGATATCGATGATGACAAAGATGTGATTTACTTCACAGATTCTAGCACACAATTCCACAGAAGGTATTGAATTTGTTTCTTTACTCTCTTTTTTTGGTAGTGTTGAAACAGGCCTCTTGTGTGAATTATGAACAGCAATGTAGTAGAATGTTCAGATATTTCTATATAGAAACAAGCTTTACTAAGCTTTAGATGGCAGTATTTTGAATGGAAATATGATGTTTTTGGCTGTGAAAATTATGGTGCGTTGTGAAGTCCAAAATGGCTGTTCATCCATTTATTGGGCATTAGGCTCATTAGGTTTCACAACAACGATAAATCTTCATTCTATGCTCTCAAAACGATGTATACTAGTTAAAAACTTGGCTTGGCCGCCCCGGGCCTAGCTTTGCCGAACTAGGTTACAAAACTCTCGTCTTTTTTGTGTGTTATCTCGCTTTTCATTACTTTATTACCCATGGGCTTTGCTTGGTTGTGCTTGGGTGTTTTGCTGTATTTAGGGAATAAAAAAAAAAAAAAAATTGAATTGAAATTTGTTTGATGTGGTGGGCAAAGGCTTAGAACCCTTTCGACCTGGGCGAGACATTAGAGTGATGAGCCTGTTCACACTTATTCGCACTTATAACTGTATTTCCCCGGAGGTTCCCGAATACACTGGCCCGGAAGGTTTAAGTAGATATTGGTGTGATTTTTCAAACAATAATAATGATATTACGTGAAAGTTGTATATAATATATAAAATGAAAAGCAAATATGCGATAGTGATGGTTTTTAGATGGAAAAAAATAAGTTACCATAGATATCAACCACTTGATCTTCACTCCTGTATAACCAATTAAATGACACCATCATTAGGTATATTTCACGAGGGATGATACCCGGCATCTTCCACAAAAGACTGAATTTTTAAATGGTTTAATTGCTGAAGCATTATCACAATATATAGTTGTGAGCTTCTTTTTGGCTGACAGTGAAGTGTTCCAAGTAATCTGCTTTACCATAATAGCTTGAGATGAGGATTAACCTGCAACAATAACCTACAACCTGCTGTTTGTTGGATGGCCAAGAAAGTGAGAAACAGTTAGTGAACTCATCAAATAAACAAGTGAATTTTAAGATTTCACATAAACAGTAGTGTTTCCTTGATTGCACATACACTTTAAGATTGAATAACGATATTTCTTTATATATATATTTTAATTGAAGAGTGACCTTCTTTTCCCCCAACTTATTTTAAATTGTAATTCCTTAAATTGTAACAACAATAGATTGATTGATTCTACAATGTCAAGAATTTCTGAACAGTTCTCTTGATTCTTCATGTTTTCCATTGAAGGGAATTCATTCCTTCGATCTTAACATCCGAAAAGACAGGAAAGCTGATGAAATACGGCATCTCCAGCAAACAAGTGACAGTTTTACTACGCGGGCTTGCTTTCGCCAACGGTGTAGCCCTGAGCAAAGATCGTTCTTTTGTCTTAGTAGTCGAAACCACGACACGCAGAGTGCTGCGGTATTGGCTCGAAGGCTCCAATGCCGGGCAGCACGAAGTTTTCGCCGAGCTGCCAGGCTTTCCAGACAATGTTAGAAGAAATCCCAAAGGTGAATTTTGGGTGGCTCTGCACTCAAAGACAGGACTCTTTTCTAAATACGCTACTTCTTGGTCATGGCTCGGACACTCCATGTTAAAGCTGCCTCTCAGCTTCCCACAACTACATTATCTGTTGGTGGGAGGTAAGCCTCACGCGACAGCAGTAAAGCTGAGCGAAAAGGGGGAAATCTTGCTGGTTCTAGAAGATGTGGATGGTAAAACTTTGAGGTTCATCAGTGAAATTGAGGAGAGGGATGATGGGACTCTGTGGATTGCTTCTGTCTTGATGCCTTATATTGGGATTTACAAATTGTGACAAATCCAGGTAACTTTTTCAGCCCTTTTTATATTTATTTTTTTACCCATCAGTTAGGTTTGTGAATAAAATTTACATGCACGTCTTGCATCACCACATCCTTCCCTGACCTTGCTTGAGTTGTTATTATATATGATCATAGATTATCTCATAAATTTATACACTATCGTAGGAAACTTTTTGATAGGTCAATCTATGCATAAATTAATCTAGAACAAGTGTGGGTGTGTTTTTTTTTTTTTTTTTTAAGTCAGAATTGAATTTGGAGGTTTTAGTTTTTTACTTAAATAATATTTGATGTGATGTTTTGAAAGAAGAGTGTAATTTTTAGTAAAGTAGAGTCAAAAAAGAAAAAAATTGTGTAGAGTATGAAAAGAAACACACCCGGGATTTGTTGTTGAATTCTGGAAAACCATGTGTTGTGGTTCTTCAACACAAATCTTTCAAATTTTCTTATATGAACTTAAAAAAATATATTTTTTCATTTTCCAAAATATCCCATCAAATAATATTTTAATACAAACTGTACACTAAATTTTCTCAAATCAAACCCCAAAAACATGTGTTTTTAAATTTGTGGAGTTTTTGTGCTTTGTTACTGGGAACTATAAAAGTATTGTTTTTTTTTTTTTCTAGATGTTTTATCAAAGAAAATAAGTAGCATATTAAGTAAGAACTGTCCTTTTTGGAACGGTGTAGTTATACACAAACAGACCCCATGGTTTTGCTATTTGGCTTTGTTTGCATTATGTATTTACGCAGTAGCTTGATATATAAAAAGAAATTCGAGAAACAATATAATATTTGTATTAAAAATTGTTAAGATTATATGGTAAAGAAATTACTAAAGTAAATTAGAGATTGAAAGTGTCTTTAGTCTAAGACAATTTTAGGATGAATTGTTTTAGGAAAGTAGTACCCTAAAAGGAGTGTGTATGTGTATTGAGTATGAGTTGCTTTCCTTGGGGGGTAGGTAGCTGTCTAAGGTGCATTAAAATGATTGTATTCTATTCATCATTCATGTATGGAGGAGATTTACGATAGATAGCATAATAGTAATAATGCTCCAAAATTGTTTGCTCTCAGACTGACTGGTTTAATCAACATATGATATGATCTCATTGATATGTGTGGTGGTATTTATGAGGAATGAAAAACAGTTGGATCACAGAGCCTGTCTGTCTATCTGTGCACTGTAATTAATTAATTAATTAATTGATTTGAAGAGTCAGTCTTGAAGTAAGGGGTTTGGATTAGCATTTAGCAGATGAAGTGGAATTTGAAGAAGCAAAACAAGTGGCATGTTTGATCCATGCAAGAACAAGGACAAGGGGACATCTGTCTTATTCCTTTCAGGTCAGCTCTGTGGGTTTTCTTGAAATGTGCACTACCCACCCACCCTATTATTATCTATCTATCTGCATGGTTGGATATATGTGCCTGTTATTAGTGGACATTCCCCATTTCTTGTTTGAATTATTATAATGGACTTGGTTTGGTTTATTTATGTAGGGATTGTATAACTGTGTTTCTAATTATTGGATTTGTTTGATTATATTTTGGGTGTAGTATGAATGGTGTTTGTCATATTGTTTTAACAACATTCATGAAATACATTGGGTTTTGTAGGTGATGTATTTTATATAAAAAATTATATATTTTTTTTATATAATATGTTAAACGAAAAAAAAAAATGTTGGATATAACAAAATTTGATTTGATTCCTTGAGTATCCTTTTATTTATTTATTATGCAATTTTTGTAAAACTATTTATATTTAGTTTTAATGTATGAATGAGGGAGTTGACTTTTGCATATCTGAAAATTCGCAATCCTAACCATTGTGACTTTCAATGTTTGGTTTTGTAACAAGTTCGATTGTTTTAACATGTCTATATTCATATATGATGTGTTTGTTTTGGAATACTAATTATATTTTAAATTAGAACCATTTTTATTAATAGAAAATAGCTTGGGAAATTGATATCGTATATACTATGTCAAATTATATATATATATATATTAAATGTCTATTTTATATTGAAAGAAATATTGAATGTAATATTTTAAATGTCTATATGTTTTTTTAATATAAAATATCATAAAAAATAATTGTATAAACACTTTTTTCGAAAAAATATATATATATATATACGATTTTAATATATATTTTATTTTTTACAAAAATTAATATTAAAAATAAAATACTATTTTAAAATTATCAATACAATTATCTATATTCACATTTTAAAAAAAAATCAAATTAAATTAAAACACTGACCAAATAAGTCCAAATACAAATCATATAAACTAAGGACACCGTATATTAATTTGACCGTTTCATTAATAGAGTAAAATTCAAGATAATATACTTCATGTGAAATGTACTTCATTATTACATGTGTACAAATAGATTATTCTAAAATGACTAATGCATGTATATATAATGGGTTTGCTTTCATTTTTATCATTATTCCCAATATATATTGTTAATAATATTTTAACCACAATAAAAATAGATATTTTGTATTTTTTAATAACTAATTATAAAAATCTCAAAAAAAAAATCATAAACACTCTAGTTCGATTCGATAGACAAAATAAATAAATAAAGTGACATTTATTAAAATTAAATCAATATATATAGATCAAATCAAATAGTAGTAGTATTATTTTCTCTCACTTTTTAAATTTCAAAATTTTATATAAACGGATCTAATAAATAAACGTGTTCATTTTTATTTACACTAACGATTTAGCTTTAATTTTTCATTTTGGTCAAATCAACACACACGGCATATAAAAAAATATATAATTAGTCCAAATATTTGTATGATTAATGGATAGGCACCGTTTGCCAAATATTAATCAAGCAATGCCAAATTTTATTTAATTATTATATGCATATATATATATATTAAAAATGTAATGTTCAAATAAAAATATTTTATAGATTAATTTTGTAAATTTTGAGCTTAATCATAGATACACATAGTATAATTCATTAATATTTAGTTTCGATCCAAAATACCTATTTGGATTTCTATAATAAATTAAAAAATAATATTAATATTTTATTGATTAATAAAAATATATAATATGATTTTGATATTTTATTATTTGTCTTTTGTATATAAATTAATTATATATAATAATATATTTGCAATTTATTGAAATTTTACATTAAAGATATTTTTTTTATTATTTATATTATAAGAAGTAATTTACTTTTACTAAAAATTATATTGACTTATAAACCAAATATATAGCTAGTATACTTACTCCTCCATAAAAAATATATATATATATATCGTTCTAAAAATTATTATTGATATAAGATTAGTTTGGTTTGATTTAAAATAAATATTTATGTAAATAATACTTTAATATTTTCAGTATATTCACTCAATATGTTTTTAATAAAATAAACTTTCGAAAATATTAAATTACAAATATATATACATAATACAATATATATATTAATTTATTAAAAAATTAAATTTAATAATTCAATATAAAATATTATTTTTTATATTATCAATACAATACAATTTTCTATATCACACATAAATCAAAATTAATTAATCTAAAAATATCAAATGAATAGTATATTTATATTTTATAACAAAAATAATGCATTTTCATTTAAACTGATTGAAAAAAAAAACCAATAATATCAAAACTTCATACAATATAAATATAATAATCATATATATATAGGGTTGGCAAGCACAGTGCAACAATTCAGATACTCCACAATTTCCTTCCAAATCCGCCATGAAATCGGCGTTTCCATTCCCGCTTTCCGCCATTATCTCCGGCCATCTCCTCCGCGGCGCCGCCGCAACTCCTCTCATCTCCGCCGCATGCGGAGTCGTGTTCCTCGCCGTCGCCGCTTTCACCGCTCCCGATGATCGTCGGCCGCCGGTTTCTAATAGGAACGATACCCTAATTGAATTTCACCGGCCGGAATTAATTCCCCTCCCCGGCGGCGCCGTCGGTCCGGAGAGCTTCGCCTTCGACGCCGCCGGCGGTGGACCCTACACCGGAGTCTCCGACGGCCGGATTCTCCGGTGGCTCTCCAACGAAAGCCGCTGGTCCGATTTCGCAGTCACCTCCCCACACAGGTAATCGAATTTTTTTTTTAATTTCCATTTCAGAATTATTATTATTTTATTTTTTAAAAAAATAAAATTGATAAACGATAGAAGCATGAATAAACTAGGACAGTTCGGTGTGATTCTTCTTCTTAGTTCTTACCTACCAATCTTCTTTACAAATATTCACACACACACGTGTGTGTATGTGTGTGTAGAATTAAGACGGCATAAGGAAAGTGCAGAGACCAGCAGCAAATTCAAACTCTGTTTGTTTGTGTTTTTTTTTTTTTTTTTTTTTTCAGTTTTTTGTATTTTTCCATATAATTTTCGCAATTATACCAATTTAAAACCTTTTATATATTTTTTTAAAATATACTCCTCTCACTCTTAACATATTATTTTTTCAATTCGTCCTTCTCAATTTTTTTTAAGTAATTGAACTATCTATTTAATATTGAAAATATATTTACAATATATAATATATTATACATGTATTAATATTTTTATATTACAAAATATTATTAATCCAACAGGGGTATTTTTTTTTTTTATGTACTACATAAATATATAAAATTAATTAGTAAAAATTATACTTGAATTGATGAAAATTAAATCAAAGGTGTGGTCTCATGTATTTTGTAGATTTATTTATTTATTTATTTCATGATTTTATGTTACTCTGACGATAATTAAAAATTGAATTGAAAAAAATATAATAGGGAATATCCTCAGATACTACAATATTCAAGTATTTTATGTTTTTAAATGTATTTATTATGAAACGTTACTGTAATAACATACACATTTTTTTATTTAAATATGACATTAAATTTTTACTTTATTAAAAAAATTAAAATACATATATGGAGTATATACCAAATTAACAAACTTCTGTAAGGCATTGAATTTGTTGCCGTTGGTATCTATTACTTTCACGCGGTAAATTTATTTACTTATTTACTGAGCCTGGTAAATTATAGAAGTAGTTATTCACTGACGTAGAAAATCTATCTACAGTCAATTTTAACATATAGTTAATTGATTATGATTAAATATATCGAATTATATCAAATATTTTATTTTCAAAAAATATTTCAAAATTGCTTAAATTTTCAATTCAATCCACAAATTGAATCGGAATTTTAAAATTTGTAATAATATGGAATCAATGAACAATTAATTAAATTAAATCAGCTGCCCAAGAGGTCAGATGGTATAATTAATTATAAATTAATTAATTTTTATATATAGGTGTGTGAGGATTTGCCTAACCTTATGCATTTTTATTAATTGGTATTTATAATAGCCATTATTCAATATAAAGATTATTGTATTAAATGTGCATATTTTATTTTAAACATTATCTAAAATATTACATAAATATAATGTGTTTTTTTTTTTTTTTTTGAAGTGATAATTTTCTTTTTTTCCGTGAAATATAGAAAAATGGAAAAATAATATAAATAATTAATAAGTATTACTATAATATATTAATTTTTTAAAAATATATATATATATTTGAATAATAATTTAATTATTGCATGTTATATTTAAAAAATAAATAAACTCTTTATCTGGTTAATTAACTGTTGGTGTAATAATTGATTTGGATGACCTGGAAATCACTAATAATTGATTAATTAGTAGGGTATAATTTTGATGATGACGTGTCTATTTGGACCAATCAGAGAACACCACGCTACGTATGTACGGACAAACTGATTATGATCTCTATATATATCATCTCATATATTTTTTTTTTAGATAAATAATTTATTAATTAGATGTTTGATTCACTATATATATAATAATAGTAAATATTATTATATTATTTATGTTGATGCTAGAAGCTTACAAAAATATTAAAAACAAGTCAATTCATGCATGTATTAATGATATACTTATGTCTCTATTATTTTAATTTTTGTTTATATCGATGGATACGATGGAAAACGATATATAACTCTATGTAGTAAATTAAAAATGATAATTAATTAATGAGTTTATTAAAAGGGCACGTCGACAAGCAAATTTAAAGCTATGTTTTATTATTATTATTATTATTATTATTATTATTATTATTATTATTATTTATTTATTTATTTTATATATATATAATATTGTATTTTAGAAAAAACCACATTAAACTAAAAAAAATCAAAATTTGAATAGATGTTGAGGTTGAGAATAATAAAAGTTCTAATGTCAATAATTATTGGATTCAATACAAATAGATTGGTATAATATTTTTACATTTTGGTAAAAAAAAATAATAATAATAATTTGATTTTTAGGGGGAAAAAAAGTTAATAGTGGATAGTTAAGTATTAGATTCGGCTAAAAATATATCCATAGGGTACTAGACAAAAGCGACTGTGAATCATCACGTCATTAAAGAAAAAAAAAAATATATATATATATATATATATTAAATTAAGGTGTGTTAATATCCATATTTGCAAAAATAAATTTGTGGCAGAGAAGAGAAATACAAATGTAGCCACTAATTTTTATTTGTCTACCATAGGCCCTCTTTCAAACAAACAATTCATCATTATTTAATTATTTAATATTGTTTTTTTGTTTATATTTGTGTATGTATTTATTTCACCGAAAGAAGTTTTGGTTTTATTAGTAAGCCCTCTTTATTTTTTTTATCATCTAGCTAAAGTTCACTTTATAATAATAATAATAATAAATTTATTTTTTTATTTAATTTTTGAATTATATACAGGGAGGGATGTGTAGGGCCATACGACCACTCCCGATGGGAGCATAAGTGTGGCAGACCATTGGGCCTAAAGTTCGACCCAAATACGGGTAACATGTACATTGCCGATGCATATATGGGCCTTCTAGTAGTAGGCCCAAATGGTGGGCAGGCCCAAAAAGTGGCCCATGAAGAGGGCGGAGTTCCTTTTGGGCTTACGAATTCTTTGGACATCGATCATGACAATGGAGTCGTGTATTTTACCGACAGCAGCTCAAGGTTTCCGAGGAGGTAATACATACCTTTAATAGTTCATTTATTACATGCAAATATGGAGCATATAACAAAAAATAAATATGTACACAACAACGAATATATATATATATATATATATAAAGTAATGAAGATGGAAAGGGAAAGTTGATAAGGTTGAAAGAGTCAGACATAAGCAATAAATAAATATATATTAAAAATAAATAAATAGATACAGGATATATGTATGTATATTTGTTTTGTTTTGTGGCCCATGTTTTTTGGTTGCTACAGTATTTGCGTCACTGCTCGGTAACCTTAGCTTTATCTTTAAAATAGTCCATAGCCTGTGAAATTGTTGTTAGAATTTCTATGTATAGATAGTATAGAAACACATATCTATATTTAGGCTTTTTAATATACTTTATTTTCTGAGAAAGATGTCATGTTTAGATATATTTTAAAAATATTTAATGTTTTCTTTTATTATTGATTTGAAGATAATAAAAAGTTAAACAAAAATAAATGTTTGATGAGTGATAAATATATATTGAATATGAATTTTTTAATAGAAAAAACATTTTTCTATATAATATTTTTAATAAAAAAATACATTTTATATCTAATGTACTTTTTTAGAGAAAGACTACTTATCAATTTATAATTAATTTATATTTATGACTAATGTGATAAAATGTTAAAAACATAAGTAGACATAGTTAATTTGGATGCAAAGTTGAATTGTTGATGTTACTATGTGGTTTTTCCATTAGCTCCATAGATATTTGTTAACTCTTGGCATAGTGTTTAATAAATATTATATTTTAATGGTAACGGGAGTATTTTTGTATCTAAATACTATTTTGTTTTTTTTTTATTTAAATTTTATTAATGTAAAAAAGTATTAGTTTAAATGTATTTGTAATGTCCAATCAATGTTTTTTTTAAAATTTTTTGGTCATATAAATTTGAAGCATTTATTATTTTGATTGCAACATTTCACAATCTTTTTGTATGAAATTTTGAATGATTGTCTTAATTTCAATTCTCGATTTCATATTTGTAGGAATTTTGTTTCCGTAATTATAAGCGGAGACAATTCCGGAAGACTCATGAAGTTTGATATCAGAACCAAGAAAACGACTCTTCTTCTAGATAATCTTAAGTTTCCAAATGGCATCTCATTGAGCAAGAATCGCGACTTCCTCCTATTCGTCGAGACAACAACTTGCAAATTATACAAGTTGTGGCTCAAATCACACAAGAAAGGAAATGTCGAATTGATGTCAGAATTCCACGGATTTCCAGACAACATAAAAAGAAACGAAAATGGTGAGTTTTGGGTCGGAATAAATTCAAGAAGAGGGGTATTTTTGAAATGGTTCATTTCAAATACGTGGATCGGGAACACTTTGGTTAGGACATTCCCGGTTGATGTTACTAAGGTACATTCGTATTTGGCATATTTTATTAGCGCCGGAGGAATGGGATTCAAGTTGGACAAAGATGGGAATATAGTTAAAGTGTTGGACTCGAGCACAGGAAAAAGATGGAAGTTCGTGAGCGAAGTCGATGAACAACATGGGAATTTATGGGTAGGATCTGTAGTAAGACATTTTCTTGTTAAAGATAAAATTTCGACGTAATAAAATTATTAGATATTTTAACTTTCATATGTCGAAGAATGATCGCTTCATTTAAATACTCGAATTTTTAGAAAAACATATCATTAATATATTACGAAAATCGCTAGAGAGATAATTAATGATGCCTATGGTGTTTATTCTTCATTTTGTAGTAAGTTTTTCAATGTAGTAAATGTTTAATATCTTTGTCGATTTTTTTTTTATTATTTTATATATGACTCTGAAAATGATTATTGTACCTAAAAATTTAAATATCAATTTATTTATCTGCGAAAATAAATCTATAGTTAAAAAAATAAAACAAAATATATAGTATACATTTATCAAAGAATTCTGAAAATCCTCATCGTATTTTATTTTTATTTTTATGCAGATATTTTTTTCTCACTTTGCACCCTTAGTTATCTCAAAGAAAAAAATTGCGTAACTGACACTCGAATATCAATAAATTTCAAAATGGCCCCACCCCTTTTATTGGTGGTTTGCATCCTCTTACATTACATGGACATAATCAATTTCGAAATAAATTTAGATTGTGTTTGTCTGGCAATTTTTCAATACATATACACATATATTTTTGTTCTAATTTATCTTCTCAAAATTATCAAATTAAATTCTTATTTGTTATTTTTATATTAATTTAAAAGTAATTTTATATTCAAAATATATATTATATCAATAACTATTTATATCATATCAAAACATTTTTTTTTTTTCAAATTAAAAGAAAATTTGGATTCAAAACTCAAACTTTAAACCTTCAGCACACACCCTTAGATTTCACTAAGATAAAACTTGTTGAAAATTTTCAAGTTTTAGTTCTCTATTGAAATTAGTCAAAAATTGAATATATAATGTTAATTTATTATTATTATTATTATTATTATTTTTTTATTTTTTTTTTGAGAGGAAAAATATATTGAAAGTGGTTTTAAAAATATATATTGTAGATAAATAATGCTAAAAGTTGAAAAAATATTTATATAAATAGAGCTTAGATAGTCATCATTACTAATCGATACGATAGTGTGACTCTTTAATCGTCAAGAATTTGAATTAATAGGATTGAGGGTCCTCAAGCAATATTTCCCACAAAAATAAAATAAAATAAAAAATAAAAATCGACGAAAACAATTATTTGACTTGGAATTAGTCGTCATTTTCATACATTATTTTGTTTGACATACGCATGTACATATTTGTGGTATAAATTTATTTGAAATGTGTATAGGACCACAACAATATTTCTTTTACGTGCCATTTTTTCTATGGACTCTTTTTTATTGCTATCTACTTTCATTGAAATGACTTTGTTAAGGCTTTTATTTTAATTATTTTTATTTTTATTTTTCCATAAAATGAGTGACCAAAAATGAATGTAGGGATATATATAGAAGCAAGATTTTTACTTACAAGGCAATGACTTTAATAAGGTATTGGGTGAATTATTTGATTATTGATAGACCTCAATTTCAATTAGATACATTAGAAATTAATAAAAAAACATAAAATAAAAGAAAATGATAAATTGTATTATACTTTTGGCTTTATTTTACACTATTTAATTTATATTGCATTTTTTGAAATATTTTTATAATATGATGATATTTTTTCTTTTTAATTGAATTGTTATCATGATTGTAAAATAAATGGTTCGGTGTTTAAATTTGATTTATTTTTTTTTAAAAAAATAATAATAAGTTTATATATATGTTAAAAATATATCAAGACTCGTTTACTTTGTGGTTTTTTTTTTTTTTTTTATGTTAATATGAAGAAGTATCGATTTTTTTATAAATCAATAAATTGTATACTCTATATCATACGATATAGTATTAATATGTATATATTGTATATTTGAGAAACTATATCACCCAAAAACACTAAATCAACAAAATCGATCATACTATTTTTTTTTTTATAAATTGTAAAATATTAATCGCACTTTAAAAAAAATCCAAAAAAATTGCTTCCATTAACTATTTTTAAACATTCAAGATTTAAAATGAAAAAATTAAATTAAATCAAATCAAATTCCTAAATAACACGGTATTTATCTTTGGATATGTTTGATTTTGATCTTTGAACAAAATAGATTTTCGTAAAAAAAATATCACATTTTCAAAAAAAAAATAATTTAATATATATTTATTATTTTTATATTACCTACAAAATTATTTATACTTTACATGAAAACTATCTACTCAAATTATTTTATAAAACAAACACACAAACAAATCCAAACTAACACAATTTTAAACAAAATATACAGTTTAAATGGTTTTATGTAAAGTATAAATACTACTACTATTCAACAAATTACACCGTTTAAACAGTTCTAAACAATTTTATCTATTTATAATTTTATTATATATTCGTATTTTAATAAAGAATAATTAATTTATCAATTTTTTTCTATTTATCTTATTATTTTTTATCAATAATTTAATAGAACTTGTTTGTTTAGTATTTTAATTTTTTGAATTTTTTTAATGTAAAATATATAAAATTGTGTCGTTGATAATATAAAAAATAATATTTTATATTGAATATTTATTTTTATAAAATAATAATATATATATATGGAATCAGTATTATGAAAAAAGTTGGGTAAACAAACACATAATTTCTTTTATAATATTTTATTTTATTTTTTACATACTTTATTTTAATATTAAAAGATCATCATTTATTAATTTTTGTATTCAATCAAATCCACATAATTTTATCAAATGAAAAAGTATATACTCCGTACTAAACATATATTATGCTAAAATGTATGTACTACATCACATATTATCAGTTTGCTTGGCGGATTAAATTTTCAATTCCCTATTCATTCTATTTATTTCTCTAAAAAAATTAAATCAAATATTTATTTTTTATTTTTTATATTATACTAAAAATTAATTTTACATTCAAAACATCACATCAACACATATTTATAATACGTCATACAACTATTCAAATTCAAATTTTTTACTATTCAAATCCCAACTCAAAATTCAAATCCCAAACAATCACACCCTAAATCTACTATAAAATAAAAAAATAATAAACTTCAATAGTATTATAAATGATTATTAATATATATATTTATTTATATACTTAGGGTTTATAATAAGTAGTAAAAAACATACTGGTCCGGAAAGAATGATACGGTGGTGTAGAAATAAACATGTGACTATGAAAATTATAGCTTCAAATCTCGACATTTTTGGGTATTATTTTATAAAAGAAATATATTGAATCAAATAAAAAGAATGTATCTTTTTAAGGTTTGATTTTTATTTTTGGCTTGAACGGTAGTTTGTTCATTTTTAAAAATATATATTTTTATAATTTTTTTTAATTATGTATGTGTACTATAATACAAGAAATTAAAATCAAATTTAAAAAAAAACCGTGCAAATTTTAAATTTGACACTTTGGATGCTTTGAACGTCACCAACACGTGGCATAAGATAAATGGTTGGTTGCACCATATTAACATGGACTCGCCGGTATTGTACTTCAATTTGACGACATTAATAATTGAATGAATGATTGACGTCAACCTTTCCATTATATGAGCAAATAGCAATGAAATAATTACTTTATATAATTGATAATATTTATAATTTTTTATAAAATTAATACATATGGTTAAAAATTAAAATATGTATTTAAATATTTTAAAAATTATATTATAAAAAAAAATATCCGTAATATCAATATTATTTTTTACAGAATAAAATATTTTATAATATAAATAAATTAAAAAGATATATTTATATATAATTAATATAAAGTAATTTTATAAAAAAATAAAATTTTAAATATAAATAAAAATATATATTTTCTAACAGATATATAAATAAATGAATTTTGAATTAGTTTTATAAATGTCATTATAAACCTTGAATAATTTTTACATTTATTTTATTTTAATTCAAAATTTATATTGACTAATTTTATAAAAACAATATTGTGTGAATATAATTTATTTTTGTCATTAGCAAAAAAATACATAAATTTTTATACTTTCTACTATAAAATAAAATAAAATACAACAACGATTATTATTATTTTTTATTAAAATTCCTATACAAATATTGAGCATACAATTAAATGAAGAGTTGTATTATGTAAAATATATGATTATTAAAATCCGAACTCAAATATTCAAATAATATATTAATTATTTTCTTAATTTACATTTATCATATAAATACAGTTAATAATAATACTAATAATATAATTAACAAAATCAAACAATCCATTTTCTAAAATTTTAGCGATAAATGTTTGATTTACATAACAATTTTAAACTTTGGGACTGCTTTATAAGGAAAATCAAATAATTCAATATGCAAAATACAAATAAACCCTGTTTGTTTGGTGGGATTGAATTAGATTTTTACTGTTCATTCTATTTTTTTTCCCAAAAAATATCAAATCAAACACCTATTTTTTATTTTTTATATTATACTAAAAATCAATTTTACATTCAAAACATCACATCAACACCTATTTATATCACATCATACAACTATTCAAATTCAAAACTTTTACTATTCAAACAAACACACCATATCTTTTATTAATAGTAGAAAATATTATTTATAAAATCCTACATAAGTAACAAAATTATATTATTAATTAATTATTTTATCTGGGGTAAAATGGTAATTTCACAACCTGCAACCCCGCAATTCTTCCGCTGCTTCGCCATCTGGTGTGTCTTTCACAGATGGCCACCATATATAAAGCGAGATTCGCCATTGCCACTCTCACACACATCCGCAGGGAAGCGATTCGCGGCAATCCAACAAAGCAGACGTCTCGGCGTGAAATGTAGGAGCTTTTTGCCGGAATTCTAACCGAAAATGGCTTCATTCAGCGTGAGGATCGGAAAGCGCCTCAATCCATCCAATTTGCGGCGTTTTTTGGCGCCGGGCTTGTCTGGATCTCCGTCTTTCTCCACCTCCGCGGCGGTTGCTGCGGAGATGCCTTCGCCGACGCAGGCGGAGGTGTTGAACGGTTCAAGAATGCTCGGATTGGTCAAGGAGTATGAGGATTATCGGAGGAGCTTGTACGGCGGCCTAACGCATAAGGCTTTGCTTGTTGACGCCGTCGGGACTCTGGTTGTTCCTTCCCAGCCTATGGCTCAGGTATTCTGCTCTTCCTGTGATTTTTCTTCCATTCTTTCTGATTTTGGTGATTGTTAGAATTAAGTCTATCGTTTTGGATTTCTTCCGGCGTACTTTTGTTCAGCAGAATTCATGTTCTAGGTCTGGATTCACGATTCATCACCAATTTGCCATTTCTCTGTTACGATTATTCCAGTTTTGCTCTGTAATTTGTGCCTTTTATGAACTTTTGTGCTCGTTTTCTGTCCCTTTCTCTTTCTTCTTTCTTACTGTGTAATTTGGTGCTGAATTGAACTTCTCCAAATTAGGTTATGCATCGGTTACACTTTTCCAACATTCAACCTAAACATTGAGTTAACCATTCCTGTAATTAATCTGCCGTTTGGATCAGTGGTTTGATTCCGTAGATTACCTCTCACCTTGCTAAAAATGTCTTCATCTACAGGCTGCATTTCAGAGCCGTCTTGTTTTTGTTTGCTTTCTCATAGAGGTTTTGTTCAACTTTAAGCTTAACTGCACCAGTCTGTTCTTAAAAATTAATAATATCACTCGCTTTCACGCTATTGTCTTTGTTCCATATGCAATCGTTACATGATGCTGATTTAATGAATATAAATTCGTATGCTTACCAAAATTTGATACTCAATCAGGTCATGGATGATTTATGCAGAGCAGTTTATGCATGCATTTTGAATTGCCCTTTTGGTTGTTGGACTGTTCTTATTTTATGTTTGTTCATACTGTGACATTCCTGGCTATCATTTTAGTTATCCTTTTGTTCTTTTACTTTACTGTAGATCTATCGACAAATCGGTGAAAAGTATGGAGTTCAGTACTCTGAAGGTGAAATATTGAACAGATACAGATGGGCTTACGGCCAGCCTTGGGGTAAATCCCGCCTCAGGTAATATGATGTTCTGTCGAAGAAATAAATGCTATTCGATGAAATAGAGCTTTCTAGATTGTAGTTATGGTTTTCTATATAACAATTTGTGTCTTGCATCCGACATTCATTTATGTTGCTTATTAGGTGATCGATTCTTTCAACGTGCTGTATTTTAACTTTATGTCGATGTTTGGTAATTCAGATACGTGAATGATGGGAGACCGTTTTGGCAGTTCATAGTCAGCGCGTCGACTGGATGCTCAGATTCGCAGTATTTCGAGGAGCTCTACAACTATTATACCACCGAAAAGGTCGACATTCGATGCCACCAATTTACCGTTTTCTAATTTATTATCTGTTTATTCCCACGTGACGTATTTAAATCGCTCGTAACAACAGGCTTGGCATCTCTGCGATCCCGACGCCGAAAAAGTGTTCAAAGCTCTGCGAAAAGCGGGAGTTAAAGTGGCGGTTGTTTCCAACTTCGACACTCGGTTGAGACCGTTGTTGAGAGCATTGAAATGCGACCACTGGTTCGACGCTGTCGCCGTTTCTGCCGAGGCAAGTGAAACGAGTCCCTGTCTAATCCTTACAAACCTAGTTTATCCCAACGTCTTACAAACGAATCTCTGTCCAAAACAGGTCGAGGCTGAGAAGCCTAACCCGACAATATTCTTGAAAGCTTGTGAATTGCTGGGAGTACAACCCGAGGATGCCGTCCACGTCGGGGACGATCGGAGGAACGACGTATGGGGCGCACGAGACGCCGGGTGCGACGCCTGGCTTTGGGGAAGCGACGTCAAGTCGTTTAAGGAGGTAATGAATAATCATAATCACTTTCGATGTAATAATTCGTTACAACCTCGACTGCTGCCTGCGGCGAAACATCTAATTTCAACTTCTTCGGTTTCGGGTTTCAGGTTGCGGAAAGAATCGGTGTTGAGGCATGATAAAAACTTGGGAAAAGGTTGTATGGACGTTTCGTTGTCGTAGCTACTTTTGTATATATATTTTCGAGGCTTTTGTTTGTACTTGTGTAATAGAGAGAGTCGACATTGTAGAGTTAGATGAAGAACGAGGACTAAAACTAGCCGTTGGAGCTCTTTGAGGTTGGTTTGTCGTTGACAGATTTTAGTATGTTGTTGTAAAGTTTTGTTGGTGGATTAATCGGATTCATTTTACTGTTATACCTAAGTGGGCTTAGGTCATATGTTGTTTGGTGATGAAATTGTGTTGTTGATATTTATGTATTTTTACACTCACTACGTTCCATGGATTCTTGTCACACTGTCATTATTGTGCGGTTCCACGTCTTCATGTCATTTATGTTTTTAAAAAATTAAAATTTAAACATATTTTCATCTAAACAAGTACGCGAGTTGAATTTATAATTTTACAGTGACAAATAAACATTCTCAAATCATACTTACAAGACCTTTAGTGGTGTGGGGTACACTCGCCGTCTTATTATAACAAGCAAAAAATAAATGAAGTTTTAGAGCGGACATGATGTAGTATATAATAATTAATTTTATTTATAAAATATATAAAAATAATATTAGATTTAATACATATTCTAAGATAAATGTTTGTTAAATTTAATTTTTTATACAAAAATAATACTAATATTAGATTTAATATATGTATTTTAAGCTGTATAAAAAATGACAAAATGAATACACTTTTAAATAAATATTACATTCTAACTTTTATTTCATTCAAAAATTTGAAAATTTTTATCTTTAGATTTAAAAAAAATAAAAATAACTATTTTATGTGCAATCTTTATAATTTCAATAAAATTATCCTATTATTTTACTTTATAAAATCATATTAAATCATAATTTGACTCAAAACATGAATACAAACCATACATAATTATATTATGTGTATTGTATTTGTTTATTATACTAATTTAAGATTTATATATTTTAATATAATATATTGAATTATATCATTAATACTATAAAACAGTATTTTTACTTGAATATTATTATTTTTTAAATAAAATATATATTATATAAAAAATTTATTTCAGTTATCAAAGCAAATATGAAAACACAAACCCAAGCGTTTGTTTGTTTGTTTTTAAGCCCAACCACATGGAATCGAACCCGAAACCTTGTGCAATTTGAACTACAAGAGTTTTTTTTTTTTGTTTTAATACTACTACCAAAGGCCAGCCCAGACTCAGTTATTATGGGCCCATTTTTAATAAGGCCCACTTTTAACGGATATGTATACGTATATGTATGTATATCAGCATCAATGAACGCCTGAGAATTTAAAAGCCAGAAGAGTCAAATTTGGGAGTTCTGAAGGCGGGAAAATCACCAGAAACCCTTCCGGCAGTGAGCGAAATGGAAAGGATACATGTTTCGGTGAGGCCGCGGCCGCTCTCGATGGAGGAGGCCAAGTCCAGTCCTTGGCGACTTTCGGGGAACACCGTTTACATTCCCAATCAGCCGACAAAATTTGAATTTGGCAAGTGGTTTTCAATTTTGTTGTAGCTCTAGGAGCTTCTTTTGATCTTGCTGTTTTTTTTATGTTCATCTTTCGTTCTTCAAAATTCAGATAAGATATTTGGGGAGGATTGCAAGACTCGAGATGTGTACACGGCTCGGACTAAGGACATTGTTTCAGCTTCTGTTCGTGGTTTCAATGGTATGTTGTGAATTGTGGTGTAAATTCCTTGTTGCTAAGATAGAAATGTAATCGATTGATGAAGCTAATGTGTCATGGTGCATGTTTCCTTATTGAATTTGCTTCAGAAATTTCATGTCCCAAAAGCTAGAATTTTAGCTGTACCATTTCATTTATCTGGTTGCTATGTAAGGGACTGTTTTTGCATATGGGCAAACAAGCAGTGGGAAAACACACACCATGCGAGGATCGAATTCTGAACCCGGAATTATCCCACTTTCTATCCATGATCTTTTCGACATTATACACGAGGTACTCGTTTCTATAGCAATATTCTTTGAGTTCATGTTTGCTTGTCATTGAGCTAGGTATTTACTGAAGTAGTCTAGGATGTCAAAAGCTTTTGTCACTGGTAATTCGGCCAACTTAACTTTTCAGTTAAGTTAAAAACCCAAATGATAGAATGATGAGGCTGCTTGGATATTTGAATTCCCTGAGGTTTGTGGAAAAAATAAAAAATAAAACATTCAGGATTGTCAAATTGAAGTAATTTATATTGTTAGTTGTTCTCCTCATGGCTGTAAATTAAGTAGACAATAAATTACCACATGATTGGCGCAAATGCTGTCTTTTAATTTTAAATCTCCTGTTGCTAATTTGTGCTCGATTCTGTCTAATATGGCTCCCTTCATTTAAGGAAGTGGATCGCGAATTTCTTTTGCGCATGTCATATTTGGAGATTTATAATGAGGAGATAAATGACTTGTTAGCCCCCGAGCATAGAAGATTGCAGATTCATGAAAGTATTGAGGTAATGATTTATGTTTCTATTCACCTTTCCTGTTGATCTCTCCGAAAACATCCCTATGGTGGATCTAAAAATTTATTCTGACTAATGCAGCGAGGAATCTTTGTAGCTGGGTTAAGAGAAGAAATAGTGGCATCTGCTGATCAAGTTCTTGAACTTATGAAGTTTGGAGAAGGTTAACATTTACTGACATTTACTTCCTTTTTGGGTGTGTTTGTTCGTGTTTTCAATACTGTTTGCTCACATGCAATTGACAATAAAATATATTTTTTCCCCTTATAGAATACTAATCCAAAACCTATATTCCATTTGAAACAACACTGCAAACAGCTAGTTCTATTTAAAACATTATCTTCCAAATTTATTGTTAATTAAAAAAAAAAAAATCAATTCAAAACATCTAAAAACATAAAAATACAAAGAAACCATTTATTTTTATCTAACATAAAAATCTAACATTCTTAATATCCTGTTTCAAGTATCTGTGCAGTTTCTTTTACCTAAAGAAAGAGGAACAAGGAATGACATAGTTGTTAAAATTTGTCGTTATTTTCTTTCCAGTTATATGAGTTATTTATTTCAACTGTAAATTTTGCATGTGGGCAAGCTGTAGGCTCATGCTAATCTCTTATAAAACACATTTTGAGCAAATGACAACTTGCCCAACTCAGCATACGTTCTTCAGGCAACAAAATAAACATTGTAATGCCAATTATGCAGCTCATCGCCACATTGGAGAAACAAATATGAATGTCTACAGTAGTAGGTCGCACACAATATTCCGCATGGTATGTGTCTTATTAATTTATTCTCATGATTCATGGGGCTTTTGGACCTATTGATTCTACTAGATGAAATTTTGTTAGATTATTGAGAGCAGGGAGAAATCTGATGATGGAGAGGCAGATAGCACTTGTGATGCAGTTCGTGTTTCTGTCTTGGTATGGATTCTTTTCACGTTTGTTATCATTTACGGACACATATTCATTGAAATTGAAGTCAATCATGATTTGAAGAAATCTTGGATTACCCTCTTAGCAGCATTTACATGGACAAAAATATTTAAGTTGGAACAATCAACACAATGAACCTTTCTACTCTTACAACAAAATATCAAGTTGCAATTTCTTCAATAAATTGTGGGTTCTTCCTAGGCTAGCTTGATTTGATTCTCTTACCCTGGAAATTCTGCAAATTAATTCCTAGAGAAACACAATTAATATATATATTTGTCTAATTATATCTGTAGATTGGCTTATTTGGTTGGGCTTGTATATCATTACTGGTTGTCCAACATTACTGAATTGATTTATTTTCTTAATTTCTTTTGGATACTTATGCTATAGTAATGAGGGTAACTTAAACTTGCATTTCTTCCCATCCTCTTATGTTGTTACTTATTTAGCTTTTGGGTTCTTGAGTGGGCTTTGTAGAATTTGGTGGATCTTGCTGGATCAGAACGTGCTGCAAAGACTGGAGCTGAAGGTGTACGCCTAAAGGAGGGTTCCCACATCAATAAAAGTTTGATGACCTTAGGAACTGTTATAAAGAAACTGAGTGAAGGTGCAGAAAGCCAAGGGTATGTATGAGATTCTTACAAAAATCAGATTTCAAGACTTATGATTGTGACATGCCAATATGATTTGTAGGGGGCATGTTCCTTATCGGGATAGTAAGCTGACTCGTATACTGCAACCTGCATTGGGTGGGAATGCGAACACAGCAATCATATGCAATATTACACTTGCACAGGTGACATGCGATGTACTGAATTGATATAAAATCTCCATGTTGTCTTTTGGATGAATAGATGATGTGGTGATGGTGAATTGTACTTTTTTTTAGCTTTCTCATACCCAAAATGATTTTGTAACGCTTTCTTTAGCACAATTGTATAGCTAACTTTATTTTTAGAGACCATGTTTTTGTTTCTCCATCAAGCCATGTCAGCAGTTGTATAAGTATCTTGTCTTTGCTGTCAGCGCTTATTGTTACAATTGCTGTTCTCTTTATAAACTATAATATGGCACTTTACATCATCCCATTCTTATTTTCAATTTATTGTAATTATGATTTTGAATTGTGGAATTCATCTTAATTTTTTCAGATTATGATCTTGGTGCCTGAGTTTATTATTTTTGGTGCTACTGTTTTGCATTTTTACTTGCTAAAGACTTTGCTCTATCTAATTGCAGGTTCATGCTGATGAGACTAAAAGCAGCCTTCAGTTTGCCAGCAGAGCACTGCGTGTCACAAACTGTGCCCATGTAAATGAGGTAATACCCTTGAATGATTCCATACAATCTTCAGAGAATTAATTATGTTGCATGGAATTTCCTTATGATTTGACTAGTTTTTGTATTTGACCTAATCTTATTGTTAGTGCAGATATTGACTGATGCTGCTTTGCTAAGACGTCAGAAAAGGGAAATTGAGGAACTTCGGGCTAAATTGCAGGTTGGTACACGGCATAGGTGTTTATGTGTATATTTATGGTTTAATATTGAACTTATTGCATATCTTTCGATATGGCATCATGCGTATTCTTATCTTATTTCTAGGGTTCAAAATCAGAACATCTTGAGGAAGAAATTTTGAATCTCCGAAATACTTTGCTCAAGGTTTGCTTCAACTTTGTAATTTTTAAAAATGTTCTTGTATTGGTTCCTAGAGAATAGAGCTCTATCTGTGTGCAGAGCGAATTGGAGAGAGAGAGAATGGCTTTAGAGCTGGAAGAAGAAAAGAGAGCGCAGGCTGAACGGGATAAGATGCTGTTGGAGCAGGCCAAGAAGATTGAAAACTTGAGTACAATGGTACTTTGTGCCAATAGAGAAGAGACACGTGAATTTCACAAGAAGGTATAATATTGCCTTGATATATCGTCATGCATGCATGATTTTTATTCTTTTATTCTTTTTTCCATTTCACCCACAGTTCATGAAGAGTTGATTGTTGTCTTTTATATTCTTCCCGGTAGGAAAAGAGGCGTGATACTTGGTGCCCTGGAAATCTTGCAATGAAAAACGTGAAAGAGGTAATATTTTAGTTCTGATAGTATGAAGGAATTTGTCAAAAATTTCAAACTACCTGTTAATTTGTTGAAATATAAAATAATATTTTCTTCTCTAACTAGGAGTGCTAGTTTTTCTCAAACAATAGTGGGATAATCAAGAGTCAGCTTAGTTTTGTTTCAATGGAATTAGTATTATTGTTCAAGTAAACATCTTAAAATTGCGTTCTCTAATTTCGTGAGACATTTTGTGCATTGTGCTAGCACTTAAAATGGCGTCCTCTCATCTTGAATTTACTTAGGGTGTGTTCGTTTGATGGATTTGGATTAAATTCCACTATTCATCCAAAATTTTCCCCCCAAAAACATCAAATCAAACACCTATTTTTCATTTTTTATATTATACTAAAAATCAATTTTACATTCAAAACATCACATCATCACCTATTTATATCACATCATACAACTATTCAAATTCAAAATTTTTACTATTCAAATCCCAACTCAAAATTCAAACCCCCAAACAAACACACCCTTAGTTTATGCTAGCTAGTGGGTGCCTAGTGTCTTTAACACTTTAAATTACACCAATTTTCTTTTCAGACAATCAGATTGTTACATTATAATGGACTGGAATACTGGATATTCACTAGCTTTCTGCCTTGGTGTTTCAGCCGCCATCTGTGGTCAGAGAGAACATTTCTGATGTGAAGTATCAAAGAACAGATTACAAAAATAGGCCACTTTTGCCGTTTAGTGAGTTAATTAATGAAACAAATGTCCCCGGGTTCTGTAAACAAGATGAAGATTTCAAAACCAGTGCATCAGAGGATTGTACACTTCCTGATTCGCATGCTCTTCTGCATGTTACCAACAGGAGAAAAGTTCCTGTCAGAAAAAGAAGTTTACCAATGGTTTGTATTTATATCATGTTTTCTAATTTTCACTCTTTACCCATTTAACTTGCTTTTTGGTGTTAATTGCGTTTATTTCAGGACAGCAATAACTTGACTGAAATCCAAGCAGAATTTGAAAATTTGCTCTTGGAATTTGAGACTCATGTTAGTTATTCTATTCCTATTTCCATAATGAGGGGGTTGGAGTGGTGCTTCTATCACTAAGTTTTCTTCTTTACAGCGCACAGTGAGTGACATACAGATTGATTACTTAACAAGGAAGCTTGCTGAGGCTGACTGTGTTTTAAACGAGAAATGCAGAAGGTGCATTGGACAGAATATAAAACCCATATCTAATTCTAAGGGAGACAGGGACACAGATTCTATTCTTGTGATCAAGCAACTTCAAGAAAAGGTTCATCTATAATTTGATGTCTTATCATTCAGGCATTTATCTTTACTTAGTTCTTCATTTCTGCCCATGAATTAGACAGTCTACTGCTTTTGATTCTTAAAATCTGCCAGCTACTTAAGGGTTGTAACCAAGCTCTCTCTCTCTCTCTCTTTCTCCCTTTTTCATTTTTGTTGTGATGACTAGATGTTTATGCATTTGCGGAGATGTGTGTTATCAGGGCCTTGCAAACACAAATTTGTGAGATTGGTCAGTGGGTTGTATTAGGGCCTTGCAAACTCAAACTTGTGAAATTGGTCAGTGGGATATAACTCATATAAGTAGGAAAAATGGTTATTCATTAGTGGAGATGTGTGTTATTAGGCCTTGCAAACACAAACTTGTGAAATTGAGCACTGGCATATTAGTAGATACATCATAGCTGGCTAACCTTGTTGGGTAATAGGTACTATATGCTGTTACAATATTTTACTTATTGCTATATGTTTTATAGAAATATTTAGAGGTACTCAAAGGTTTAGTGACCTATTTTAACCTAAAGCTTTTTAACGAGAGAAATCAAGCCAATATGGTTCTTCTTAGTCACTTGGTCTGTCTAATTAATGGGACTCTCTGGTATTACCACACAGAGTTTGCAAGGATTTGACTTTTTTTTTTTAGTTGTCAGTTTCTGGCTTTTGAGAATTTTATGATACTCGTTGATATTTGCTGCTATTTTACCCAATGTTCATATGATTACCAATGGCTTTTATAATTCTAACAGATTGCTACTTTGGAGATAGAGAAGACTTCAAGCCAGCAGAACTTAGATAGTGTAGTTAACTTGGCAACTGACCAGACTATATTAGCACAGGCAAAATGTGACAAGGTATGTCCTTTGATTTAAGATGTTTTAAGTTTTCTACTTTCCTTAGTTAATGATACAAGTATTTTTTTGCACCTTAATGTTGTATATGTGATAAATTGATGTGAAACTTAAAATTAGTTGTAATTTAGCAATGGAAGTTTCCTTAGTTACTTGGATCCACACCTTATTGTTGACATAAGGTCTCGCATCCATTTTTGTATTAGCATGGACTTCCCAGGCAGTATAGCACATTTGAATTGGTATCTGTTTTATGGTTGATCCATTGCTGATTTTCCTTGGTTTTTGTTTCTCTGATATGCAAGTTATACCTAGTTTGATGTGGATCCTCTTTTGAGAGAGCTATGACGAGTGAGATCCAAGACCATTTCATAAATGATTAAAATGATAAGAAGCGCTACTTACAGGACCAAAATTACAGTTTTCTTGCAGGTTTTGTAACTCCTTGTCACATGGCAGGATTTGTGGTTTGAAACTAGTGGGAGCAGCTTTTTTTTTTTTTTCTTGATCTATTCATGCTTCATTTTTTCATTGAGTTTAAAATAATTGACTTGTACTTATAATTTATTAATTAATGCAGCTTTATGAGGAACTTGCACTTGCTCGAGAAGAAGCAACTCTAGCTCGTGATGAACTTGCTTCATTACAGTCTAGTGTGGTATTGGGCTAGAACTTCAGTTTATGTATTCAATGATATTTGTGTATGATTTTGCTCCTGATAGGATGTAATGGAGCATGTATATCATATGTTCTTTTACTAAATTTCAGGTAGAATTTGATTGGTTGAACAAGCTGTTTACGGAGACTGAAGAGATAAAGTTGCAATTTGAAAAGTCAAAAGTTCTTACAGAATCCCTTTATTCAGTTGCGGATGAACTTCTCCAATTCCCATCTTCAATGCTTATTCATGTTAGTATACATCCTTCAATAATTTCCTTGTATGGCTATTAACACTATACTATGAATGGCTACTATGATACAGTTCGCATTCGATCCGCAAGGGATTTACTTCAATGCAACATTGTTCTATACTGCACTGATACACGTATATATATATTTATTACTTTTTTTCTTTTGTTTTTTTTCATGTATTGTGTGATGAAACTTGTTACGAATACCATAATGTTTGTCATGTCTTTATTATTTTAATCGATGCCAGGATCTTAGGGATTCATATTCTCAGAGTTTGTCTCAAGTTGAATCCATTGCTGGAAGCCATGAAAAAATACAATCATGTCTGACACACAAAGTTAATAAGCTTGAGGATGAGAAGGTAAAATATTTTGCATGTAACAATACTTGCAAAACTAATTTATTCTTTAATTGATGTTTTTTTCTGTCTTGTTGAAATACAGCGTGTTCTTTACAATCAAGTTTCAGAGCTTTGCAGTAGGATAGAAGAATTAAGTTTAGAAGTTCAAAATTCTGCAAATGCATCCATGGTAAGTTAATAAGTTCTGATTCTGTCTGGATTGCTTAATCCACAATTTAGATCATATTTGTGCGACAAAGGTAAATTTGATATTTTAGTTTTGTTAATGATTAAATAGTTCTATTTATTAGTAGTGGAAATGTTTTAATCTTCTTACAGGACTAAAATTGTAGTTGTTTGGTAACTTTTAAATGTAGAATCTACTCCCTCCATGAAAAATGGAGATGGTGGACTAACGATTGGCCTTCCAAATTATTCAGTATTGGTTTTTTTTTTTTTTTTAATCTTGTTTTAAACAATCAAAATAAAACTATAGCAAGGCTATGGAAAAACTATAGCATGTTGGTAGGAAAGCCACCCATGAAACGAGGATGAATAGCATGTTGCCATTTTCAGTTATTGAAACTTGGTAAACAAAACTATAGCAATTGATATAACTGCATGAAGATAATTAGGTTGCAACACGTATGGGAGATTGTAGACAATGGGTTATGATTCACCTGCAATTGAAAGAAACTAGAAAACATCATAAAGAAAAGAAGCCTGCAGAAAGGCAAAATAAGATATAAGTGGGCTCTTACACTTATTAGTCAGGACTGGAGCGTGCTAATGTGTTTGATATGCTTTATTCGTCTCTTTGCTTGCTATGTCCCAACAATTTGTTTTTTGTTTAGGAACTCAAGGAAAACCATGAAGCTGAAAAGGCTGAGTTTCAGTGTCAACTTCAAATGCTCCAAAAGGAAATTTCAGCCTTATCATCAAGTTCCTTAGCAAAAGAAAAGGAAGCTATTAGAAAGGAATTCGAGAAAACAAAATTGAAGCTAAAAGATACGGAATCCAAGCTAAAAAATATCATGCAGGAAAAAACAAAGCTTGAGGTCTTAGAGCTATTCTCTTGAATATATATTTTTGTATGCTGTCGGAAAGTTTTTAATATAGAATTTACTCGATCCCAGGGTGAGAAGTCATCCATAGAGAGAGAACTTAAAAAACTGCAAAGTCAGAAGGCCATGCTCGAGCGTGATGTGAACAAACAAGCATCTATGATTAGCAAAAGGCGTGATTCAACTATTTACAGAAGTTCAAATGTGTTTGATCAGAAACAAATGAAGTGTTCTCCTGCTCTGGTTGAGTTGGAGGTGATCTATAATAGTGAAGCACATATTATAGTATTATAGTACTTTTTACTTTGATATTTTTCATTTTAGGGTTTCCCCTTAAAGGGTGTAGCAGAAAATTAATGTCTGTTCTCTCGCATAACTGACGTCTCATTTCACTGTTTTGTTATTCTTTGGATATTACCTCATTTGTGTACTCTATTCAGGATGAGTACAAAAAAATGGAAGTTCTTGCTTTTGACATGGAGACTACAATTGCATCATTAGAAGACCAATTGGAAGTTGCCAATCGGGATAAGGATGAAGCTAATTCAATAGCTGAAAGATTGTCTCAGGAGTTGGAGTTGTCAAATTCAGAGTTAAGCGCATTAGAGAAGGAAGTTTCAGTTCTAGTATGTTGCTTAATCTTTTCCTAACACTCACTATTCTTGATTCTGCCTAGTCGAAATATTAGCAAGATTTCAATGAGATTCAATTTTATCCTGACAAATTTTCAGAGAACAAGTTTGGAAGAATCAACCTCTCGTGCACAGAAAATGGAAGACTCCCTTAAATCTTTATCCGAGGAAAAAGAGGACCTATCAATGGTAGTTATAGAGTGATGCTATTCCCAAATCTCTATTTGTGATTTCTTGATTCTAGCCTCATTTTATTCTTTCTTGCAGCAACTCACTGAAGCCCTTATGACAATGGAAGAGGAGAAAGCTATATGGTCATCTAAAGAAAAAGCTTCTATGGAAATTATAGGAGAAAAAGAAAAACATTACAATGCTGAAATTGCATCTCTATCCACCAAATTGTCAGCGGTAATACTTGAAAGAACAGCATCCAACTTTTTGAATCTGGTTTGGAGAGATCATTGTCAAATCTCAAAATTGTTAGAGTTTTTTCCTAGTTATCTATGAACGTTGCCTAATCCATTGATGTTTTTGCCATTAGGCTGGAAGTGAACTACAAAATTGTAGGCAGAATATCAGAATTCTTGAGGAAAATTTAAAAAGTTTGGAGGAAAGCGTTGCTGTTGAGAAGCAATGCAGGTTAGTGTGAACAGTGTTAGGATATGTGAAAATTTGTCGGATTAAAATATGGCCACATAATCATGTTCACCTTATACTTCAATATATGTCTAGGCATATTTCATACCATGTAATGTATAGTTAACTGCCTTTCTTGGCAATAATACACAGGTGCTGCAATGAGAAGGAGCCAGAAGCCAATCATGTGAGTGAACAAAGAACTATCAATGGCTCAAGCAATGGATCCCCTGAGGCAAGAACTTAGATGCACCAGCACTATCAATGACTTGTTTGAACTTTTTAGTTTCCTATACAATGGCATTAACCTCTTTTGTTTTTAGGTTTCAAACCCAAAACTAAATTATGATTGTCAAAAACATGAAGAAATTGAAATGCTACAGTTGGAACTGAGTGTTCTCAGAAAAGAGAGGCAATCTCTATTGGCCCAAGTTCAAGAATTGGAACAAGGACAGATGCTTTCTGAAGATGAATCTGAGGTTTGTAATTCATTTTAAACGGAAGTAGAGTACATTACCTGAATATTTTACTACATCATTACTTGTTTTCAAGGTCACTAGATGGAAAGTTAAACACAGCATGCATTAGCAACATGTGTTAATAGCTCAACAATTCTTGTTTGGTTCTCCTATTATGCCGGATAACTCATTTTTAATTCACAGGTACAAACACTAAAGCATGAACTGAAGCAGGTGAGAGAAATGCTGGCCTGTATGGAAGAGAAGTTGCGCAATGTGAGGGATCGTATAAACATAATTTTTTCCAAACAGCTTTCTTGTGATATTGCACCAACACTTTATTCAAAATGCTTTGATGATATTTGAATTGAGCTTGGCTGCAATTTTTTTTTTCCTTATAGAAAATGTGATTTCGCATGTGATTTCGACAGGATCAAATTAACATCAACAAGGAAATAGCCAAACTCAGAATGAGACTCCATGGAACTCAGACAAAACTGGATACTTTCCGAGTGAGATACCAGGACACAGTGGATGAGTTAGAATACATGAACCGGAAATATGAGGAGGCTTCAGCTAAACTGAAGAAACAATTAGCTTCATATGGGATTGAAGTTCTTGATCTCAAAAAACAACGAGCCTCATATGAGAGTCAAGTTCTTGATCTTACTAAACAACTAGCAGCATGCCGGTGCACAAGACAATGACAGTACATCTCCATCATCATGTAACTCTACAATTTTCATCTTTCTCATACGTACTTTATGCAAAATGCTAATTTTGAAGTAGAACTTCTGATCATTCCTGATGTAGTCTAACCATTTATTTAATACCGCTGATAATTATTATTAAATTTAGTCCCTCAAGACTTTAGTTTCGCATATTTTTATTTTATCGAAATTGCATTCTACACATGAATTAGGAAATATGATTCCTGGTTAGAGAATGATGATAGAAGATCAACAGACATAAAAAGCATAAAAGATTTGCATTCTAAGTATATTCTTGATGCCTAACCATTTCTAGGTGCCTCTTGTTTTCATTTTTCAAGAACCTTAGTCTGAGATCTAAATGATTCCACCAAAGGATATTAATACAAATGGAAAAAGGTAGAAATCTTATAGGTACATATGAGTGCTTGTTGCCAAATTATATTCTTGATAACTATTCATAAAATGTGGTTACAATATCTACCCTCTTTTCTATTGTATATTATCTGAATTTGCAAGTATGGCCTACCTAGAAATACCCCAGAATGAACCTAGAACAGAATGAGCATTGAACACATACATACACACACACACTAGAATTGATTTTGAAATCATACAAGTGTAGAAAAAGTGAAGCAGGTTGTAGTTAGATGAGATAGGAAGACTGAAATTATTAAGCATTATGCATGCATCTTTGTAATTAAGTGATACATTAGGGCAAACAGTGTGAAGGAAAAGTTGTTGAACAAGTGCCTTCAAATTCCCAAATTGGGATGATAATGACTGAATTAGGTTAGAAGCATTCACTACTTTTCCCCTTAAAACTCTACATTTGTTAGAAGGAAAAACAGTCTTCATTGTTGATTTTATTAATTAGTTGGTGGGGGGCCAACTGGCTTGGCTTGTTTTTGTTATTTATATATATAAGTAATTAAATTCTGCTTAAATTTATTTGATAATTATATTTTGCATTAATAAAAGTGTGTACACTTAAGAATTATGTTTACATGTGTTTGTTATTAGTATTAACTATTATTTGAATTGTGGAAATGAACTTTGGGTCTGTTTACAATTGCGTCGGTACCACACAAATTATTTTATTTTCAATTATTAAATTTTTATATATATTATGTTAATATGTGTACGTATTGTATTTTTTTTTTTTATTTTATAAAATTAATAAAAAATTGTCACTGAAAAAATTATTGAATGAACAAATTTTTAATAAAATATTTTTATGTATTTATACTTTAAAAATTTTGCTTTAAAGCATTTGTTTGATTTTGAAGTAATATTGGTCAAAAAAGATACCGTAATTTATTTTCCTGGGGGACACATTTGCATATATTTCTACTTGATAATAATGTAGTTCTTTTACTTGAATTTACTTTTTTTCAAAATAAAAAATCTAAGTGTTGAATGATATTTTAAATAATAATAAAAAAAATTGATTTGAAATATAAAATTTGATGATGATGATTATTATTATTGCAAAATGAAAAGAATATATAGTGAACAGTGGATAATGTCATTGTCAGGGTTTTACATGCGATTCCTTGTAAGTGTGACTTTTGACCACAAATCGCAATTTACAATGTCATTATATATTAATATTTGTAATTTAATTATGATACGGAAATTAAATAATTAAAATTAATTTGATACAGTAAATATAGTCTTGCAGTAATAATGACATCAAATGTCTCTCTCTAATAATTGTTCCTTCTCCGACTGATCGTACTACGTTCAATTCACACTTTGACAAAATTAATTATATATACATAAAAAAAATGTGTCCTCATTCATGCATATATACAAAATTATCGTGCATCATTTAAATTATGTTCAAATTGATTGTGACACAGTTTTATATATATATAAATTTACATCAACATTCACACGTATCCTTGTTTTTCACAAGATTTTTATATACTATTATACTGACTTGTCGAGGTTATACTGTTAATATTCAATTAACCTTTTTTTATTTATTTATTTTTTAATTTTTTTTATAATACATTGTGACAAAGATTTATTCTATTTATTTATTTATTTATTTTTCAATTTAAGAATACGTTTATTAGTAATGGATTTCTTATATATGCATGCACACATTTTAATATTAATTTTAATAATTATAGAACCTACTAGTTGTTATAGTTAGTTTATATTTATACGTAAAGAATGTTCTATTAAAGTGATAGCATTAACGAATTTGAGTCATTTAAGAAATGTGAACATACGTGCATGCATGGGCTTTCAATAATAGTTATAATAAAATTTATTTATTATTATTATTATTATTAGCAATAGTTTAAATATTAGAAAAAGGAATTAAATATCGAAAGTGACTTGCAAATCTGTGACATAAAGGATTTAGATTTGATAATATAATAAATAGTATAATAAAATACGTCCAACTCATTTGTGCGAATGAACTTTAATTATAGATAGCAATAGAAAAATGAGTTACGTGGACGAAGTTGACAGCCACTAATTTAATCAACTAATGCATGCATGCATGCACTGATTAAGTGCTTCAATCTATACATTTAATTAAATAATTTGTCGTTATTTACTTGGCCAACTCACCATGCAATTTTTTCTAACCATGTAAAGAGGTCTCAAAGTTACATCAATTCGACTAGGGTGTGTTTGTTTAGTGAAATTATTTTAAGAGTTTTTTTTTAATTATTATTATTATTTATTATGTGAGGTATAGAAAATTGTGTAACTAATATAAAAATAATAAGTGTTTTTAATATATTAATTTTTTTTTTGAAAAATATATTTTTGGAGAATCGTGGAAGTCTTTAGTTTGTTCACTTTGTTTTTTTTCGGTGGATGTGTCTTTGATGTTAGATATTTGAAATTGTGTTGGCAATATACAAAAATAATACTCATTCCATCCCATAAATATAGTTTTAATTGGATTGGGCACTGGATTGGACACGAGATTTAATGAATATTGATATTATATTGGTAGTTGGTAAAAAAATATGAATAAAAGACTTTTTTGTCCATGTGAGTATATTAGTGTAAAAAGTAGTGGCAATTGTGTAATAAAAATGAAAAAGTAAGGGTAATTCTATGATGATATGGTTATTTATGGAAATAAGACTATTGTTTTGGGACGAAACAAGACTATTGTATTGAGACTGAGAAAGTATCTTATAGGGTATTTTTTCAGTCCCATATATGACTCTCTTATCATTTTATGGTTGTAACTAGACTCTGTATTAGATTAGTTCTACAACTAAAAAACTTTACCATAAATGATCCTCAGGTGTTAGAGTTTCCGACATTGCACGTTGGAGATTGTGTGGATGACACTGGGCAATGTTCGGGATTATTTTTGCCAAACTTTTCTAGTTGCGAGACAAATTCAATACAATAGTCTAATTATAATCTTAAAATAATACTCCATCCGTCCACAAAAAAAGTATACAATTACTTTTGGCGCGGTGTTTAAGAAATAATAGTATTTTAATTATAGTGGGTAGTTAAAAGTAGTGTAATGACATTTTTGCCCTTGCTTTTTGGTGTAAAAGTAATGATGTGATGTAAAGTAGAGGTATTTGTGGAAAAAAATAAGGTATTTAATGAAATGTTTACTTTGTAATTGGACGTCCCAAAATAGAAACATGTATACTTTCTAGCTGAATGGAGGGAGTATTTAGATATTTTTATGTTGTTATACATGCAACATCCGATGTTACCACGTCAATAACTCTCTGTTTGAGGATCATTTATGCGAAAGATTTTTAATTATAGGATCAATTCAATATAGGTTCTAGTTATAGTCCAAAATTATAAAAATGGATGTTTCCTACATAACTAACAAATTTTTTTTTTGTTAGTGAACAAAGTATATATACATATATCGTATATTTAATTATTGATTTTTTTGTTAATGAACAAAGTAGATATATATATATATATATATCAAATTATTAAGGATTGTTTATTTTGGCTTTATCCTCTAGTTTTTATTTTATTATTATTTAAATAGTAATTTGATTTGATATTTTGTTAAAAATAAAATATTATTATAAATTAAACATTGCAAAAGTTTATAGTAAAAAAATTGGAAAATAAAAACTAAAGCAAGTAGGGTGGAGATTTGTTTGTTTAGCGAAATAGTTTGAAAAAATGATTTCTTATACGAATTATTAAAAATGATATAAATAATATAAAAATATATATAATTTTTTTGAAAATTGTAATTTTTACAAAGAGAACACATTATTTTTATACTTTTGTGCCCAATCAATTTTACATCAATATTATTTTATGACGGTGAAAGTATTAATTAACGTAATAAATTTGGAGTAGGGTCGTACGTACGTCTTTGTAGTTGTCGCCGGTAAACGTTACAGAAAACACTGCTTCGGTACTCTGAATCCAACCCTAATTCTACAATTACGCTTCTGCCACCACCCACTGACGTGTCACCTTCTTGACGCCGCGAGGTCAATTCAGTCATTGTCCTTTTCACTTCAAAATCATTACTATTATTAAAAATAAATAAATATTAATACTAATCTATATAATTAATCAATATACATCGCTTTTATTAATGATATATCTTTACTTACAGATTTGAATTTAACTCGTTATATACACTGCATAAGATGATTCTAGAATCAGGCTGGTGTGAAATGTCGGAAATACCCTTACAGCTCTTTTAATTTGCAGTCTCTTCCCACTTTCACAGCCTTCGCATTTCCCAACTCTCTCTCTCTCTCTCTCTTCTCTCACAGCGCCATTTGCAGTACTGCAACTCACACGCGTACGGATACGTGTTTGTGTGTGTGTGGAGATCGGATATGTGGATTGCGGTGTAGGAAGCTATCTATTTGGAAATTGCGATTGTATGATGCAGGTTAGTTGCTGAAGGCGAGGAAATTGTGGATATATGCGTTTGTTTGTGTATGGCGTACGGAATGGAAGAGAGGCTGTCGCTGGAGATCGATGGCGCTGGTCACTGCGGCGGCGAGCGACCTTCGGTGAGTTTGATGTTGGTGTTTTTCAGCTCCAGATGGCTCCTATTGATGCTCCTTGTGACGGTTTCGCTCCTGCTGTTGCCGCTGTTGCTTCCTCCGCTTCCGCCGCCGCCGCTCGCGCTCCTCCTCGTCCCCGTCGCGATCATGGCGGTTCTCGTTTTCCTCGCCGTCACGCCGCCGCAACTGCCTGACGTCGCCGTCGGTCCAGTCTAATGTAATGTAAGCGTTAACAGTTAACCGCTGTTCTGTACCCCTTTTTTTGTGGTAGATTTTAATGCTATTTAAATTTAATTAATTCTCGATTAATTAGTAGTATTAATAACTATTTTCCTAGAAAATTAACAAAATTAATGGTAATTAGAGAATTTTTGAATTTCGTGTTGCAATGAATTATGTATATGCAAAATGCATGTATCTGTTGATGAAACTGCCTTTGGAAGTGTTTGTAGTGTTCATGAGATTCGCATTTTGAATTTTTTGACTGAGGACTATTAGGAGCGTGAAATTTCTTATACTCCATTCGTCCCGTGGAATAAATACCTCTTTTATTTTCTTTACAAGGTATTTATGTAATGATATTTAATTAATTAATAAATTAATAATATAAATATTTATATGTATATATCAATAATATTGTTACTAATTTTAATATAGGAATTAATAAATGCTAGTATTAAAAAAGTTTATAATATATATTTAAATATTTGAAAATATATATAATATAATTTTTAATTTGTAAAAAACAAACACATTCTTATTTGTCATTATATTCTTTTTCTATTAGTTAGAATTATGTCCATTTCTTTGTTGGTTAATTTGTGCAATTTATTTATAATAAAATATTTTATTTATTCATAATTTCATTATAATTAATAATAAATTATTTTTTACTGTTTTTTTTTTGTTAATTTTTCATAAAATTCTTTTCCTTACTATTTTTTTTATATTAAAATACTATTGTTTTTATTAATTCATAAATTAATAAAAATGGTATATAAAAAAGTATAAAGAGAACAAAAGTTCGTCTAGATATTAAAAAAAAAAAAAAAAAAAAAAAAAAGAAGAAGAAGAATCGTAAGAATGGTATATATTGAATTTTAATTTTATGTGTTGACAGTTGACAGTATTCCCTTCATGGAAATGTACGTATGTATGTATATGTTTCCAGGAATGAAACATACTGCGTAAGGCATTTTTGGTATGTGGATATATATTGTTTATGTACGTATATATGCAGTTCACACTTTTCAAAAGTGTTATGTCGTGTTGTGCTATCTGTATTTGGACGATTCGCCGCTTCCCCGCGGTGGTCGCCGGCGCCTTAATCACCGCGCCACTACAGAGAGCATCATTAATTAATTAATATACGTATATAATAAAAGTGACAGTAAGTAAGTAGCTCAATTAAATAAATACACACGATGAACAGTGCATGCGCACTATAAATTGCAATTTTTGTCTTTTCCATGCAAACTTCAACTATGATATCATGTGAAATAAATAAAAAGGTAAATTATACTATATCTCCTATGTTTAAATATTTTGACTTTATTTCACTATCAATTAATATCATGGTGTGTTTGGATTTTGAGTTGAGATTTGAATAATAAAAATTTTGAATTTGAATAATTGTATGATGTGATATAAATATATGTTGATGTGATGTTTTGAATGTAAAATTGATTTTTAGTATAATATAAAAAATGAAAAAAAGTGTTTAATTTGATGTTTTTGGAGGGAAAAAAATGAGATGAATAGTTGAAATCTAATCCAATCCCCCAAACAAACACACCCATAAATAATGTCTTTTTGGTAAATATACATTTCACTTATTTTTGCAATGCAAACAATTTTTTTTTTTTTAGTAAGTATGAATATGGCTACGTATTATAAATTTCATGATATTTATACTTATTTATAAGTTAACATTATTTTTTAAAATTCCCAAACACTTAAATCTGAATTTGAAAAATTTCAGGTCAAATAGATTTGATTTTTAGGGTGATTTCATTGTTATTTGAGATTGCACAGTTTATTGATTTTTTGGAGTTAAATTCTTTGTATGTATTTATTTAAATAAAATATTATATACATTTAAATTAAAGTTCAAAATGAAGAACAAAATTAAAACTCCAAATAAACCACGCCCGACTCAGAAATCTGCAAGAAGTGTTTACAAATAGAACCAAAAGAATGAAAAAAAATAAAATAAAATAAAAAAACCTAACTTTGTGGCTATCTGGCAGAATTTCTGTTCATTCACTATACCAAACCATTCCCAAATCAAATTGGGCTTAAACAACATTACATCAAGAATTCCAACAACCAAAATATATATGCAAAAAAAATCAAAAAAATTTCAAAAAAAACTACACTTGAAGAAATTAAATTAAACCTCTTCAATGTACATCTTGATCATCTTCTTCATCTTCATCTTCCTCAAGTATCCTCTGCAAAAACTCTGAAAATATAGTCCCGGAAACGCCGAGAGTACATTCTCGGATCGACGGCCGAGATCGAGCTCGGATCGTACTGGATCGACTTGTATGCATGCTCGAGTTTCTTCGTAATGTCGTAGTCTTGTAGGATGTCGATGATCCCGAAGAACATGATCACGTCGTAGCATTCCCCCGTCCGTTCGCCTACCAACTGAATCTCCGCCTCGCTCGATCTCACCGTTCTCTCGACCCTTGCCGGCATGTTGATCCCGAGCTTTATGCTCGCCCACCTGCAGACGACGTCGTTTTCAACATGTCTGAATTCCTCCCCGGATCTAATGCATCAAAACTTCATGGTAATTACATGTTTATTGTGTGATTTTTTATTTACCCTGCTGGGTCTAATAGCAGCTGGTCGACGTCGACTCTTGAGAGACGAGGGAGCGATTCCGTGTCGGAGGCGCCGCTGCTGTCTGCGAAGAAGGGACAAAACGGTGAGTTTTTTACGATCACGATTATAAATCGAGACGAGGTTAGGGGAACATTACCGACAAGCGATGGGGCGCTCAGCGGAGTCGCCTCGTCGTTCGTCAATTCCGTGAAATGTAGCCCGACCAGAAGGCTGTAGTCCATGATCCTTTCTTGCTCGAGGAATTCGCAGTCTCGGTCAACTTGTCTGCAGACGACGAAAACATCGGTTTCTCGGTACACGGAAATGGCAAAAAGGTTCGGGATTCATTATACCTTCGAAATTCTTGATACCATGTCTTTTGCAGGCGAAATAGGAAGTTGAGATCGAGGTCCTTGAGCGTCGTCGTTGCGTCTATCTCCGCTTCGGGTTTATCCGTCAGGCGCCCGAACGTCGACCCTTTCAAGTCGTATCTTCGGTGGATCGAGTACTCGGAACAGAAGAGGTTCCCCATGATGATGAACCGTACTTTCTGCCCGTTCAACTTGACGCAATGCAGGCCGTAGTATTTCGTCACGAGCGTGTTCTCGAACGCTCGGACGTGGTTGTAGTACGCGTTTAGCATACGTAAAAGCACCTGTTCGTTACACGAGACAACGACGAACAAGAACAACTGACGTCAATCGACAGGTATGGATAACTTTTATTCAGCACATCACATACTTTTATACAACAGATAGTTGTTATAAGCGCGAGAAGTCTCACTTTTACTTCGGCTTTCTTCATCGTCTTGATCATGTATCGATCGTCGTTCGTCAGGTAGAAGAAGCTCCCGCTCTTCCCGGGCGAGGACAGTTCGCGCAGCGCATCGTTACCGCATATCGAAAGCATGTAGTCGGCCGGATCGACCTTGAACAACATCCTCAATGTCCTGCAACAATCGAAGCTTTTTTAAACTCGATTAACGGCGAACACCGGATAACACTCGTTTCGGCAAAAGGCCTCACCGGAACACTTTCGGGCAGTAATCCTTCCACTTGAACTCGCACGATTGGTGTGGCGGCGTGTACTTTGAACCTTCCGGAGGAAACTTCGTCCAGTACTTCTCCTTCGGGTCGAAAGCCGACGACTTCAGGTCGAGGGACGGAGGCGGCCCGGGTCTCCCAACCGAATGCCTGCGAATGATTCGAATCCGTTAAACCGAACTTATCTTCGAGGACGAACAAAAGATAAGTACCTTATTCCGAGCTGCAAATTCAGCATTAGATCGTAGTTTCGATGCCCTTTCGATATCGTTTCGCCTTGTCGCTTAATCGCTTTCGGTATTCGGATAGGTTTGCCTCTCGACACCGGCTCGGAATACGAAGTCGGTAAGGAACGATCATCGCCGTTGTATCTCGCCGACATGCTTGCCGTCCAAGACGACGGCGCAGCTCCGTCGGATAATCGCAGCCCGCCTCCCAATTCTTTATCCATGGCGGCGTCTATTCTCCCGTCGACCGAAAGTCGTCTCGGCCGGACACTGCCACTCCCGCAGCCGCTGCCGTCGGATCCCATCGAAGATCGCCATATAGCGAGCCTCTTCTGCGACGGCCATACTGGGACTTTCTCCTCGGGATAAACCTTGTAATCCTTCAACTCGTCGTTAACTTGTTGCGAATCCCATTGGAGACTCCCTTCCGGGTTCGACCCTGGCGGGTAATACGTCCCGTTCTGTTCCATCGGATCGACGGTCCAATTCCCGACGTCGAAACTCTCGTTGGGCCATTTGATCGTTAGCGTCCCCTTCGGCATTCCGTCCTCCCAATTTCCCTCGTAAACTTTCCCGTCCGGCCAGAACATCTTTCCGAGGCCGCACATCTTTCCCCGTTTCCATTCGCCGGTATAAAAGGTCCCGTCTTTCCATTGGTACTTCCCTTCGCCTTCTTGCCATCCTCGACTCCATTGCCCGTCGTAGACGTCGCCGATCTCGTATTCCTTCGCGCCGTGGCCGTGCTTCAAATTCATCACCCAAGAACCTTTGTACACCCCGCCGTTCGATCCCGTGTACGTCCCCTCGCCGTCCATGAACCCGCTCTTGAAATTGCCATCGTAAATCGCCCCCGACGGCCAGCTGAACGTACCCTTCCCCATCATCTTCCCTTTGAACCATTCGCCGGTGTACATGCACCCGTCGGTCCACCAATACTTGCCCTTGCCATGGGGCAAGTTATCGGCCCAATTTCCGGTGTAATAGTCGCCGTTTGACAGAAACTTCTCGGCCTGATACACCTCGCCGTTGGCGTGCATTTCCTCGTCTTGATCGTTGCTGCTTTCCTCGTCGTTCTCCACAGCGTACGACGTCCCGAATATCGTGTTGGCGCGCTTCTTCGCCGCCGCCTGCGTCTTCCGGACCGTCGCCTCCCATGCCTTCATGGCTGATCCAAACCTACCGATTCACAATGTTCTTCCCCTGAATGATACATCACAGACCTCCATTGATCAATCTCGATGTTCATATGAGCAAATACTCAGTCAGGCATTTCGTCGAACAGGTTGCCTGCAATGTTTTTCTTCCATGTTTTTTTTTTTTTTTTTCTTCCTTTCTTCTTCTCTCTCCTCTCTGTCTCTCCCTTCCCTATCAAAACGGAAGCAATTAACCTAAGCCAACCATAAGAGAGCAAAAAGAAACGAATCCTACGAACCAACCAACCTCTTATTTTCTTCCTACGTTTCTCGGATCGGGTCTCCAATGGCGTCATCCAAATTAGACCCCCAAAAATTGAGACGTAATTGGTCATCGTGTGACAGGTAAATTGCCCTGGATTAGACATTGATTGGCTTCCAAACAATGGTCGTCACAGATTCAGCAGAAAATCCTCAGCAACACGACCGGTTCTTCATGTTCCGATAAATTAGCTTCATATTAGACATTTGGCGATTTGAGGTTTCTTCTCTAATCTCTATTGCATCACTAAACCCACGCCACAGTCTGTTCATAGCCATAAATTATACACAATTTGCTCTTTCCATATTCTGCAATTACTGTACTCCCGGAGTCGCTAAATTTGTATTCTCGGAGCGCCGGGACTCCGGAGAATTGGGAGACAGATGGGCCTATGAATTGGGCCTATCTTTGGCCCAATACCGTAATTCTTAAATTCGCTTCCTTCGTCTTCAATGGGGGATGAAAATAAGGGAAGTCGACGAGACGATCCTTCGTTTACTTCTCCCGTGACTCCACCTCAGGTAATCCTTTTTCTTTGCATAAATATGTCACCACAATCTGACTTCTATTTGTTTATGAGGTCTTCGAGCATTTGTAGCTTCTCAAGGTATGTGAAATGGTGTGAATTTTTGGAGTTTAGATTGGGGAAATTGATAGTTTCGGTTTGGTTTGAAGACCTGTTAGTTTGGTGATATGAAAATTGATTAGTTCGTTAATGTTTCTGCGATTAATGAGGTTTCGGATTTCAGTTTATATTGAGAGCATGAATCTGTAGAGGTTTTGATGCTACGTTTCTCGAATTTCCTCGGAACTGCTAGATTGATTGTGATTTTGTTTTGTTGGCAGAATTCTTATGTGAAGAGACATGCCGCACAAAACTCGACCAATGACTGCTTTGTTGATCTTCACTGGTCTGAATGCAGTTTTGGTTCAAACCATAGGACCTGTTTATGATTTTGTTTGCTTCCTTCCGTACTGGGAGAGAAGGGTACGTTCATCAAAATTATTGCTATTTTTTGCCATTGTGCTAAACTGAAATCATGCTTTGTGTTGAGTTAGAAACATGCTTGCTTTAATGGCTGCCTTTCATGGCTTCTATATCATGCTCATCTGTTTGGTTGTCTTTAATACGATGCTGCATTCTGTTGTTTCAACTTTTAGACTGGACATCAGGAAACCTTCTTTTACAATAGGGTAGATGATATTACTACTTTACTTAAAGAATTCTCCTGTATTTTGATGTTTTTTTTTGTTTAAATATGATAATAATTATTGGATGTGATATTTGTATGAAAATGTTGCGAATTGGAAGCAGAAGTTTCATTTCAATCTAACCTTAGTTAAAGAAAACACTAGGGGCTTCGAGTTATTGTAAAGTTTGATGCATATTATATAATTTTGTAAAGTGGCTATGTTAATCTAGAAAGGAGTCGAGTTGTTAACGAATTGGGTAGCTCGTGAGTCAAGCTATGAACGAGTTGCGCTCTCAAGTTCGAAAATTATTGTTTATGTAAACAAGTCGAGCTCGAGTTAGGCTCACCAGTAGCTCGACTGAGTTTGTTGGTAATGGTATATTTGTATCACTTTATATGTTAATATATATATATATAATTTACTAATGTAATTTGAATATTTTATTATAATAAATTGTGGATAAAATTATATTTAGCTTTTATATTAAAAAAATATAATAATGTATAAAATTCAAGTGGAACTCAAATTCGGGCTTGAGTTCAAGCCTTGCGACCCGAGCTTAAAGTCAAGCCTAACGAGTTAAACTCAGGCTACTATTTTAGCTCAAATTTAAATAAACCGAGCCTGTAATAATGGCATGTTTGAGTCGAGCCTGTAATAATGGCTTATTGTTTGTGCCCTTCTTCTTCATAGAAAAGCGTTAATTAGTTTATACGAATTGTTGTGTTACTTGTTATTGCAATGCATTCCTAAAGTGTCAGAATTCTTGGACTTGCACTATTGAAGTTTAGGTGTTCATGATAATTTGTTGGCCTTCTTCTCCGTGTATCTATTTTCTGATCATCATTTTTTCCCAGAGAGAACGCCGGCGCCTTGAACGAGAATCTACCTCTACCAGGGATTTGGGATCATCATAAAATTACCAAATCTCGACAAATTTTGACCTTACTTGATTGCAAGTTTAGGAATAACTTTACACTATTGTGTTTGGCGTAGCTTGTCAAAAAATGAAGGGTTTTGGATATACATGTTGCCCTCTCGAGTAGCTACATTGGTCTGTAATTTAACATTTACACTGTCCATCGACATAGGGCATCAACTTATATCTTATGACCATCACTAATGGTTACAGTTTTTTTCTATCTTTACAAGTTACATCTATAGTTTGTTATCTAACTAGATTTCTTCCACCTACATTTACTATTTTTCATCTCTCAATAACGGGAGAGGTTACTCTGTTGATTGAAATTAGAAATTATGGCTGTCAGTCTATTTATATTTATAGGTGTGTTGTATATATATATATATATATATATATATATTTTAATATAAAATATTTGTTATTTGTCATAGCATCATATGTTCTCAATATTATCATATTATATTTTTAAAGAATCGAACATCGATAAAAAAAAAAAAATATATTAAATAATTAATTATTATGTAAAAGATTTCATATTTCATCTAAAAATATATTTCAAATTCATTTAAAATAATATTTTAAAATCATTTTCAATTAATATATTTAATTCCAATAGATTAAATATTTTAATATAATGATAAAAATTATATAATAGTAAATTAATATTTAAAAGTTACTATAATATATTATATGATAAATATTACTATTGATATGTTAAAAGGTGTGTTTCTTTTGCTTGAGTTTGAGACAATTTAGTTTGAATTTGATATTAAAATATTGTTCGATGGAATATTTTGTACGAGGAAAAAGTATATTTTTTTCGAAAAATGCAAAATTTAAATAATAAAATTTTAAAAAATTTATCAAAAAAACATTTAGTAAACAATAAAAATATATTAAAATAAATAAATTGTCGTGGATCTCATAAAAATAATGAAGCAATTTAAATATTACGTTGATACAACGCATCTGAGATTGAAAAAAATAATTGAGCAGGAATAATAACATAACAATGGATGCTAGAACAAAAGATTAACAAAACTACAAAAATGTACTTTTGACATTTAAAAACAAACAAAAACAGCACCTTGATTGTTCAATCCAAGAACACTTCCAACAGTAATCGAATCAGATCAAATATAAAGAAGACTTAGTTCATAATCCAAAAGATGTAAACAGCTACGTACCCCAAAAACGTCGTTTTGAGTGTTTTTCCTTCGCCATTCTATGAATAATCTGCTCGGCGCTCATATTAATTTCACCCCGGCATCCCTCAAAGAATCAATAACAGCCTTCACCTTGCCGTGATATTTCTGATCCCTACTCAGGGCCACCGAAACAGCCGGAATATCTTTCATCAGCAGGCGTTCTCCAAGTATCTTCCCGATTTTTGCAGCAGCAGCCACATCCCTCATGTTTTCTTTCGCCTTTTCCATGCTTAATCTCAGGGCTTTTTCTTGCGTGCTGGCAGCCGAGGCCACTGTTGCTGTCGGGGTGTGGACAACTTGGGCGTGCACGAACTTATTCGTGAAGTGCATTTTTAGGACATAGGGCTTTAGATACTTCAACACTCTTTCTGGCCTTGCTGGAGGAGGAATAACCATCCCTGTTTCATGATGAAATGTACACAGATCGATAGAAACACATTCCTCACCATTTGAGCTCTAAAGTTGGTCGACTTTTCAAAGTTACAATTATACATAGATTTGAAACAAGAACACTGATCTATTGAAACAAGGATGCAACACTCAAACAAATCTACAATCCGTACTCGGCTAGAACATATAGAAAGTCATCCCTCAATCTTTTTCAAATTACATTTATGTATAGATCGAGACAAGTATGCAATACTTGAGCAAATCAACCATTCATACTCGGCTAGAACGTATAGAAAGTCACCCCTCACCATTTGAGCTCTAAAGTAGGTCGATTTTTCAAAATTATGTTTATACATAGACTGAAACAAGTTGCAACACTTGAGCAACTTGAGCTCTAAAGTAGGTCGATTTTTCAAAATTATGTTTATACATAGACTGAAACAAGTTGCAACACTTGAGCAATTCTACGATTCGTACTCGGCTACAAAGTATAGAAAGTCACCCCTCACCATTCAAAGTTCGTCGAAGTTTCAAAACTACATTTATACATAATAGGCAAACAAGAAGTCATTCATCACAGCCTACAGATCTACTGACAATTTTCTTCAGCTACATCTATGAAGGTATAACTTATAATGCAAAACAATCTCCTAAAATCAATCTGCTTTGCTTTTTCGAGCACAGATAGATTGTTTGAATCAATATGCTCAATTCCTTTTAATGCAGAACCCTTCTAAAATGACAAAAGCTTCAAAATGCATTCCAATGGCTGAATCATACAACGAATAATACTATCTTCTGTTGCTTACCAAATTTTCAGGATGAAATTAGTAACGTGCAGAAATCTTTAGCAAAATGGACAGAATCCCCAAAGCATTTGGCTGTACAATGTATTCTCACGGATAAAATTATGTCCAAAACCCTAAACCCTAATTCCAACATCAAAAGACGGCGTTCATAGAAAAAACAATAGGATTTTAATTACCTAAAATTCTCGCACACCAATTCATCCGAAATGCGATAATAACACGAACCGAAAGTCCACACCCAAAACATTTACAAATTGAATATACAGAAAATGAAATTTCTGGTTGAACGACTAACCTACAGACGGCAACTTTATTTGATTTGAGAGTCTCACGGCTGCCGGTAGTCTCGATGGATACGTTCCCTGCTTTCACCGTCTCCTCCAATGGCCGAGGAATAAATCAAATGAGTTTCCCGGAGACGACGACTGACAAAATTAGGGAAGACAGTGTGATGTGCAAATAATCTCAGATGGCCAAAACGTTTTTTCCTTCTTCAATTTGGCCCTAAATGTTTTAATAATATTACATCACCCCCAACTAATATTTTAAAAATAATATTTTTGGAGTTTTTTTTTTTTTTTAATAAATATCATACATGTATATATTTTAGCGAAATGCAGCTGGCAAGAAGTCATTTGGATCCGCCACGTGTCCCAATAAATCGTATAAATAGGCGAATATTCAAAGGTAGTATTCGGATCACTTTCCGCTTTGAGGGTTTTACGAAATTCAGTTAGCACTTAGCAGAGACATCGCCATTGCTGTGGAATGGAGCATTGATCGGTTATTTGCGAGTTGAGGTAATTTCTTTCTATTTCATACTGTCTTTTCATCTTGATTTTGCTATGTGTTCATATATGCTAACTGATCTTTGTATTGGAGATGCAAGTTATATATATATAGATATATTGAGTTTTGGTTGGTGATTTTGTTTCTATCGTGCATAGCGTCCAATTTAAGGATTTTCAGTTTTCTTCTTCTTCCTACACGGTGTAAAAATTATGTTTAGACTGATTTATATGGAATAGAGTTTGGAGTCCATCCCTTAGCTCTGATTGTCGTTCCTAGTTTTAGTATTTCAGGTGACATCCTGATCTGGTAACGTAGTTTGCCATTAAGGAGAGATGTTTTCTATAATGATAATGATAAATTTGATTCATGAACAATCTGATCTGAACTAAGAGCCTGCAGACTATGGATCAGTTATTTGGTCTCGGTTGTGGTATGGTACTTGAGTAAACTAGTAAAGTATTTGGAGAATTACCAGAAGAAGCATGGTGCTGAATTAAAGTAGATATAAGTTCAAAATGTATATACATTTTGGTGATGATTACAGAAAAAGGTTGGAAAAACAAATTTTGGCTAAATACAACAATTAATGGCCCTTGACATGATTGAGTCGTAGATGAAGGGCAAATCTCCAGCTACACAATTAGAGGTTCTAATAAAAAGAATTCATTCTCTTGGTTGGGTTTATAGAATGTTGTAGCCTCTAAGATTTTGTAGAAACATTTCTCCAACGTCGGATCCTTCCTTGACGAAAATAGCTGGATATCCTATTGGAGCTTTCACCCATCTTTCAGAGCCTTGTTCAGTATATAGTTCACCTGTCCAGACATGCTTCCATGGCTGGGGCTCGCCTTTTGGGAAATACACTTTAACTGTTTCCTCTCCTTTGTTGAGAACAGGCACCACTAGGATCTCTGTGCCGACTAGAAACTGCTCGTATGTTAGTTTGTGCACTTTTTTGTCTTTTGGATAGTGAATGAATAGGTGGCGGCAAACAGGCAGCCCTTTTTCGGAGGCTTCCTGCATAGGCCAAAAACTAAGATAGTCATATTGAAGTTCAGATTGTATCACTGTATTGATCATCTAAATAAGAAAATACAATTTACCTTTACAAGCTGGATTCTATAGAACTTCCAGGCTTTGTATATCTTTGCAAACCTTGAGAAATGAGATAAAGTGTTTTCATTGGAGTAGAACTGACTATTGCTTGATGGTTTGTTTCCCTGCTCAACAATTTTGTATTAAATAGGTGTGAAAATGCATAAATATTTTATGATCATGAGTTGTGAATGCACAATAGGGAAAGTCTAGTCTTACTCTTACCTCATGTGTCCGGAAGACAGTAGTGAATGCATTAAGCTCCATCCATCGTAAGAGAAGTTCTTCACTTCTTTGGTACTTGAAAAATGGGAAGCTTACGGCACAGTAACCTCCGATGTCGCTGTGGTTGAGTGCAAACCCCGAAAGCCCACTGCTTAGCAAGCCTACTACAGAGCTCTTTATCCCGTCGTTAGCTTGCCAACTTACCATTTGGTCTCCTTCCCAAAATAGGCTTACCCATCTAGGACTATTTCTGAAACCAGCCCTCATGAAGAAAACCAATGCCTCTTCTGGATCTTCCTTCTCTTTTCCAACACATTTACTTTTCCACTCGTCGATAAATTCCCTGTTTATTTTTGCCCACATCTCAGGGTATCTATTGTGGGCAGCAATTGGATCTTCTCCTGAAAATTTGGACACTTAAAAACCTCATATTGTGGACTGATAGGAAGCTCATGTTAGCATAAAGTATCTGTTATTAGTTTGAATGATTCTTTTTAAACATGTTATACTTATACACAACCTGAGTATAGACAGGCATCGACTGGTAGGCCTTCGCCAAAATCAGCCATCCAACCCCTGACTCCATCATCCACCATTTCTTGCAAAATCTGCTTGAACCAACTTGCTGTTTTCGGATGGGTCCAATCGAGCATTCCAACATCAAAAGCTGTGTTGGGAACCATATAGGGTCTTCCTTTACTGTCTTTCACTAAGATGTCCAACTTCATTGCCTCCTCAAAGAGGTTTCTTCTTACATTTGCCTTATCCAACATCTGTACAAGTGAATCAAAAGGTTGTCGTAAGTCATAACCAATACCATGTATTCGAATATAATGCAATTGTCAAGATTTCGATATGATCCCTACAGGAGATAAACAAGGATTGCAATATGTCATCACTTTGACATGCTGATCACTAAGGTCTTTAATCAATTGTTGCCATCCTGAGTACCTAGAGGAATCCACTTCCCAGTTCCACCATAGTTGTGACCCGATAACTGTCTTCCTTTCTCCCACCCAATCCTGCACAGCAAGAATTCATGTATTAGAAAACTATCTAGTTTGAAATAACTCTTCTTTAATGTGAATTGTTCCACCTGCAACCAAAATGCTGATATTGGTGTATCCTTGGCTTGCAGTTCCTTCCAGATATTCCGTACCACATCGGTGCCTCCTTGTAGTCCCACCACGGCCCCTGAAATTATCCACTCAGGAAGCTGTTGAGGTCGCCCAATGGTTTCTGTGTAGTGCTCAATAAGCTCAGCAGGTGAGTCTCCACTAAGTATTCTACCTTCAATTGTATCTCCATGTATCTGCAAGCATGTTTCCAAGTTCACTCAATATAGTCTTCATAGATCGAAAAATTAGGTGTCACAGAAATCAATAACACATTAGATTACAGAAAACTACCTGTATTTGGACTCGATCAGGCTCTGTTAGATCGAAAACCGAGTAGTTATACCCTTCTAGGTAGAGCGATCTCATCTTCGATGTGATATAAAAAGGAGAAGGAGCATAAGTAGTGCATTCATCTCCACCAGCCCTGAAGCATTTCATAACAAAACTTCTGTTAAACAGCTGAAATGTAGGATGTAGTAGCTATTATAGTTCTTTTACCATTGTTTTTTACCTGTAACTAACCATATTAGCTGCAAACGTAATAGGCTGATCGCCTCGCCCGATTCCTTGTTCTTGAACAAATATAGGAATCCTTTTCCCTTTAAAATCCATATGTGAGAATTGCTCTCCAAACCCAAAGAACCTCTCACTTTCTTCACTCACATATGTCATGCAAATCCTATTGAATTCGGGACGAGCTGCATTGTTCATGGCAATGCTATCCTCTTCTGTAGGCGAAATCGCTGCCGCTGTCAATGTCTTTCTAGAAAGATATCCACCCCATTCGATCCGAAGCCTCCTTAGTCGACCCACTCTTCGCGCAAAGCCTCTGTAGTTGAAGCTATAGGTATAACTTCTTGGAGATAACTTTGGGGCCTTCTCCACACTTGGCTTTCCAAGTCTCACTTTAAATCCTATCTGGTTACCGTTTTTTTGATCGAAAACAGCCCAATACTTAGCATATGCTGCGGGGCCTTTGTCCCTTTCCTTAGCATTGAAAATCCTTCCCCTGATCAGCACGACAGGCGACGACGAAGATGATGGGGGCCTGTCGTTTTCCATTAACAAAGATTCTTGATGATGGTGATCATGGTTTCCATTGAAATCAGATTCTTGGATAACCTTGATCTCCTCAATGGATTGGTGGTTGCAGACGTGGTGGACATTGCCATCTTTGATGACAAATGATCCTCTGCTCTCCTCCACCTCTGTGTCGACGACGGCCGCCGACACGAAGGCCTGTCCCGGCACGGTCGACCATATGGATGTAGAAGGGTTGGAGTCATGGCAAATGGAGACACAGCCTCCATTGGTTGTAGACCATGTCAATTGAAATGAATCCCCGATTTCATAGACCTTGTGAGAAGGGATTGTTTGGGAATTGAAGAAGAGATTGCCGGTGATGAAAGGGAGAGTCTTGGGGTTGGCTGGGAATGGGTTGTTTATGTGTCTGTGGTGCTTTGGGGTTATTGTGAAGGATGCCATGTTGGAATTCTTGCCTCAGGAACTGTTTGTTATATCATTATATATATATTTGATTTTGAAAATTCAATTTGGAGGAAATTGGGATTGGGACATAGGAGACCTCTGAGAAGTTTTCACTGCTAAGCGAAGATATGAAGGAAATCTGTCCTAATGAATGATAAATTTTTATATCATTAATTATCATTAGGTGTTTTAATTACTACTATTTATTAGTTTATAAATGCGGGCTTAGAAATTACAATATGGATAAGGGTGAGATTTAATTGCCTATATTTCAACTGTGGCTAATGCTATTTAATTTCGAATTAATTTCTCTGTATGATTATAAAATTGGGAATTATGTGGTCCAAAATAGGATTATTATTTTTTTATCGGTAATTCAATATGGATTGTTTGGTTACTATAAATTTATTTTTGAATTAGTATATTAAAAGCAGGTGAATAAAAAATTGTATAGAAAACTTAAAATACTTTTCTCCAGTCAAATTATATGTAACATAATTGTGTTGACTTATATTTTATTTTTATCTTTGTTCTATTAAATCTACAAACATGGCATTTAGCTAATATTTTTCCTTTAAAATTTTAGATTTAAAATATCAAAAATAAATCAAACTGTAAAGAATTTATTGTTTACTCGGTAATAATTTTACCATTTGTGTGTGTGTGTGATAATTTTAATGTAATATAGGTATTGCATGTAATAGTTTTGTTAAAAATATATGATTGAATAATTAAAAAAAAAAAAAAAAAAAAAACAGACAAACTGAACCCCTACTCCAACACACAAATTGGACTCAAATTGATGTTTATAAATAATAACAAAATTTTCTAAATATGTGTACATAAATTAAATTTATGTAGTAGTAATATAATGTAATATTTGCTAAAACAAATATTATATTTTTATAGGAATTGAAAGTGTTCATTGGAAAACAATAAAAAGTCAAAACAAAACAACATTTGACCTTTTATAATGAATCTCGTTTTTTGGTTCTTTTTTAATTAGTTAAAAGTAAGGTGTAAATGTAGAAAGGTGGGGTGCGTATGTATGTAGACGTTATTCTTGAAAGATTCAAATGCGTGTGGTATTGATTGGCACTGCACTAATGAATCTGGACGTGTTTATGTAGGAGGTTCTCCAAACCAACCTTACTACGCATGCATTATATGATTATTATTATTATTATTGCATAATTCCATTTATATATATAAACAAAAATATTCACTAGTTATAGAATTGTATATTTCACTTAACAGAAAGGTATAGCATACCATTCAGGATCATCTTTGGACATTTGTGATTATTTATTTTGTAAGGTTGAACGTAGTTTCCATATTCCGTCACGATTCAAAATTGGAGCTTCTTGCTAATGAATCTGGTCGTTTTCAGGCACGAGATTCTGAAATTCGGTAATAATGTCAGATTCATTTAAAAAAAAAAAAAAACTGATTTTCGCTTCTATTTTTAAAAATTATACTTACACAAGTTTTGGGCCAATATTTTAATTAAAGTAAAAACAATTTCAAGAGTTTCAAAAGTACTCTTTCTAGTTGGAGTAATTAAAATTTGTTTGATAAGTGTCAATAGTGTGTTTATGATATTTTTTTATTAAAATTAGAGTATTTAGATATTAGCATGCCAATTACTTATGTTTGCTTGGTTCTTTTTTTTTTTTTTTTTTTTTTTTGTGGTGTTTCAAGTGGTATAATTTTGAAGTATAAATTTTTTAATCTTGTGATTTAGGGATAATTTTATAAATTGCATTTGAAAAAGTAAAAGAAAAAACTTGCGTAAACCAAAAAAATATAAAGTTGAAAATTGTGTTTGAATTGGGTTATTAAACAAGTTTTTTAGTAGTATTTGGCTTGATTTAGCTTCTTAAATGATTTTTAATTTTAGTTTTTTATTTAAAGTTGACGTAATCGATTGCTTAATAATAAAATACTATTATTAATTTTATTAATAAATTATGTGTAAATATTAAAATTAAGAATATATCATAAAAGAAATTTATATATTATATAACCTAATAAAAAATATAATACTATATATTATTTTAAAGTTACTTCAATAACTTCGTTACAATGCATGTATGAAACCCACATATTTTGACAATTGCAACGTGGCAATGTATGAACATTAATGTTTTACAATACGAATAAATTAAAAGTATGAAATATTTACTCCATATTTATGCCGAAAATCATATTCCTCTTCCTTAACTTCAAATGCAAAAAAAATGATATCAAACTTTGCCCAGTAAAGAATAGTATAAGAAAAGACTCCTCATAAGTTGTCTTTCACATAGTGTCATATTCTTTGCCGATTGCCGATTCAAACGTAACTATTAAACTCAACAAATTTCCCAACAAAACTCTAATAAAAACTTCGAGCCAAACCCCAAACATACCCCTAAAAACTTTCATATACTTTTGTAAATCGATGCATAGAAATACCAAAAAAAAACCCCAAAATTAAAGAAATCTCATCTCCTCCAAGTTTTCACCTAAACAACAAATCTCATCTCATATTCATTCAAGCAAATCAGCAATAGCTGATTTCCTAAACGCATCAACCTTAGCCAACTGACCAGACATATACTTATTGGGAAATATATTATCAGCCTTCATCCTGTCAATGAACCCATAAGCTGGTTTCTTGGCATTTATATACGCCTGCACCAGCCCCTGATAAACCCGCAGCCGCGACGGGTATCCGCTCCGCCGTATCATCAAGAACATCTTCTCCGCGTTGTGCACGTCGCCCCTCTCCGAATACTTGTCCATAATCGTCAGATACGACAAAAGCATCAGCCTCTTCTTCGTCTGCTTCACAGCCTTTTCGAGAATCGAAGCGGCTTTCTCGACTTCCCCGGCCCCGACGTAAAGCCTCACAAGCGCGTCCCAAGTTAACGGCCCGATAACGCACCCGCACGACTCCATTTTCTTCACCAGCTCCTTCCCTTTCGTCAGCATTTTGTGATTAGCGTACACCTTTAGGAGCGCCGTGAAGTGTTTCGAATTCGGTTTCTTGATTTTCTGTAGCAATTTGTTGAACGCTTCCTCGGCTTTCTCGACTTTTCCAAGCTTCCCCCAGGCGTCGATTATCGCGAGGCATTCTTCCCACCGCGGATTCGACTCGCAGGCTTTCCAGATTCGCTCAACTTCGTCTTCCTTCCCTAGAGAAGCGTAAATCGGAAATAGTAAACTATAAACCTTCCTGTGGTTTTTCAACGTATCTTCATCGTCTCGTTCCATCTCTTTCAGCACTGCCTCGGCTTTCTCTTTTAAATCAGCAGCGACGTAGTGACGGGCTAACGACGCTCGGATTTTATCGTCGGGCTCGACTCCGTCGGCCTTCATTGTTTCGACGATTTGTTCCATCCCGGTTATGTCACGCGACAACCCTTTCACGTCAATTAGAATCCAGTAAGTGAAGAGGGTTGGTTTGATGTTTTCTTTCTCCATCAAGAGAAGGACGTCGGCAATTTTCTTCTTGTCGGTCCTTTTGTAGAGAAGTAGCAACTGGTTGCAAGAAAAGCAGGTGAGGGGCAATCCTAGATCCCGGATTTTGTTGAATATCTTCTCGCATTTCTTTACGTTGGTCGTGGCAGCGTAGTTTGCTAATAGAGTACGGTATGCTAGCTCGCCTCTGAATTCCTCGGGAATCTGCTCGAGATATTCCTCCGCCTTATAGGTGCCTTTTACTTTAGAAATTAGATCCACACGGGCAGCGTAATTGCTCTCCTTAAATTCAATGTGCTTATTCGATTCCGCCCATTCAGACAGCTGCAATGTGTAATAGAAAAAAATTTATAGGATAAAGAATAATGAACAAACAAATAATATCACGGGCTACTGTAACATAAAGATCAATGAAAGCTATGCGGCAGGATGAAATTAGGGAAATGAAAATATTCAAGGATATGAACGAAAAAGTTTCCAATTACAGTACTAAAAGAAAATTACCTGCAATGCCTTGAGATATAAGCGCCGTCTTCGAAGTTGAGACATGGAAATTGAGATTTCTGTTTGGGATATCTCGTTTCCTTCTTCGACCCATTTATCCAATGCTGTCCCCACCGATGATGCAGGTGCGGCTAGTATAGCTTTAGTCAATGATGAAATACCTCTAGGTTTTAGGGATTTCTCCACTTCAACATGATTCTCGGAACCAATAGTGTCCAACTCAGTATCTTCAGAATCACTCTCCTCATCTTCATTATCATCCTCAGCTATGTCACGAGGAGTTTCGAGCTCAGAGAAGCCATCCTCCACATCATCATCATCATCTTCCTTTCCACCGCTCTTAGCATCAGCCTGTGAAGAAAAGGTCCGAACATCCTCATACAACTTAGAATGCCTGGATGTTGTAAAAAAGCTAGGAGAAGATAACAATCCATCAAACAGCAATTTTTGTGGTTTAAGTGATTCAGAATTGTAATTCCCTTGACAGCATCCAGGTGTCTCCAATTTCCCACAGCATATACGGGCAGTCCCCCAAACCAACTCCTGGTTCCTACATCACAACAGAATAGATCTCATAGATGCTTACTAAATCCTGGAGAAAGCTGTAATTTCCAAATAAACAACAAACAACAACTAGAAGCTGCAGTGGCAGATTGCAAAGCATCAGAGCAAAGGACTGTGACAATCAGAAACATTGCCATAAGACAAAAAGAACACAACCTATGAAAAGCAATTATACCACGATTAGAAATTTCAATCTAGTTTGTTTCTATCTTTAATCCAAATATCAATAATTTTCCGTTTGAAAGCACAAAATATATATCCTGAAATCTACAGCAAGACCAACAAATACAAAAGTAGACATTAGCTACCTAAATACAAGGCAAATGTAAAACAATCAGTTATACAATCGTATTAGCAGAGTATTCGCGGACGAAGGCAAATACCACCAGATATAACTGTAACTTCACCAGAAATTGCTTTCAATCGCTCTAAAAGCAACATCTAATACACAGAACAACAGTAATAAAGAACAGAGTCGATTCCACACCGTTCTCGAGTAACACACCACCATAGCACACAATAAACATTTTGTGCATAAAAACGGAGAAGAACAGACACCTCCGGAATGAAAAATGTACCATCATCAAAAAAAATCCTCCAAAAATAAGCTCAGATATATTGACACATCAAGCGACGAGTAACAAATACTCTCACTTTCAAATAACATCCATAACCAGATAGATTAGGCATACCTGAGATGAATGGAAGCTCTACGAAGCGTCCACATTCCAGCTGTTTCCAAATTCCAAAACGAAAGATCAAACGAACTCGGAAATGCGAAGAGGAGCAGCTACGAGGCAAGTCGTCAAACCAGTGGAGTTGCCTAAACCCTAAAAACCCTTGGGCGAAATATCTTCTTTATATAAATAAATTTAACAATTTTGCAAATAAGACCTACATTCTTGTAGGTTTACATTCACGCCCATGCCTTCTTTGCATATTGAAATCTAGACCCAATTTAGTTTGGGCCTGGTGCAGCTGACTTTTAGCCCAATAACTCGACATTCATTAGGCCCATTTTAAAGGCCCATCATTAAGCCGAATTTTGCTTTCACTTCCTTTCGTTTATAATAATACAGTATTATTGGGCACATATTATCATATATGCCCTTGATTTTCTTGTTTGCATTATAAATTATAAAAATATTTCAAAAATACTCTTTAGTGTTCTTATAAAGGCATTTGAAAAAACTAATTATATAAATATAAAAAAAGTAATTATGAATAAACAAAATTTGACAAATAAACTCATTCTATGAGAAGAAAAATATATGAAAAAAATAATTAAATACTAGAGCCCAGAAATTGAATTCAAAATCCACGAAAACGAATAAGGGTGGATTCCCAAGTAATTTTTGTAAAAAATACCAGTACCACAAATCATCAATAAATCCACAATCTCGCTCCATTGTTTCATAGTAGGCATTGAAATGTACATAAATGACACAGCGTTTAGTTCAATTTCTAAGATCATACACGCAGGAATAAACCGCACGTGTGAATTCCCGGCATCGAAAAAATGCAGTTCCAACACCATGCAAGAAGCCAGAAGATGGATCATCGATGGATAGATGACATACCTGAGGGAAATTTAGACACTGCTGATATCCACGCGGCTTTTGTGAAGCTGAAACCCGGGCGTAATCCAGCTCCCGCAGCTGCACTGAATGCCGGACCAGTTGAAGTATCCTAAGCGCGCCTCACAGTGCGCGCACGACAACTTTCCTTGGAGGGCACCTTCCATGGCTGCGTAATATCATCCATCATTAAAGAATGTTTTTCGACTCAAAAGGAAATGCAAAGCAACAATGCATTTCGGATTTAGAGAAGAAATGCAAAGGGATGATTGAATGATCATACCCGCAGTCATCCACCGGAGAGGCTCTATAAATATAGACGAGCACTCATTGTCATCGGATCGATTAAAAGGATTCCCACTCCTCCTTTTATGCCATTCGAAGGATGTTTCACCCTCTCCTGGAACATGATCCAAAACATTTTCCTGCAAGGCAATGAGTCTACGGCACTTCTTGCATCGGTATAGAGGAGATGGATGTGTTTCGTTAGATGATGTTTGGATATTAGAGGAAATAGTTTCAGCTGGCAAACCGGGATCGGCACCAAACTTAGAATCGTCGATTTTTTCTCCACGGTTGTAGGACTCGCCTATATAGAATAGAAAAATACATCATCTGGGGTGTATCTATATTTATACCGTGCAATAATTCACCCGAGTCAATGATTGCTGTCAATGTCATTTATGAAAAAATAAAAACCATATGTGACAAATATATATATTGTAAACTTTAACAAATAAGTTCTTGCTTTTGTTCTTTTTTGTTTCCATAATCCTTCTTATAGAATGTAGAACTGTTCATGATTCATTTGATTTAACTAGAACAAATGAGAGCCGAATCATTGATGCATATAATATTGAAGATCAACTAAGAATCAAGATTCAAGAAACACATAAATCGGTAGGGTAAAAATATCGAACCTAGTACTTTTAACCGGAAGCGCTTGTATATGGGATTCGTGCGGTTAACTTTGAAGCCCATTTCCTCAAACATTTTCAACTGCAAATACAGATGAAATGAGATTGGAGCACCTAGGAAAGGGAGCTAAAGTAGAGGATAGTCATGAACAAGGATAAGACAGTTTAAAATATATGTCACCTCACCTGATCCAGGAAACCATCGTTAGGGCACACAGTTTCACAGCTTTCACGTAATGATTTGAGTGCATCTAACAATCACATGAGATAAATAAATAATGTTAAAACAGATAACTATAATAAAACCAAAACAGGAATTTGAGAAAGAATAATGTTTTGCTTTAAAAAAAACTTAGATTAGCTTTCTGCGAGATGTTTTAAGAAACAATCTTTACATAGTTTCATTTAATAAGACGTAAGATGTAAATTAGTCTCAATTTACACTTTTTTAAAAGTGTAAAATCCCCACTCTCATAACTATATGAGTTTACAAATTCTTCTTCATCTTCCAAATTTCAAACAACAGCCAGATCTTTTAACCACCTAGATTGCAATATGTTAAAAGAGTCGAAACATCATTACTTGACAAAACCTCACCTTCTTTGGAGAGCTGCTCGCTTTTCATTAGGTAGGCTGTAACAATTGCTGCACTGCAGAAACAAACACAAGAAAGTAATTTTAAACACTAAGAACATGGAACATGCAGAGAAAAAAAAGCAATTACGGTGTAATCTATACCTCCTGGATACACCAGCAAAGCAATGAACCAAAACAGATCCCTTTTTCCTACCCTCCTCAATAAAATCCAAACACACATCCAAATAGTCCAACAAATTTTCATGCTCAATATCTCTCAAAGGAACCGCCATCCTCACAAACTTCAAATCTTTACCAGCGTTCTCTAGTGAGTACAGAAGCTTATCTGGTGACAGTGAACTCTTTGATGCATCGGATGATATATCTTCAGACCCTGATCCTCCAGCATAAATCTTACTAATTTCTTTGCTTGGAATCAAAATTCCACTGCGCCATTCCGAGAAGAATGAAATTGATGCTGAACTTAGAAATGATAGTATGTGTGTAATTTCATCACTTCCTTTCTGGAGAACCTCTGCAGCATCTCCGATGTTTCCAATAAACAGACGCTCACGTACTAGGTACGGCATCTCAAAACAATCGATGTAGTGTTTATTGAAGTCCAACAAATTTCCTGTTTATTTGCTTAAGGAGAACAAAAGATTATCAGTATGCGGCAATAGCCACCTATATATATATATATATATATTGTGTGTGTGTGTTAATGCTAAGAGATGAGTCATTAAGTTTCCAACGCAATTAGAAAAATTCTTTATTGATATAGTTCTTATTCTGAGATTCATGGCTTTAATTTTTCTAGAACAAATGTCGTATAAAATTATATAACTATACATTGAACTTTAAAGATTAATTCTCCACCGTTCAACTTTTGAACAAGCAAGGTACCTTAAGACGATTAAATTGTCATCTGTTTCTGATTCCCAGCAAATCACTGAAGCAAGATTCACAATTTCATGTGTTCCTCGACAAACGATTAAATTGACAAACTACGAAGAAACTGGAGCAAATTCACTTTTTTGTTTTTTGGTCTTGACGAGTGATTAAATCCACAAACACCTGTGAAATTCCATTGACGACATAGTCGAAAAGCACACGTCATTCCCAAACCTGGTATAAAGATTCCATTCGAAAAGTTCAAAAAAATAAAGACCAAAGAACGAGAATCTCGGACGTAGAAAATCACTTCACGCAGAAAACTATTCCTCAAATCAATACCTCAAATGAGTTCACATTTACAAACCACGAAATTAAATTCATCCTGCTGACGAACGGAAAATCCACAGCGTATACCTGACGCCGGAAGAAGGAATATTCCGACGAATATCAAGGTTGAGAAGACGCCGGAGGAAATCGCCCCTCCGATTCTTCAAAATGGTCTCTCCATCAGTCGCCCTTTCCCACTCTCCCACCCGTGAAGGCTTCCGTCTCTTTTATAGGAGAGCTTCACACGTGTGAATGGAAGCTTTCCCGCACGAGTGAACTTATACGGTGCGGAGTTTCCGAGTTTATCAATATCGCCCCAAAATTATGCACTAAACCGAAAATGCCACCCCTATATTTTAAATTTGTTTCATTTTGACTCTCTTCGGAGAAATGGATTGCATGATTAATTTAAATTTAAATTAACTAGCTAAGTAGTTTAATTTGAGGGAAAAACAAAAAAAAATAGTTCACTAAGAGCAAATACAAAGGGTTTACAAATATGTCATGTCCCAACATCAATTCCTAACTCTTGAACTATTAAATAAAATCACACACAATAATTAGTTAAAATAAATTCATCTCACCGCGTCTTTTTTCGATCTTTCACTATTGTTGCCGTGCATCTATTGGCTTCTCTTTAGTGCATTTTCTCTTTTCCCAACACCTAAATTTTTGCTTATCAACCTCCAATTGAGAGCTTCGGTGACGATAAAGAGGGAGGAAGTCCGGGCTTTAGAAACAAAGTTTGTGTCAATGACATGGGAGTAAAATGGAGAAAGGGATGGCTAGCCATGATGACCACAAGGGAAAGCGAAGATTGTATCCGGTGGTTACAATACAATTCGGGTTTCAATTGCAAGCGTAGGATAAATAAAAATTTTTATTTCATGAAAAAAAATGCAAGAAACGCTTGAATAGTGTTTCTACTGCATCAAGTTTTATCTATCAATCACCGATATTTTTTGCTTATAAATTTAGTTCTCTATGTTTGATTTTTCACAAGTTTTCTTATAAATCTTTATCTTTTGATAGAATACATGTTTGGTGTCACACGGTCGTGTGTTTGTATAGAACAGAGTTCATTTATTTGGTTTGTTATACATACATAACCGTGTTTTGGTGTATGCGCTTGTGTTTTGGCAAGGTAAACTGCCAAATCAAAATCCACTAGGTCCACATCACTATTTTTGTTGATTTTTGAATAGTGAGATTAAAATTAATTAAAATTATTCATAACAAGACTAAAATTGATATATATATATATATTTAATATTGAGATCAAAATTAATAATTTTTTTTTTGTATTGAGATCAATATTGATTTTTCTCTAACAAGGAGAAAAAACACAGGCCTTATTTATCATGTATGATTTGTCTAATTTAACTTATATTGTCAGACTTAATTTGTAATTTTAATCGAGAGTCTATCAAAAAATGCACTTACCGAAAACGACTGCGGTACCATTGAAAAAAAAAAAAAAAAAAAAAAAGGCAGATGGATAATGTACACTTTCCATTACTTGTGGTACCACCATTTTTTTTTTTTTCAGTATGTGGCGCCTCCGCGGCTATTGTTGCAGTGTGAATTGGTGGCCACAAGGCCATGTTTGGGAGTTTTAGTGAAATTTCCCAAATGTCCCAACTAACGGTCCACGTATTGCATGAAATGCACGAAATAAAATAAAGTGAGACTTCCCATTTTTTAACAAAGCCCTCTTTTGACTGTCGAGTAAAAAAGCAGACACGAAATCCAAATGGGCTTTCACAACCTCGATTCTTGGAAAGTGCAGATTGAGTTTCTATTACAAGGCCAAACATGTCATTGATTAATGTGGCCCCAAGTCAACCGAGGGCAAAATAGACTTTTCACGCACCACTGCTAGTGTGTGTACATATATGTCCCGGCATTTAAATTGTCGGTCTCAGACTGTCAGCTCTACCCACTGCGAGGAGGAACGAAAATGGCGGATAGCGGGAGTGGCGTGGCCGACAAATTGGAGCCGTGGATGGAGCTCAAGGACAAGGTCTTAATGGTGACCGGCGCGTCGTCTGGTTTAGGGCGAGGTTTCTGCTTGGACTTAGCCAAAGCCGGCTGCAGGATCGTCGCCGCCGCTCGGAGAATCGATCGGTTGCAATCGCTCTGCGTTGAAATCAACGAGAAGTTTCCAGCCTGCTCCGGCGAGCTGCGGCGAAATCAGCCGAAAGCCGTGGCGATTGAGCTTGACATTAACGCGAACGGGACGGTTATCGAGGCCTCCGTGCAGAAGGCGTGGGATGCGTTTGGGAGAATCGATGCGTTGATTAACAACGCCGGTGTAAGAGGTCGATTCGAGTTCTTATCCAATGAATTTTAGGATTTAAGCTCAATTTCTAGGGTTTTCTAATCTACATTTTTTTTGTTTTTTGTTTTTTGTTTTTTTAAACGCGCTTTGATCGATTTCTCTTCAATGCTAGCGCAGGGGAGTTATTTCAATTTTCGAAACCTACGCCAATTTAATGCATTATCTGTTTTTCAACAGGGCAATGAATTCAAATGTATGCAATAGTTATAGTTCCCTTATTTGTGCTGCTACTGCTAAGAAATTCATAGGAAATAGCTCAAGTAGGAGTCCTTAATTAAACCAAACTCTGTGGTGGTTGAGAATTGACTTCAATTGGCTCATCCATAGGCATCTTCGTGGTTGTTGTAGTTAAATTCTGTGGTGGTTGAATTCATTGAATTCATAGGTATTTTTCATTTATGGAGTAGTTGATGCAAGATTCTGCCCTGTTTTGTGTAGAACTTCCAACACTTTATGATATGTTAGTTTCTAATTGAATGCCATTGATTTTGTTGTGAAATTGTTACATGTATTTCTTGTTCTTATTGTTTGTCGGATGTCATTTGAGTTCCGGGGAGGCTTTAATTGCGCTCGAGATTTCTTGTTCTTATTTCTTGTGATTCCTTTATCCATAGATCATAATGAATGTGTCCAATGCCTGACAGATTATTTTTTTTGCACACAGGCAGTGTGCACACACCACTGGATTTAACTGAAGATGAATGGAACAACATCATTAGGACGAATGTGTCGGGAACCTGGTTGGTTTCGAAGTGTGTTTGCAGGCATATGCGCGACGCTCAGCTTGGTGGGTCCATCATCAATATCTCCTCGATCGCTGGCCTCGACCGAGGCCAGCTTCCGGGAGGTCTTGCTTATAGCGTTGCGAAAGCTGCTGTCAACACCATGACAAAGGTAACAATAATTTCTCGTATCTATAGGCTATGTTTAGATAAAAGATCGAGTTTTGGAAAATATTGGAAATAGAAGAAAGTGACTAGTTAATGTGATACTTTTTTAAAAAGTTAATTGGTATTGAAAAGTGTCAAAAAAGTCTAAAAATATTTGTGTAAGCTGATACTTATGTTTTGAAGTTTTATAGTTTTGGAAACTTTTGAGAATAGTAAAAATTTGAATAGTAGATATAATACTTTTTGAAAAAATTACAATAGATTTACAGTTGAGATAACATGCTGAAATTTATAATTCACCGTTATGAAATTAATCTCTACCATTAATTCATAAGAAATACATAAATTGACATAATTACTCTTATTTAATTAAAAGTTAGATTTAATTCAGCATGTACTGAATTAAATTTCTATGTCATATGTGAATATAAATTTAATCAAAGGTTAGATCCAAAGCAGAAGAATATAATTTGTAGTATATATCTTCCATAATTTAAGATTTCATTTAGATAGAAGTTTTGGAGTCTTAAAAATCTCGAGAATAGTAAAAACCGAAAAGTTGATTGGATGCGCTTTTTAAAAAAATTACTAATGACAAATAATATCAAAAGTTGTAAAAATATCTTAAACGGAACTTAAATCTTTCCCTTAATTTCTATTGATGTTTTTGCTGCATTCGGTATAGGTCATGGCCTTGGAATTGGGAGCATACAAAATAAGAGTGAACTCGATATCACCGGGGCTTTTCAAATCGGAGATAACTCAGGGGCTCATGCAGAAAGATTGGCTGAAGATGATTGCGGTAAAAACCGTGCCTTTAAGGACATACGGCGAATCAGATCCGGCATTGACATTGCTGGCGCGCTACTTGATCCACGACTCTTCTAAGTATGTGACGGGAAATCTATTTATAGTCGAAGCCGGTGCTACGTTGCCGGGTGTACCGATCTTTTCGTCGCTTTAAATGGCAAGGTTTAGAAACAAATTTTCAGGGACAGAACAGAGATGGTGTTCTTGAATTCTTGTATGTTGTTAGTTTTCTAGAACTACCAAAAATTCATTCCGATTAATTTTGTAGACCTTTTAAAATTTGCTCACAACTTAAAAAGATTCAAATAGATAATAATAATTGTTACTATTTTACAGTAATATATATGTATATATATATATAAATGATAAACTCGCTCCCGTTTCATTTGAAAGAGCCTTTGGAGTTTTTAATTTATTTGTTAATTTGGAGTTTTAATTTGTTTGTTAATGAAAGTAGGTAAAAATTTATTAATTTTGTGAAGTAAAAAGTAATTGTATATTTTTAAAAATTAAAAGGTATTTTAATATTAATGTATAATTATTTTTTAATAAAAATGATAAAAATATTAAAAAAATATTTTAAAGTGGGAGAGGGACTAATTCTTTTATTAAAAAACATGCATGTTATATGTCTCCCTTTTCTTTTCTTGTTCCCAAAATTTTTGAGCATAAAAACGGAGTATATATATATATATTTCACGGCAATAGATACGTGAACGAATTGGGCTGTGCTGTCGTATGAATGATGATGGAGCACGCTGCCATCGATACATTTATCCAATTCCCAATCCCGGCCCGGAATCTTTTGAGAAAGCCCGACAACATCCCCCAAGCAATCGCCATGATTTAGAATCCGAACAATTGGAAAGTTCGATCTCTCCCCCCTTTCATAGTCAATCCCTGAAATCCCTGCACCTGTCTCTTCTTCTCCGTCAATTCGATTCTTACAGGTTAGGGTTTCGATTTTCCCCTTTTCAATTCATTGATTTGAAGGTTCAGTATTGGTTCAGTATTTACTTGAATTTGATTTTCCCTCTATCTGCTGTGAAGTGACTTAAATAAATGTTATCGTTGGATTCCGTAAGGAGGATTGGGAGGTTGGGCTCTGTCGGTCCTATAAGTAATTTGTCGTTTTGGAATGTTTGGGAAGAAAGGAGTAGCAAATCCGCCATTGGAGGAGATGATCAGAGCTTCCAGAAACATCTTGAACTAGAGTATTCCCTTTATTACTTTTATGATCGTATTTCCACCTGAAATTGATTTCAGATTGCAATTTTTAGTTTGTGGAATTAGATTATCATATTTACATGTTTTTCTTGCTAATTGGGATGGAATTTATTGAATTTCAGTCTTGTTCCTAGTTTAATGTTTAATGTGTTCTTAGACAGATTGTTTCCTGTTTTACTGTAACAAGAACTTTATGAAATCTTTTGTTGTGTAGCCAGAGCAATGGAAAAGAAGCTTCATTGTTCAATCATGAGTCTCGGATTATTCTATTTCGGGCGTCGAATCGTGCTTATTGCTCTCGATCTTTTACTACTGATGTGAAGCATAAGGTGTGTTTAGTGTTTATAGTGCTTTTGATCTGTAGGATATTCGGATCGAATGCTTTCTTGGCTGTCTGCATTTGTGTCGAACGCCGGCTCTCAGCTGCTAAACTCGTCGATGATGCGTTTTATTTTCGTAAATTTGATTAATAATTTTGTCCTCGACTTCGCAGCTATTGAATTCTGTTCCTAAATATGTGAAGATTGTAGAAGTTGGCCCGAGAGACGGCCTGCAAAACGAGAAGCAGATCGTGCCGACAAGTGTCAAGGTTGAATTGATCAAAATGCTAGTTTCTTCAGGGTTACCTGTCGTCGAGGCTACCAGTTTCGTCTCGCCAAAATGGGTTCCACAGGTAATTAAAGACTCTTCCCCTGCATTTTCATGTCGAAATTCGTGTTTGTAAATAATCGTAACTATGGGCATTGCACTATGGAGCGATGTTTCGGTGTCATTTATAACAGTAGCGTATAATTGCAGCTCGCCGATGCGAAGGATGTAATGTCGGCAATCCAGGGCATCGGGCGCTCTAAATTCCCTGTTTTGACGCCGAACCTAAAAGTACGTTATGATTTAATAATTGATCTTTATCTGTCGGCGGGGATTTATTGTAATAAGTTGAAATTGTTCCAGGGTTTTACGGCGGCAGTCGAGGCCGGAGCCAAAGAGGTCGCCGTCTTTGCTGCAGCATCGGAATCTTTCTCGAACTCAAATTTAAATTGCAGCATTGAAGATAGTCTTGCTCGGTACCGCGATGTCGCCATTGCTGCTAGAGACCGCGCGATCCCAGTCCGCGGTTACGTTTCGTGCGTCGTGGGCTGTCCGATCGAAGGAGCGGTGCCTCCATCGAAAGTCGCGTATGTCGTAGACGAGCTTGTCAAAATGGGATGCTACGAAATATCCCTCGGCGACACAATTGGCGTCGGGACGCCGGGTAATGAAAAAATCCTGCTTTCGAACATAGAATCGAATTGAATCAAACTGAGTTGCGGAATGCAAGAATGATTATCTTATTGTCTGATTTTTTGACTTGTTTCGCTAGGAACCGTAATTCCGCTGCTCGAAGCTGTTCTTCATGTCGTTCCAGTCGACAAGCTTGCCGTCCATTTCCACGACACTTACGGACAAGCCCTGTCGAACATTTTGTTATCGCTCCAAGTAAGCTCTCGACACTTACGAGCTCTGTTTACATAGATATTTTTGAAATTTTTGACACTATTAACGAATCTTCCATTTTAAAAAATATTATACTCCTCATGTCCCCATAAGAAGATACTATTTTCTATGTTTGTCCGTCTCAAAACAAATGAACTATTTTATAATATATTACGCAAATGTCTTTACTTTTATATTACACCATATCAGGGGCATTTTTGTTTTTTCTACAACAAACTAATATAATACTAATTTTAAAAAATTTGCATTCCGAGACGGAGGTAGTATCAAATACTTTTTTCTTGTCATAACATATCACACAATATTAAAATTTTTACTATTTCAAAAGATTTTCAAAATTCCAAAACTTTTCAAAAGGTTTTCAAAATTCCAAAACTTTTGTTCAAATGGAACTAAGTTTTACGGCGATCTTGTCGAAAAGCTCGTCGTCCATTTCCGCGACGCTTAAGGGCTAGCCCAAATGAACTTTGGACACTTGCAGAGAGTTTGTAGCGCTATTTATTAATAGTAACTTTTAATTTTTAAACGAAATTTAAGTTTTACGGCGTTTCTTGCAGATGGGCATCAGCGTAGTCGACGCCTCTGTATCGGGCCTCGGCGGTTGCCCGTATGCGAAAGGCGCGACGGGAAATGTCGCCACGGAGGACGTCGTGTACATGCTTGACGGCCTCGGGGTGAAAACCGGAGTCGACGTGGTGAAACTCGTGTCGGCTGGAGACTACATTAGCAAGCAATTGGGGCGATGTTCTAATTCTAAAGTTGCTGTGGCATTGAGCAAGAAAATGGCTGCTGCTGCCGCCTCTAAGCTCTAACGTTGTTTCTCTGTTGCTGTTCTAATTCAGAATTAGCTACAGATCGATCGACTATTCATAACAAAATAATATAATGTAGAAATTCCAAGTGCAAAATTGAGGGCCATAAGTGAGACAAAATGATGTAGTGATCAACTCCAAAGATCCTTAATAGATCCCATGAATTATATATATATATATATATCTTTTAAAAATTTGACATTATTCATATATAGTAAATTTTTAAAAATATTAAATTAAATACTCCTTTCGTCCAGCTAGAAAGTATATATACTTTTATTTTGGAACGTTTAATTACAAAGTAAATATTTTATTAAATACTTCATTTTTTTTCACAAATACCCTTATTTTACATCACTATTATTTCTTAATCACTGCCACCAAAAGTAAATGTTAGTTTGTATGTGGACGGATGAAGTATATTTTTACAATTTTTTAAAAACTCTAAAATTTCTGTCAAAATGGAAAGAATAAGGCTTTATTGGGGGTTTTTAAAATTTTGAAAAAAAAAAATTGAGTATGATATAAAATTATTAATATTTGATTTGATATTTTTTAAAAGAAATAAAGTTGGTCTTTTTTCACAAAAATTTTCAACTTAATTTTCTAAACAAATTAATACTTATTACATAAATTTATTAATTTTATATTATTTACATAATTCTCTATATACCAAAATACAAAACAAACACACCCTAAGAATTTAATAAATAATTTTATTTTTTTTAAAAAATTAGCAATAAAAAATTTAAAAAATGTCTGTGTAAGAAAGGAAATAGCCTTAGGTAGCACTGATTCTATGACCGAAAGGGCAATTCTTTGTGGCCCATAAATAAAAAAATTATATTTGATTAAAAAGTGAGTAATCTTTCTTAATTTACCTCTCTTTCTCTCTCTTTCTCTCTAGAAGCTTTCTGGAGAGACATTCCTTCTTAAATGGATTCAGAGGAAATAAAAGCTTACAGAAAAAGAAATGATAAAGAAAACCAATTTTGTTTGAATTTGAGCTCCAACAACCGCATTAATGGCGGCATTCATTATTATTTCAGAAATTTGCAGTACATTGTGGTAATAACGACAACAAACACCAATTTCAAGAACACTGCTATTAATAATTACAACAATAATAAAATTCAGGGTTTATGATAATGAATTCATCCTCAATCTTCTTTCATCCAAAATTTCATAAAAATCATAATATATATATATATATGCACAAATCGAAACTGCTCGAGAAACTTATTACAAAATTGAATTCAGCATTACATACAATACATATCTTTATATATATATAGAATTCTTGAATGAGCAAAACTCAAGAACAACGAACAAATATACATATATATATATATGGTAGATAGATACAATTAATTAAAAAAGCTTATCTGTTGTGTAGAGGATTGGGACCAGTGTAGACTCGTCTCTTATCATCCCCAAAAACAGTTCCATAATTATCTTCTGCAATACCTTTGTGGGCTTTTTTGCCATAATAATAATAAGAAGAAGATGAAGAAGAAACCCTTTTGCCTGATCTGCTACTGGTGTGTTTGGTGTTGCCATTGTTGTCATCTTCTGCAGGTTCTTGATGTTGACGATGATGGTGATGAGTTTGGAGCACAACAAACATCATTAGAAGGAGAAGAAGCAAGCAGAAGCAGGCCCCCAATTCCCTCCCCATTCTCATATCAAAATATATATAATTAATTAATTTCCAACCCAAACCCTACTCATATATATATATGTATATGTATGTATGTATGTATGTTTGTTTGTGTATCTTGTTTCTCTTTTTGTTGATGAAATCCAAGTGAAAAATGCGCCTTGGAATTGCAGCTGCAGTCTAGGGATTGGTGGTGGTGGTGATGTGAATGATGGGTTTTTTTTAGGGTTTTGTTTGGGGTTTCTGATTTGAGAGGGAAATGGGAAGAACTTGAGAGAGAGAGAGAAAGAGGATAGAGAGAGAGAGAGGAATTTAAGTTTAGGGAAGAAAGGATAAAGGAAAGTATAGGAGAGGTGTGCTGATGACTAAGACTCACTCTTGCATGAAAAGTTCATTCCATTCTTGCTATTTTTATTCTTTTTTAATTTTTTTAAATAAATAAATGGAATTTACTCACAAATTAAATCTTTACTAATATTGGGTCATGTGATATCAATCATTTTCTTTACCTTTTTTTCTTGGTTTGTTGGATGATAAAAGTTGTTTTTGCATTAATTGGTAGAAATAACTCCCCTCCCCCCATGGTGATTAAAGGGTTGATTAGCACATAAAGTATATATATATATATATATATTGACAGAAAAAAATGAATGTTAACCACAATTTATTTCATTATAGTTGTATATATATATATATACATGATGCTGATTAGAGCGTTGATTAGTACGATATTAATTCACATATGAAGTATATATTGACGGTACAAAGTGATTGTTAACCGTAATTAATCTCGTTACAACTATATGTTAACGACATAACATACACACAAAATATGAATTGACGGTATATGGTAACAATACATATTGTATAAATTCAAATTATGTATTGTCGGTGTATACATATATATATATATATAGTAGAAAAGTATAGTTTTAATTCAATATTGATCATAATTATTCCATTTAAGAAAACCTTATTGTATATCTCACTTATTGTTTCAATATTTTTTGTATTTACATGTAATAATTAGATATTCATACAAAAGATGATACACAATCAATAGAACAATAAGAAGTACAATAGAACATAATTTAAAATGATAAAAAAAAATTTCAGTGTCATTTTTTAAGACACTACATAAATTTTTTAGATAAAAATTTTATATTAATACAATTACTTACAAAAGTGTAATAGGGCTACTAAATACATGTCTTTATTCTATGAATAAAATCAAAGGACTTGTATATATTTTTTGGGAATTTTTTTTAATAGTAATTAATGATTAAGGTGTGTAGACAATTAGTGTGATTTCCCTATAGTAATAATTTATTTATTTAAAAGAAGCTTCAAGACAAGATTATTTCACAATCAAACAGCTCTTTCTACACACTTTTTTTTTTTTTCAAAAAGATTAGATATTATATGTTTATATATGATATTTTTTTGTGCAAGAATATAATATACTTTTCCCTTATAAAACTTTTGTAATAAAAATTCAATTTTGAATTAATTAGTGTCATAATTATATTATTTGATGGAAGAATATAATACTTTTGCCCTAGGAAGCTTTTGTTACATAATTCAATTTTTAGTGTCATATCATGTTTCAGATTCCTATATTCAACCCCATTATCCTAATTTATGTTGAAACTTTCTTCTTCATTAATTTTATTATATATATGTATGTATATCTATCTATGTATTATCCGAAGTGACTACAATACAATCAAATCCTCAACTAATTCCATTGCTGTCATCTTTCAAGAAATCTTAAAAATAAAAATCTAGATTTTTAGCACTATCTTATTATGAAATTTTAGTTAAGATGAAATATAATCTATACATATAAACCCCGTTTTATATTAGAAAAAATAATTAGACACACACACACACACATATATATATATATAATTACATATACATATATATATACGTCAAATAAAAAATTGAATATGTAAAACCAAAAGATATGTAAGTATAACATGCTTAAAAATGATATATATATATATATATAGTGGAAAGAAAATATAAAAGATATATATATTATTTTTGAATTTATATTATGAGTAAGAAATGTAAATTTTGTTAAATTCAATATTTTTTTTTGCATTATAAAATATACATTAATATTGTTTGAGTGATTTGATGTTTTATAGTATTATATTAAAATAGTCACAAAAGAAATTAAAGCAATTATCTTATTTGATATTTCAATAAAAATAAATAAATAAATAAATAAAATTATTAAAAGTATTTTTAGTATATCTATATATAAAAATTAGTACAAATAAATAGTAAAACAAAATATTATTTAAAAAATAATGAAGAGAAATAAATAGAGGAGCAACCACTGCAATGAATTAGTCAAAAGAGAGAACAAAATTATATATGAATAGTGTGTTAGGACATCAATGATGACAATGATCAATGCATCAGATGAACCAAGTTTATTAAATAAATTCACAATATTAATATTAATAATTAAAAAAATCAAGAAAACAAAAATAGTAGTATGAATGAATGAATTAATTTCAAATCTTAGTAATGTAAATTAAATTTCCATTGTGACAATATTTTCACTGAGTATGGCCACATAATGATTAGATAAAAGACTAAGACAACTAAGGGTTTAATGAGTAGTGACCACTAGTAAAGATATGATCCCTATATATATTGTGCATATAAATAATGTCTCAAAAACAATTTATTTAGATATATATATATATTAATATATTATCATTAATTATATACCTATATATATAGTGATGATCTTGGTCACTTTCTTGTTAGAAATGATGTTGTCTGTCCTTCCTTTTTTCCATGCCAATAAGTAACTTTGCACCATGGCTTGTGGACATTAAATTTTCAAGATTTTAACCAACCCCAATTACCCAATTACATTTACACATACATTTTTGCAAGAATTATTATATTTACAATAATATATTTTGTGGGTTTGACCCACAATTTATATGATGGTAAAAATGTATTGGGTGGCAAGTCCATAGCAAGAATATAAAAAAGATCATCATTAAAGTAAAAGGGAATGTTAATATTGCTCCACAAGCAATCTCATGCATTTATTTCTTTTTTCAACTTTTTTTTTTGGTCTTCAAAACTTTTTATTAGTGATAGTTGGTCAAAGCCATTGTTCTAACATCATTGGAATATCAACTCCTACATTAAATTTTTCATTTTTTTTTTAAAATGTCATAATATATTATTTGGGCTTTGAATTGAGTTACCAAGAATGATTTGGGCCAAATTAGTCATTATTGGGCTGATTGTTTGTTAAATATGGGCCTACATAAGTGGGCTTGCACTAAAGGGTATTATGGTCATTTTGCATAATACTTGGCTGCCTAATTAATTCCCAAGCCGAATCCCAAAACCCTAGTTTTGGTAAAACCCTTCTTCTTCGTGTTCTTGGATTGTGCTGTCTTCTCTGCGCAGGAAATCAAATGGCGAAGCGTTTGGTGCCGCTTCTGAACCGTGTTTTGGTTGAGAAGATCACTCCGCCGTCGAAGACCACCGCCGGCATTCTCCTCCCTGAGAAAACCAGTAAGGTAATACCGACGCTTTTCGAATTTTTTTTTTTTTTCAATTGAGCTTCCTGTTTGTGTAGGTTTGATTTTGAAATTTGAAATACCTTAGAAATACTATTGATGACTGTCAGATTTGGAGGAAATGATCGACGATTCTGTTTTTCCCCTTGTGATATTTGCTTGTTTTTATTGCTTATGCTACCAGAACTTTTTGAAATTCGCAGATTGTTTTTTTATGAGGTTCGGAAATTTTCTGATGTTTTGATTCTCTGGTTAAAATAATTTTCTTTCAATTATTGTTCATCTGTGATGTTTTGATTCTTTAGCTGTTCTCTTTGAATCACGAGGAGAATGTACAGAAGTTTTTCAAAAATATTGAAATAAATTGTTGATCCAAGGGAAAAAAAAAACAAACTAATAAATAAATCAAACTATCAAATGATCCGGACAGCATGAATTAATGAGACCTATTTTCATCAGCCATGAACATGAAATTTCTTAAGATGCTTAGTTCTTTGTATTGATCGGTTGTGAATCATCGTTACAGATTGTCGATTTTCATTAAGCTGAGTTACATTTGGTATATTGGGTGCAATAATGTTCCTAAGGTTTGCATTTTTCTGTGTTTAAATTCAATTGGAACAAACACTCAGTTGAACTCTGGAAAAGTTGTTGCTGTTGGTCCCGGCTACCATAGCAAGGAAGGCAAGCTTGTTCCGGTGAGTTTGAAAGAAGGAGAGACGGTGCTGTTGCCTGAGTATGGTGGCACTGAAGTGAAGCTTGGTGAAAAAACGTAAGCATTTGATTATAAATAGATGTTTGTATTGATACTTTAAATGAAAATTCAACTTCTTGTATAATGCTATTGCCGTCCCGTATCAATTGATGCATACTTTTCTGTCACATAATTTAAAGAATATTGATATTTTATTGATAGTAAGTATTGAACAATGATTAAATGTCTTTTCTTTTTTCCCCTTGTGAATATCTGTTTTAATATAAATGTAAAAACTAATGGCATTTGTGTAGTAGTCATGAAAAAGGGAAAAATTGTTTTTATAGCGATATGACTATTTATGGTAATGCTCAATTGATTTGGGACGAAAGGAAATAGTAAAATGGGACAATAGATATGGGATAAAGCGAGTATCTTAAACGAAAACCCGTGTTTTATTTATTGAGTTTGGGGAAAAAAATCTTTGATGAATAGTATGAGACTAAATATTTGATGAATAGTATAATTTGCTTTATTTAGTTATTTTTTGTCGTTGATGGTATAATTTCTTTGACTCTTGTTTCAAATTTCTGCTGAATTTCTGATCGGGCATGCTTGTGATCGATGTTTCAGGTATCATTTGTACCGGGACGACGACATTCTGGGAACACTCCATGACTAATTTGGCCTGGTCTTATTACCATGCCGACAATTACATTACTAAGAGCGACGCATAAGCAATTTATGAGATAAGTTTCAAACGCTCTTTAGTAACTTCACATCTTTCTATCGATGAATTAATTTGTTGGAAAATCTGATGTATGAGACGTTTCTCTTCGAATTGATTTAAGAATTTGAAGTTTTATTGATGAATAGATTCCCCTGCCGCTTTTCGATCAAGTTTTGTGATACATGTAAGAAATATCTCTGTCTGCATCGAAACAGTTCTCTCTCGGCCTGCTGAATTCAGATTAGTCTTACAAATGAACTTATAACCTTGTCTGCGCGGTTGACTCGCGGGAGCCCTGTCCCTGAAACGAATGAACTAAACAGGACTAGTGACCTTGCTGGTTGAGAAAATGGCGCTTCGTGAGAAGCCCCTCTTACAGTTGCGAACGATAGATAATCCCCGTAGGCCTGTGTCCATCCTGCGACCTGCGAAACAAGTGACGATGTAGTTAGCATTGTACGATGTTTATTGTCGTGTCCTATTACCTGATTCTTAACTGTTGGAACATAACTATAACCTGTCTTCTCTCGAACCAAGGGCCGTACGTTGCTGTTGTGTTCAATCCCAGGTCTTTTGCCAGGCGATTCACCAGCAACCGAGTCCCGGTAAGCGGGAGAACAGAATCTTGATCGCCACTGTCGACATTTTTACATCATCAGCAGTTGTCTGAATCTGTTGACGTTTCTTGAATGTTAGAACTCACCTGTAAACCAGCACACGTATGCCTGACTTCACGAGCGATCCCAGAATCCCGATCGTCGGAACCTCCAGATTTTGCATGTCGTAACGTAGAACACTGTAACCAAACAAATAGCTCGTAAAGGGATCGTTTATAATTTAAAAATTGCATGAGACTCTCGTACTTTTGAAATATTGTATGAAATTAATTTTTTAAAACAATTTTATGCAATATTTTAAAAAATACAAAAAGGTAATACACTTTCTCCTAATAGAAATATTTTTGTAATTTTCTTTTAATTTGTACTATGTTTTGATATAAGTAAATGAGATCCTTATAACCGAACGAATGTAGTAATTTTTAGAGAATTTTGTGCAATATTTTCAAATATGACGAGGGCGAAAGACATTACTAGCTGCAAATGCCCCATTGTTTAACCCCGACGAGGCTTGCGTGGAGCGCTTCCTGCACGTCTTTTCTGTTAAGGTACATCGTCGTTTCATCCTCGACGCACACATTTATCTTCGGCTCCTCCTGCTGAAAAAAAAAAAAAAAATGCGACAAACTTCACCGGACCATCCAATACGGTCGCAAACACAAATTTACGACAAAACGATTCAGTACCGTCTGTTTCAGCGCCTCCGCCTGAAGCAAAACCGACGAAAGACAAACATCGAGCGTAACATCATAGGAATCGATAAATTGACTCATCTCCGACGACACGATTTTATTCACTCTCGAGCAGACCGGCGAAAGCCCTCCTCGCGCGGCCTCCCTTCTGATCTGCGAGTAGTTGCAGACGTGCGTGAACTGATAATACGCGGCGTCGGATATCAGTCCGTGCGACCAGAGGAACTCGGCTCTCGAATTGAAGTCGGTATCGAATTCGAGAAGAGGATTGCCAATCTGATGAAGCCCAGAAAAAAAATCAAAGAACACAAAAGAAAAGAATGATGAATCAAGAATTTGCATAAAATGATGTAAATTGTGATCCAATAATTGATGTTCTTGTTACTCACTGCAATCCCTTTAAGATTGATCTTTGATTTGGAGTGAAGTATGAGATTAGCCAATTGTGGAACATAATGCCCTGTTGAGGAATCAAACAAACAACATTTTTTTTAGACAAAGAAACCATGGATTTGATGATGACAACCTCAAATAAAATGTACTGTTAGAGTAGTGATTAAGGCTAATCACCACATGAACAATTAGTTTTTTAGTGTGTTTTTGTTTTATCAAATTTTCTTGGGTTTTTATTGTTGATCAGATAATTTTTTTTCCAAAAACATCAAATAAAATAGTATTTATTTTATATTTTTTATATTATGAGATTAATTTTACATCGATGGAATTGTAGTGGGACAAGAAATGATTTTTCCCTAAAAACAAACATACCTCCATAGCTTTCTCCTGTGATGTAAAACACTCTGTTCTTGAACTCTGGGAACTTCTCCAGCCATTTCTCGAGGAAATTAAGGTTGTCCCTAGCTATAAACAAACAGAACAATTCCCATCTATCTCCAAGATCCAAACAATTTCAAAAAAGGACTTTTTACAATTCCAAGTCAACGAAAAAGGAAAAAAACCTGTGATTTCATCATTGACAGATTCATAGAAAGATTTATTCTTAGAATAGGAGAATCCAACTCCAGCAGGTGATTCCAAGTACAAAATATTAGCCACTGCAAGATTCAGTTGCAAATCTGAATTTAAATCAACTCTTGAACAATAAATGAAATAAATTTCAAAAAGATATAAAATCCAAAAAAGGTGTGACCTTTATTCCAACTATAGCTATTCCTCACCAATACATTCCCATTTGGTTGAAAAGGGCCATGTTCACTAAATGCCCCTGCCCCAATCGAAGAACATCCAGGCCCTGCCCAACAAAAACCCATCTAAATTATTACCAAAGAGATTGAAAAAATGAAAACCCTTTTCGATTCTTGCAAGAAAATCATAAAAAATGGAAGAAGAGGTTGAAATTTTCTTGTTCTTGTACCTCCATTTAGCCAAAGAACAAGAGGCTTTGATTGGGGCTGATTTTCTGCCTCAACAAAGTAATAAAAGTAGAATCTTTCTTGATTTTGAGGCACACCAATGTTAATGTAACCTGAATATTGCTGGAATTTGGCTTCTGGTTGACCTGGCAGATTCACTATTCTGTCAGATTGAGTTAGAGTTACAGACACCATTAATGTGCAGATTAGAGCTGCCAAGATTGGACAGTAGGTGGGATGAACTGACGCTGCCATGGCTTTGGGGAATTGAAGAGATTATTTGGTGTGAAAAGTGACTATATATAGTCGTTGGTCCAACCCTTTTTTTTTTTTTTTTTTTCAACGAGATTAGTTCGAATTTTTTATTTTAAAATAATATTCCCTCGGTCTATTAGAATTAGTTTATTTGGGCCCGACAAAGTGACAAGTGGTTGAAGGTATTTTTAAAATTTTATTAAAGTAAACAAAGAAAGAAAGAGAATGTAAATAAGTGTTGAATAGAGAGTTATAATTAAATATTTATTTGGTAATTTTGCCAAATTAGTAATGAAATAAATATAATAGAAAGACTAAAAAAAAAAGTGAGAATAAATTTTGGGGACGAGAGAGTAATTAATTATTAATAATTTCAATTAAAATTCAATTAGTGAGCAGTTAAGAAATATATTAGTAAAAATAATTATGATTTAATAAAAATAGTTTTAAATTAAGATTAAAATGACTAAATAGTTTAATTAAAATAAAAAAATTATAAATTATGAATTTTAAAATATGATTAAAGTGTATAATTGCATTTAAAAATGAAAGGACAAATTATATGAGACCTACAAAAATATAAACAGTGGACAAATTAAATGGGACGAAGGAAGTATATTTTATAACTATTAACACTTATACCTTTAGAATTTGTTTGATAGTTAAATTTAAGTTTTAAATAATAAAATTATAATTTGAATAATGATTTGATATTATATTATATAAATAAATATTGATATGATATTTTGATTTTTAAATTAATGTTTAATGTAATAAAGAAATGGTAGGTAGTTAATATGATATTTTGGAAAGAGACAATTAATGAATAGTAAAATTTGAATTTAATTTTTTCCCAAAAATAAAAGCAATTACATATTTGAATTTAATTTTAAATTTTTATAATTATTTGATGTAATATAAACATATGTTATATTGATGTTTAAATGCTAATGTCAATTTGAGTGTAACCTAAAAAATAAAAGTAAAATTTTGATTTTATATTTATGTAAAAATTAAATTTTAAATTTGAATTTATTTTATTTTTCAGAAAATAAAAATATAAAACATATCCACCTATCACATTTATTTTTATCTTTTTAGTATAGAAGAAAATCAATCAATATTAAATATTTTAGAGTAAATTTTATACTATAAGATATTGCTCAAATTAAAATTTTTTATAGTTGTACTTTATTTTTATTGTTGATTATATTTATTTCTTTCGAGCTTCTTCTCATTTTTCTTTGGCACCTATGGTAGAGATCGGAGATATTTGGCCTCCAAAAGAGATTAAAGTTTTAAATTCTTGGAAAAAATATAAAAATTATTTATTTATTTTTATTATTTAATAATTGGTATACTGTTTTTTGAAAATTAATTTTAATGCATAAAATATTTAATATAAAAAATTAAATAAAAATGATTTCAAAGTTTGTTTTTTTTTTCTTTTGTTATCTAATAAAAAATAATTAAAATAAAATTGCGTTACAAGTATTAAATCAAACTAATTAACTATATAATACAATATTCCTTAAACTTCATATCCAAAATTAAAGAAATCGAACTAATTGGATGGGATGAAAAGAATATAAAAGAAAGAATATAAAGGGTGTAATGTAAAATTATGATATGTCAAATCTGTGTGTCGCTAAAGTTAAAAGAAACATAAAAGGGTGATTTGTTTATTGTTTGTGGAGATGTGTGTAAAGAAAGGGATGTGTTTGTCCTAAGAGGGGAAAGGGATTTTTGTAGGTGTGTTTAATTATGTATTCTTTTTTTCTTTCTTAAATAAAAATTTGAAAAAATATGTTCTCTATCCTATTTTGAAATGGACTTTTTATAGTTTTATAGTAATGGATTAAAAACTATTATCTCCGTTCAGTTCTAAAAATTTAATTTACTTTTTGTATGTTGATATTTGAATATTCATTATTATATAAAAATATAGTACAAATTATAAAAAAATAGCAAAAATATTTCTATTAGTATCTTATAATATTATTATAATGAGATTTTCGCAAAAAAATTATACACATATAAGGATATTTTTAATGTTAAGTATAATTAAATGAGATCCTTAAAATCGGATGGAGGAAGTAATATTTTTTTCGTCCCAAACATTGCGCAATATTTGAGTTCGACACAAAATTTAGGTGGATACTATTAAGTAGGATAATTTGAGATAATTCGAAAATAAAGTGATATTAAATATGCATTTTTTTTTTTTATTTGAATGATGTGATGAGAAAGTAAAATATATATATATATAATTAATTAATTTTAAATTTAAAAATATTTACAACGAGTTAGGGATGAAGATAACTTGTTAGAAAATTTAGGTATTTGATGTAATATAACAAAACTCGTTAAAAAAATGTCAAAGAGAGTTTGAACCAATTTGACTGTTATATCAACTCGACCATCCATTATGATATGCTTTGTGTTTTGGTTTTTCTTTTTTTGAAGTGAGTTTGAAAAAATTGTTCGAATTTGATACTTATGGTGCGTTGGTTGGGGGTTTGGATTTTGAATTGAAATAGTTGTACGATGTGATATAAATAGGTGTCAATATCATATTTTGAATATAAAATTAATTTATAATATAATATAAAAAATAAAAAAATAAGTATTTGATTTGATATTTTTTTTTTTAAAAAAAAATTGAATGAATAATAAAAATCTGATAAAATCCAAAATATTTTATTCAAAAAAACATTTGATAAATTTGACAAAAGATATATACCTCGTTTTTTTTTTGGTTGGTGGGTTGGGTGAGTGTGAGTTTGAATTTGATGGAGCCTCTTCCATTTTGATTATTATTATTATTATTATTATTATTTGACTTTTTGTGTTTTGTCATGGAATCTAAAGATTTTCATTGTATTTGGTTGGAAGTTTTATAATTTGTAATATAATTATATACTCTTTCCGTCCCATTGTAAAAGTCTATTTATTTTGTGCGTTATTGTATTGATATTTTTATATTTGTATAATTTTTTTTATATTATAAAATATTTTTATCATTTTTTTTTATTTGTATTATATTTTTATATAATAATTAATGTAGTATTTAAATATCAACGCACAAAAGACCTTAACTTAAACATGGAAGAGATTAGATTTCATATGAAATTTGTGTATAGGAAGAGAATGTCTATAAATCATTTACAACTCATAACTGATTTATTTTTTTGTTTGACGAGAGATTTTTTTAGTTAGTTTTGAAACTAATAGCCGAACCGCCTGTGCAAGAGATTTTTTAAATTAATAGCCGAACCGCCGGTTTGGAACGAATGGGCAAGATCCATGGCTTAGTTTTTCTTCACTGTCGCCGCCGATCTTCTCCGTTTGGCGTCGAAGAGGCGTAGATCGAATCCAGTAGAAGTTGTTTAAGATCTTAGATTTCAAAGTTAGGGCGATGAATCCCGAGGCTGCACGGACTGCGCGGGAATCGCTGGATTTGGTGTTCAGAATGTCGAATATTCTCGAAACCGGCCTCGATCGGCACACGCTTTCGATCCTCATTGCGCTTTGTGAAATGGGAGTCAATCCGGAATCTCTGGCCGCCGTCGTTAAGGAGCTGCGCAGGGAATCACCGGAGTCTTCTTCCGCCGCTGCTCCAGAAGCAGATCCATCGCCTCCTTGACGAGGTATTGGAGGAAGTGATTTCAGCAAATAGTTAGGTTAATTTTTGTTTGTGTATTTGATGGAATAAGTTTGCACATAATTTGAAAGTGCGTGTTCGTTGATTGTGTATTTGTGTTTTGTTTTAGATTGGATAATATCTTTCGAATCAGTTTCAATGTTGTTACTCAAACAATCATTCTGTTTTCACTGAATCCAAGGTTCTCTTTTTTGAGTGATTTTTATAAAAATAAAAAACCAATCGATAGGATCTATAGTTGTGTGATTGCATTCGAACTCCATTGATGAACTGCTGCAACTCTCGACATGTCCGCATTGATCATACTGTTTAGATTTAGGAAGTTCAAAAACACATGTTCCCAAATTGATCACGTTGTTTAGAGTTTGTAAGTTTTGAAAGATGAAGTCCAAGTGTGGCGAGTAGAAGGAGATTTGGGCTGTCCAAACACATGCAATTCGAAGATCCGTTGAGTATGTTAACTAGGATCCAGCATGATTCTTAAAAATGGGGATTGTGTTTGAGAGTTTTCAAACGGCAGAAGTAACTTCTTTAGTTGAATTTAGCTTCCTTGATCAGGTATGCGATTGTTTTGCAATCTTAATTAAGCTTCATACGGTGTCGAACTTAAAGTTGATGTCAATACATGGTAGAGATGTACACTTGTGTTTTCTTTATTGGTGAATAGACGAACACAACCAAAGTTATATGCAACCAATTCCCGAGTATTATGATAGCATTCTATGATCTTATAGTAAAATCAAAACCCCATCTGGCTGATTTGCTATGTTCTATGGGAAAACAGAGTTTCTTGGAAATCAATGCTTCTTGTTTTCCTGTTCTCGCATTCGGAAAATAGTTGTCGCTAAATTAAAGTTGCGTAGTTTATGGGTTTGCTTTGATCGTAGCTTAACTTCCCGGTGCAGGTGGGAGCCATGAGAGATTGAATTACTAGGAGCAGAAAATGTCAGTCGGCTGAGAAGGAATTGGTGTGCATTGTAGCATAGTGATTTGGGTAGAAGCAAGCTCAATATATTGTATCTCAATCTCTCCACATAAAATAGGATGGGATCTACTTATTTTGTTTATGTAATCCATGAATTGTCTTTACATCAAATTGAATTAATGATTCGGAGAATCATTATTATCTGCCGCGTCTTGAGGTTCTCGACTCGCCTCCGCATCTTCAAGGAGGTGAGAATGGACGGTCGAGATTCATCGATTGCTTACACCCACAAGCCCTTTTCCCGTCTCCTAACAAATGATCGCATGGCTCCTTTATTTCTATTCATGAGTAGTCCCGAGATGATTTTCTCGAAGTTGAGCTTAGCCAAGGCTGTTACGCTCAATTCAAATGCTTTTGAGGTGACGCACGGCATAGATATTTGGAAGTATTCCGCGGCCAATCCGTCGTTCAATGAGTTGTTCGCCAAGAGTATGGCGCCCTTAGATAGCGCCCACGTATCGTTGGTGCTCGAAAACTACCCCGCCGTGTTTGAAGGGATTAGTTGTCTTGTGGATGTCGGGGGTGGTAATGGAACGGTGCTCCGTATATTGGTGAAGGCGTGCCCGTGGATAGTCCGAGCCATTAACTTCGATCTTCCTCATGTGGTGAGCTTATCGGGCGGAGGCGATGATGCCGTGTCGAGCAAGTTGGGGGCGACATGTTTTCCGAAATTCCAAGTGGCGACGCTATGTTGGTTATGGTACATTAGTCTAATCGAATATTTTTCTTAGGAGTTTTCCGTACGATGAAAATGATTATAATGCTGATTATGACTAATCAGCACTGTATTGATTAGATCTATATAACATATGAAATATAGTTTGATAGTAGCATGTGCTGAGATCAATTGTAATATATGCTATTCGATCTATTATGTGTTACTATCCGTTCATATGTTATATTTGTATTATATTGACTTATAGTTTGTCGCTATATCTCATTTGTTGTCATTATATATTTGTGTTTCTATTGACTAATTATGCTTAGTATAGTAATAATCTCCATATACAATATGCTTGCTTATAAATTACAATATAAATATTGTTTTCGAAATAAAGATTGATCAATTAATTAGTCTTCGCAATGTAAAGGCTAATATTTTGTGGTCATAATCGATACTCCATGATTGGGACGACTAAGCGTGTGTAAAGATTTTGAAGAATTGCATAGACTCAGTATCAAAGGAGACGGAAAAAGTGATTACTATGGACAATGTGATCATCTTATGTTAAGAAGGGAGGTTGGAAGTCCGGATCCCTTCTTAAATGATGTGTGGCAAATTCGCTGCTGGTGTCAGAGGTTTGATTTTATTACTTCATGATTACGAGACAATCTCTTACGGGACTATATTAAAATATATTTATATTTTTTTGATCCGATATATTAAAATATTTTTTGTTCTCAAATAAGGATAAGCATGCTGGACGAAGAAAATACTTAAGAAAAAAGAAAAAAACACAACTTTGTGTTCACAACGAACGAATTTCTACCATGTCCAAATATAGCATCCATTTTGTACGTATTATCAAGTATAAAATAAATTAATTGAAAGTTTTAATATAAGGACAACAATTTCCCATAAATTAATTGAAAGTTTTAATATAAGGACAACAATTTCGGCTCAACCAAGTTTGTTCTGATCTTATTACCATTTATATAGGAACAAGACAAACTCTACAAATATTTTATTTATTAGGGCATCATATCATATTATATATATATTCTCATAATTTTAGAATTTTATTTTATTTTTAATATCATGTTTAAATAATTAATTAAAAATTGTTAAAATAATAAATAATTCAATAAAATTATAATTTATTGGAATAATAGAAAACAAAAATATGGATAAAATTATGTTTCATTATCTATATGTATATATATATATACTTGACTTTTAATTTTATAAAATATTCGATTAAAAATCTTATTATTTATCTTTATACTAATATATTTTCTTTGATTTTTTTGATACAAAATACAATGATCAATCATACTTAAAATTTTAGAGAGTGTTCGTAATTCGTTGTTTTTTCAATTCAACAGTACAATTTGCGACGGGATGTTTGTAGTTCGACTAGAATTTATAGAACATGACATATCTTTTTTGTTCGTTTTCTTGATCTTAAATTTTTGTGATTTTTTTTCTGTTGATATAGTGGTGATTGAAGCGTGTTTATATGTATTATTGAAAGACCTTGTATATAATTTGATCATAGTAGATTTTTTTTTTTGGCCGGACAAACCCGTGATTGTCTTTTTTATCTTGACAGATTTTCCATTAAAAATTTATAGTATTTTTTCATATTTTATTTGTAAATATATTTTGTTATTGTTTATCATATTCTTGCAATGGGATTGCAATTTTCTATTAATATATATAGTGAAATCTTTACAATAACTTTTTTTGTTTAATTTTTAAAATTTTAAACTTGATTATGCACAAATTAACTTTTGCATTATATTGATTTTATTATTTTTATTGTTATGTATTGTTTTTAGTTTTACTAATCAATAATTAATCTATAAGATATATTATGGATGTCAGTATAAAATATATATCAATACAACATTATAACCAATAAATATTACTCCCTACTCCCTCCGTCCCACGTACCATGTTCGCCGTTTCTGTTCGTCCCACATTCTATGTCACATTTCATTTTTTAAAATGATTATACACTTTAATCTCATTTTAAACTTTTTAATTTATTTTTTTTTAATTTTAATTAAACTAATTAGTTATCTTAATCTTAATTTATAATTATTTATATTATAGGATAATTATTTTCACTAATACATTCTTAATTATCTACTAATTATACCCCTCCTAAAATACCGTGTCTACACTGTAGCAGACGGTATGTGGAACGGAGGGAGTAGTTCGTAAAAAATGATCCGGTGGTGTAGAGTCTCGTGACTGCAAGATCATTGATTTAAACTCCTGACACCTACGAATCCACCTGCGACATTGAAGCCCTGTAACCGATAATTTTCGATATAATAATTTTAAAAATCAACAAGACAACAACAATAATAAATATCGAGAAAATACATTTATAAATAGCGAGTTGAAGCACATCCTTTCACATCAAGTGAAAATTGATCGTACAACAATTGAACATGGCGTACGAAGAAGAAGAACAAGCAAAGGACTATGTCCAAAAATGCATCTTCAAGGCGTTCGAATTGTACATGATGAGATGTGCCATCAACCTAGGAATTCCCAACATGGTCGAAAACCACCCCGTCGGCGCCGTGACGCTGCCGGAGCTCTCATCAGCGTTGGATTGCAAGCCATCATTGCTCCACCGTGTCATGAGGTACTTGACTCACCACGGCATCTTCAAAGAGGTGAAAACAGGCGATCAAGAAGATTCTCCGGTTGGTTACTCCCAAACGGCCGTTTCCTGCGCTCTCTTAAAAGACAACTTTGCCCCTATTATTCTACTTGAAAGTAGCCCGGAGTCGGTTGCCTCCTTCTTGCGACTCGACGCATTCTTGACATCAAAGAATAGCGACATCAGCGCTTTCGAAGCAGCCAACGGTGCGGATGTATGGAAGTATAATGCGGCCAATCGCTCTTTTAGCGAGTTGTTAAACGAGGGGATGGCGTGCGTGGCAAAGTTCACAGTATCAAACGTAATCGAGGATTGCGCCGACGTATTTGAGGGGATCAACACGTTGGTCGACGTTGGTGGTGGCAACGGCACGACATTGCGCGCCATTGTAAAGGCATGCCCGTGGATCACTCGAGCCGTCAATTTCGATCTTCCACACAACGTCTCGTCCTTTTCATCCAACTGCGAAGATCGGATCGAGCACGTAGGTGGCGACATGTTTGTGTCTATTCCGAGCGCGGACGCTACTTTTTTAATGGTACGTATATAGAAAATAGTTATGGTGCTGACTGAGGTAAGTCATACTTTTTAATTTGTGTGTACATAAAAGAACAGTTCTATGTAGACTGAGGTAAGTCAGCAATATTCATATTGAGAAATTAACATATGCTTTTATTTAATAATTCCTTCGTTTCCATATAATAGTTATGTTTTATCATTTTTTTCTCATCTCAAAATAATAGCTCTATTTCTATAAATAATTATATCATTATAAAATTATTATTATTTTTTCATTATTATTATTTCTAGTACAATCACAACGTAAGAAAGTTTTTTCTACCTATATATCTATATTTTTTTATCAATTACTTATATAATAGTAATATTTCTTAAATCTCGTGTTCAATACAAATAAAACTATTGTTTGGGATGGAGGGAGTGTAATATAGTTCTTGCGTTAAAATCACTAGTAGCATGTTTTGCGTGAAATTATGTCATGCGATGTAAGTTCATATGTAACGTAAATGTTATGTTAACATAAATTGTGTAGTATATGTAGTTATATTGTGTATTGTCTCACATCATGTGTGATGAGATCGGCACTATACTAAATTTTATAATTTAGTACAATAACTGCAACTATATATATGTAATAACATCTCGTGACAGTCAGTATTGCACGATTGGGACGATGAATCCTGTGTGAAGATCTTGAAGAATTGTGGGGAGGCAATTCCAAAGGGGAGCGGGAAAGTGATAATTGTGGATATTGTGGTCGATGATGATAAGGATGTCAACGATACCGACAACCTTAATAAGAAAAACCGCAGAGATTATCATATGGCTTTGGACATAGTATTGATGACACATACGAGCAAAGGAAAAGAGAGGACATGGAAAGAATGGACCAAAGTTCTAACATCAGCTGGATTCACTCGTCACACCATTAAACACTTAGCGGCTGCACCTCAATCTGTCATCGTTGCATATCCCTCGACATCGATTTAATGAAAATTTCAAATGAATTTCGAATGTTCAATCAATAAAATATATAATTGTTGTTTTCTTGGATGTTTTCTTTATGTGCTTCTTCAAATTTAATTATGTCGTATGTTCTATCAATTAAATAAATCGTGTTATTGAAATCTTTTGCGCAAATCTTCAATTTATTTTATTTATTTATAGCGCAAGTCTTTTTTTTTTTTTTAAGAAAAAAAATTCTCTCATAAAATTTCCATTTTCTTGTAGTAAATTATGCTTAGAATATCACACTATTTTGTTTAATTATTGTTATTCGGAACGGTCAGAATGTTGACTGAGCAAAATCAGTACCGTGCTGATTTGACCCGTCAGTATGTATATATATATATATAATCAAGATAAACAACACAACACATGTATATAATATTTTGTAAAATATTATATTAATTCAAGCACAAATCGCAAGCACAAACCAAACACACTTTCACAGTGTGTTTTTTTGCGTTTTAAAATTTATTTGGTATTAATAATTGAATGTGATATTTTGTAAGAAAAATAATATTGAATGTAATTTTTTTGTATGCAACAAAATAAACATAAAAATTGCGGGTATGTTTGGTTCTAGTTTGAAATTAATTTGGAATGACATATATATTGATTTGAATTTTTATTCAGATAGTATTTCGATGTGTTTGTAAAAAAATTAGTATATTTTTATTGAAAACTATATAGAATGAATAACATTGATTTTAGTTTAAAACCATAAAAGAACAAACTCAGAAAATTAATGAACCCATATATTTGAATTAACAATGCCCAAAAAACCTAACATTTAAAGTTGACTCATTTTATATTGAAAACATTGTATGTATTTACTAGTATTTTAGTTCCGAACAAAAATTGATTATCGTATGAATGATCGCTTCTTTAGTAATAAACAAGAAATATTGAATCAAAGAAAATTTGACGATGGCAGGCCGTGCTGCACGATTGGGATGACGAATTGTGTGTGGAAGACCTTGAAGAATTGCATAGAGGCAATCCCAAAGGAGACTGGAAAGTGATCATTGTGGATATTGTTAATAGTCAACGACAACGAGGACGAGGATGACAACGACAACCTTAATAATAAGAAGGAATTCAGAGACTATCATGTGACTTTGGACATAGAAATGATGCTCACACAGCCAAAGGGAAATTCAAGAGAATGGGGCAATGTTCTTAGATCAAATACAACATTAAACATATTCCAGCAGCTCCTCAATCTCTCATGGATGTTTATTCCTAATTAATTATAATATATATATATATATATATATGAGTTTTAAGGATTTGATCATTTGATTCCCATGAATAAGCAAATTCTATCCAGAATAAATTAATTTTAATACAAGTTCCTTAGTAAAAATATTATAGAAAATTTGTCAAAGAATTAATAATAATAATAAAAGGATAAGTAAAAATAATAGTAACAAATTAGTTAATATTTGTAAAGTAAAAGTGATGAAATTGTAAGCCAACAAAATTTTTACCATCCTAGTGTGATTTTTCCGTCGGGCCAGGTTTGCAAGGTATTATTAAGTTCGGCTGGGGGTTTATCCAGTGCACACTTTCGGGTAGCGACTGCGGGTTCCCACGTCATCCAAAAATAAAATTGTTACCATAAATAAATTGTGCATAAATCTAACGGATACCAAAAAAAAAAAGCCACATAATTATCTTGGATGGACGGAGCATTTGGTAATATTAATCTTTTTTTTTTTTTTTTTTTGGATAAACTGAATTTTTAGTTCCACCCTCTTTATCATTTTAAAACTTTAAGTGAATCATGTGTGAAAATAGTCCCGTAAGTAAATTTTTTTTGCTAAAATGGTCCTCCGGTGTCAGACTCGCCACGCTGGCCAGCCGTTGCTGACGTGGCGCTGACGCGAGTGACATGTCATCGCCATTTAGATATGTCACATCAGAGGACCATTTTAACGAAAAAATTATACTTACATGACATAGTCCATTTAAATGTTCAAAAATAATAAACAATGTCATATATGAGATTAAAAAAATAGTTTACCAAGATATTTTGTAAAATAAAAAATAAAACAAACTCCACTTGTCGCTGATGTAACATCTAAGTGGCGATGACATGTCAGCCGCGTCAGCGCCACATCAGCAATGTCGGGCCAGCGTGGCTAGTTCGGCACCGGAGGACCATTTTAGCGAAAAATTTTTACTTACAGAACTATTTTCAGACATGGTCCATTTAAAGTCCTGAAATGATAAAAGGAGATAGACTAAAAAACAGTTTACTATTTTTTTTTTAGTTATTAATGTAGAAATATAGAGATATATGGTTTGTTTGGTTTTGGTGTGAGTATTTTAAATTTATGATTGATTTAAATATGGTGTGTTTGTTTTGTGAGATTGTTGAAAATGAATTTTTTTTAATGTAAAGTATAGAAAATTGTGCATAAAAATAATGAATGTAGGTAATGTATTATCTTTTTTTGGAAAAATGTGTTGAAAGAAATAATAGAAAGAACAAAACCAAGAAAACTAATTTAAATCGAATCGTAAAAAAATGATGATAACATATTTGGACGATGAATCATATGTGAAGATCTCGAAGGTGTGTCTTCTTTCAATTTCTACAATTCACGATACATATTAATAAAAATATATTACTTCATTCTAAAAATATTTAAAAAGTAACAAAAAATAAATATCCTTTTACTACTATTTTGATGATTTTTATTAACTAACAATCAAACTCTCCAAGCTAGTTTTTTTTTTTTTTTTTTTTTGTCTATTCGTTAAACTTATATATAATTCTTGCAGAAAATAATTTTATTACACTCACTTTAACTTATAATAACCAATTTGTCACTATTTCATTTTTTCTACTTACCACATTATATCTTTTTTACCAATTCTTTAATAATTTTTCTATAATATCATACTTTACTATTCACGTGTATTTTTACATTAAAATATTTTCCATGTTCAAACAAAGTGGCATAAGCATGCTGGACGGATAAAGTACATAAAAAAAGAAGCAAAATTGCACTAAATTCATTCGCAGTTTCACGAAATTGCGCAAAATTCACATATTTTTAAAATTACGTAAAACTCTCTTATGGTTTTATAAATTTTGCGTCTAATCCCTTCGGTTGTCTTTATTTAACGATATTTGACTTGCACGCGCCCAAACTACGATTGAGTTACATAATCTTCATTCTTAAACTCCTGAAATTATAAAATTTATTTGTTCCTTCTATATTTAACTGAAAGTAACAGCAAAAAAATTTTTAGAATCAGAGAAAAATAACTATTTGTAATTTGGATGATTTAAAAATAAAAATTTTGAAACTCATTTATACTTGCGTGTAGATGAGACACGTTAAATAATAAGGATGATCGAGGGGTCAGATACAAAATTTATGAAAAAATAAATAAGTTTAATACAATTTTAAAATTATGAATTGTAAAATTACAAATAAATTTTGTGCAGCTTTGACAAAAATGAAAAATAAAAATAAAAATTAAACAACTTTGTGTTCACAAGGAACGAATTTCTACCCTATCCAAATATAGCATCCATTTTGGATGACGTATATCAAATATAAAATTCAGTGAAAGTTTTAACCTAAGGACAGCAATTTCGGCTCCACTAATTTTGTTCTGATCTTATTACTATTTATATAGAGGAAGAAGACAGACTCTAGATATTTTATTTATTAAGGCATTTTATAAAATACACCCGATTATTTATTTTTATTTTATTATTTAATAACGTTGAAATTTGCGGTAACTATTTTTCGAATATTTTATAGCTAAATCCTATTTTCTAATATTAACAATGGATATATACAAGAATTGCATTTGTACCAGGGTACTCTAGCAATATTTTATAAATAGTAAAAGATTGAATTTTTAAAAATTTTAAATATAGTAATTTTAAAAAATCAACAATAATAATAAATATCGAGAAAATAAATTTATAAATAGCGAGTTCAAGCACATCCTTTCACATAAATCAAGTTCAAATTAATCGTACAAAAATCGAACATGGCGTACGAAGAAGAAGAACAAGCAAAGGACTATGTCCTAAAATGCATCTTCAAGGCGTTCGAATTGTACATGATGAGATGTGCCATCAACCTAGGAATTCCCGAAATGGTCAAAAACCACCCCGCCGGCGCCGTGACGCTGCCGGAGCTCTCGTCGGCGTTGGATTGCTCGCCGTCATTGCTCCACCGTGTCATGAGGTACCTGACTCACCACGGCATCTTCAAAGAGGTGAAAACCGGCAAACAAGAAGATTCACCGGCTGGTTATGCCCAAACGGCTATTTCCTGCGCTCTCTTAAAAGACAACTTTGCCCCTATTCTTCGAGTTTGTAGTAGCCCGGAGTTGGTCACCCCGTTCTTGCGACTCAACGCGTTCTTGACATCAAAGAATAGCGACATCAGCGCTTTCGAAGCAGCCAACGGCGCGGATTTATGGAAGTATAATGCGGCCAATCGCTCTTTTAGCGAGTTGTTCAACGAGGGGATGGCGTGCGTGGCGAAGTTCACAGTGTCAAATGTAATCGAGGATTGCGCCTACGTATTCGAGGGGATCAACACGTTGGTCGACGTTGGTGGTGGTAACGGCACGACATTGCGCGCCATTGTAAAGGCATGCCCGTGGATCACTCGCGCTGTCAATTTCGATCTTCCACACAACGTCTCGTCCTTTTCATCCGACCACGACGATCGGATCGAGCACGTAGGTGGCGACATGTTTGTGTCTATTCCAAGCGCCGACACTACTTTTTTAATGGTATGTATATAGAAAATAGTTATGGTGCTGACTGAGGTAAGTCATACTTTTTAATTGGTATGTACATAAAAGAACAGTTACTGTGTAGACTGAGGTAAGTCATACTTTTTAATTGGTATGTACATAAAAGAACAGTTACGGTTTAGACTGAGGTAAGTCAGCAATATTCATATTTAAAAATTAACATATGCTTTTATTTAATACGTTTCAATATAATAGTTATGTTTTATCAATTTTTTCTCATCTCAAAATAATAGCTCTATTTTTATAAATAATTATATCATTATAAAATTATTTTTATTTTTTTATTATTATTATACAAATGCAACTACTTTTAATACTAGTACAATCACAACGTAAAAAAGTATTTTACCTATATATATATTTATCAATTACTCATATAATAGTAATATTTCTTAAATCTCGTGCTCAATACAAGCTCAATACAAATAAAACTATCGTTTGAGACAGAGGGAGTGTAATATATTTTTTGCGTTACAATCACTAGTAGCATGTTTTGCGTGAAATTATGTCATGCGATGTAAGTTCATATGTAACATAAATGTTATGTTGATATAAATTGTGTAGTATATGTTGTTATATTGTGTATTGTCTCACATCATGTGTGATGAGATCGACACTATACTAAATTTTATAATTTAGTGCAATAATTGCAACTATATATATGTAATAACATCTCGTGACAGACAGTATTGCACGATTGGGACGATGAATCCTGTGTGAAGATCTTGAAGAATTGTGGGGAGGCAATTCCAAAGGGGAGCGGGAAAGTGATAATTGTGGATATTGTGGTCGATGATGATAAGGATGTCGACGATGCCGACAACCTTAACAAGAAAAACCGCAGAGATTATCATATGGCTTTGGACATAGCAATGATGGCACATACGAGCAAAGGAAAAGAGAGGACATGGAAAGAATGGACCAAAGTTCTAACATCAGCTGGATTCACTCGTCACACCATTAAACACTTAGCGGCTGCACCTCAATCTGTCATCGTTGCATATCCCTCGACATCGATTTAAATGAAAATTTCAAATGAATGTCGAATGTTCAATCAATAAAATTGTTGTTTTCTTGGATATTTTCTTTATGTGATTCTTCAAATTTAGTTGTGTCATATGTTCAATCAATTAAATAAATCATGCATATTCTTGAAATTGTTTGCCCAAATCTTCAATTTATTTTATTTCTTCATAGCGTAAGTTTTTTTTTTTTAATTTTTTTTTATTAGTATGCTAGAAAAAATTCTCACAAATTTTCCGTTTTCTTGTAGTAAATTATATATGCTTAGAATATCACATTATTTTGTTTAATTATTGTTATTCGGAGTCAGGATGTTAATCGAGCAAAATCAGTACCGTATTGATTTGACTGACCCGTCAATACATATAATAATAATAATAATAATAATAATAATAATAATAATAATAAAAAGACAACTCATGTATAACAATGTATAATATAATTTTGCATATAACATATCTTGACAACAAATTATATAATTCTAGATAACACACTGTATTATTAATTTTAGCATATAAGCATACTTAAATAGTACAATACTGTAGACACTAAAAATATATGTCTAAAATCAATTAAATATCATGTATTTTGGAAGAAAATAAAATTCCAATAAAATAAATATATGGTATTTAATTATGCACATATGTTAATTTTTGTACAATAAATATCAACCATTAGTGCAAAATCTGCTTAAAATGGAAGATATCGTACAAATATTACGTGCATAAATAGAGCCATAATAAATTTGGCAGCAAAATAAATTAATCTTGTCAATAAAGGAAGTATATAAATTAATATCTTCCAAACAAGGCAATGATATAAAGATCTTGTCAATAAAGGAAGTATATAAATTAATATCTTCCAAAAAAGGCAATGATATAAAGATTTTGACGAGAAAGGAAGGTGCATAATCAAATCCGTCAAAAATGGAAAACGGCATCCGAGGGAAAAGGAAAGATTATAAAATCTTTCCATCCACGTGGCACCATCCGAAAAGGAAGCCAAGGCCACCCTCCCCTATAAATAGGAGCCTTGGCCAATTCATTTAGACACCGAAGTTCATTTGAAGACTCGCGCAAGGGTAAGTCTCTCTAGACTCTTTGCAATGTTCTTCATTGTTCTTCGTGTCCTTCGAAGCATTCTTCGTCGAAAAGTCACCAATTTGGACAAATGATCCAATATTGTTTGGCGAATCGATGAAGTTAACGTTCTTCGTCGTATGTCCGAGCCGGAGGAAGGATCAAATCTCTCAAAGCCATCGAGGAATCCATCAAAGCCAAGGAAGAGCCTCCAAAGTCGCTCCCAAAGCTTGAAGATGTTCGTCGCGTTCTTCATAAAAGACGTAGACCAGGCCCTCTTCGATCCAAAAGTCAAAGGGACACGCCGCCAAAAGCGTTATGGAGCACCAAATCCCTCCCCCAAAGATCAAATTCCGTCGGATCATCCAAAGGAGGCATCAATCCAAAGTCGACGATCAAAATCGCCAACACGGATACCAAAGTTTCCTAAAAACCGACGAAGTCAAACCGAAGACCAAAATCCCTTCGGATCAAAGAAGCCACCCAAATCCAAATTGGAAAAATGGATCGACCCGGAGAGAGAATCAAAGGATCCAAATAGAGAATAGGACCCGCATATATTAAATTAAATGTAATTTGTACGATTTTGTGTTTATAAAAAAATATAACACAATTTTTTTTGTCTACAAATACAAATGTAAAACTACACAACACATGCTTCTATATGACAAAACTACATGTTGGCTATTTAAAAATATATGCGATGTGCTTTCATCTGATTTGACTCACTTAATATCCTAACCATGTCATTACGTAATATGTAAAAAGGAATCACTATATCAACAAACATTAATACTCTAGTGAATGGCCACAGATACAAAATCAAATTTGTTCTATTACAAAATGTAAGTCATATTTAAATTTAAATCATTTAGACTTATTAAACAATTTTTACTTTTTTAGTCCGACAAATAACAAGTTCGAATATTATAAATTAACTAGAGATAGACTTCGATGACAGAGATTGGTGCTGGAATATATTTGATGGTGTGTTTGGAAAAGCCAGCTGATTTTAGAACATCGTCCCATTCTTTTGCATTCCTCTCTTTGCCATTGATGGTTAGAGCCAACATTTCTATGTCTGCTGCTAAATGATACTCCTCGTAGTTGTCAATGTTTTTAAGGTTGTCGTGGTTGACCACGCTGTCCATAATAATCAATTTTCCCGTCTCCTTTGATAGGGCGTCTTTGCAGTTCTTCAAAATCTTCACACATGCCTCATCGTCCCAATCATGAAGTACTGACTACGATCATCAAATTAAATACTTGTATTAAGGCAAACTTTGATCAATTTATTACTATTCTACATTGTAAATAATTTCTATGTTATAAATTACTATGTGAAAATACAGATATCAACGGGGCAAATTCGGACCGATTTTTAGGTTAAAACTTTGAACTTTAAACTTGTCCGGTTGTATAAACTTAGGCCCAAAATCCATTCTACCTTGAATTTATCTGGCCTAGGTCAACCCAAATAATTCATTTTTATAAAATATAATATAATAAAAAATTAATTATTGACTATCAATTATTTCTAATTTCAGAAACATTGCATAATTGAGATTGTGAGAGTTTTGAAAGACCAAAGTAACCATTATTATTTAATTTTTAAAGTATATTATTTTTTATATTTTTTTTTACTATAAAAAAAATTAATCATTATTACTCATTTTTATTAAATCAACCATAAAATATTTAAGTCGCATAATTGAATGACTAATGAAATGACTAATGAAATATTGATTTAAAGTTGTCTTTACTTGTACAATTGTGTTATATCAAATTTTACTACAAATATTATTTGAGATAAATTAATTTAAACTATCTAGTTAGAATCAATTATTCTTGAGTATTGTATTATTATACCTGACTTCAATGAATACTGAATTTTAATAAGTCAGAGTAAACAAGTGATTACTACTAATAAAATAATACGTTCATCCGTTTCAATACAATAATCTTGTTTACTATTTTTGTCTGTCTAAAAATAATAGTCTCATTTTCATAAATAATCATATCACTATAAAACTACTTTTACTTTTTCATTATTATTACACAATTGCCACTATTTTTTACACTAATAAATTCACAAGGGCAAAAAAGTCTTTTACCTATACTTTTTACTCAATATCAATGTAATATCAATATTTTTTAAATCTCGTATCAAAATTATAGATATGGAGAGTATTATCTTCTATAATCATTCAAAGTAATCATCAGATTAAGTTTATTATTAATTATTTTAAATCAAACACATAATCTACCCGGAACTGGCCGGATATAAAATATCTTTTAATAAAATACACAAAAATGATAAAAATAGTCCATTGGATAAGGCGAAAAGGGGTATTTGATTAGAATAATTTACCTTAATAAAAATAGCATCACCGCACGGGATATCGACAAACATGTCGCCGCCGATGTGCTCGACGCGGCCATCATCACCTCCGCCCGATAGCGCCACGACGTGGGGAAGATCAAAGTTGATAGCTCGGACAATCCACGGGCACGCCTTCACCAGCATCCGGAGCGCCGTTCCATTACCACCTCCGACATCCACGAGACAACCGATCCCCTCGAACATGTCCGGATAATTTTCAAGAACCAACGATAATCGATTGCCAACCAAGCAATCCATACCCTTGGCGAACAACTCACCGAACAAAGGATTGGCCGTGGAATACTTCCAAAGATCTACGCCATGCGCCGCCTCGAAACCATTTGAATAGTCCGTATTTGACGCGAGGACCTTCGCGAAGCTCAATTTCGAGGAAACTATCTCGGGACTACTCATGAGTAGAAATAAATGAGCCATACGATCCTTCGTTAGGGCACGGGAATATGGTGTGTGGGCGTAGCCAATTATCGATGAATCTTGACCGTCCATTGTCATCTCTTTGAAGATGCCGCGACGAGTCAAGAACCTCATGACACGGTGGAGCAACGACGGCAAGGACCCCGATGAGTTCGACAGCTCGGCCAATGACACGATACTCCCGGGATGGTTCTCGACTATATCGGGAATGCCGAGCTGGATTACGCTTCTCAGAACAGTGAATTCTGTGAAGTGAAAGATGCATTTTATGACATCCCTTATAGCAAGTGTTTCTTCCTCGTTTGAATTCTTAGCTGCCATCATCTCCATTGAAGGACAAGCTTGTTGTAATTAAACTTCTCATTGGATTTGTTCTTTATATAAAATGTTTCAATTTGTCATGCCTTGTGATCGATCAAATGTGCTCATTGATATCTGCATTTCATCTCTTACTATTAGTCAAAATCATCGAATGCAACTTGTACTTTTTTTTATTTTCGATTTTTATTCAAAATGTCTATCAATTACTTATTTGTATAGCATTGAATAGTATTTTAAATTTTAGATTTTATTATTATTATTATTATTATTATTATTATTATTATAATGTTAGTGGCGCCAAAGTCCATGCCTATTTTTTAAATAAAAAGTTAGGTTTTTTTCCAGTACATTGAATTGACCCGATAGTAAATAATAATTTAAATATCTTCTATTTTTTTTATTTTGACATATCTATCTTGATTGTCATATTTGTACAAAAACAAATTTGGGCAAGTAACGTTCATTTGTGGATAGAACAAATTAACTGTGTAGGATGTGCCCAGATGAAACAAAAGATATATCTGAGATAGTCAAAGAATTGTTTGAATTGCCTTGAAAATACTTCATTCCATTTTAGTGTAAAAATTAGTGACTAATATCACCACAAAATTGAGAGTGGTAACACACTATATGTATGTATATATATATATAGTTCTAGTACATGGCCGTAAACATAATCAAATTCGTTTATTACATAATTGAAAGTCTTATTTAAATTTAAATCATTCAACTTATTAAACATTTTTTTTTTTTTTTTTGTTTTGACAATTGAAAAGTTCAAATAATACAAACTTAACTAGGGATAGGCCTCGATGACAGAGACCGGTGCTGGAATACTTTTTATAGTGTGTTTGGTGAAGCCAGCAGACTTTAGAATATCATCCCATTCCTTTACATTCCTCTCTTTCCCATTAATGGTTTGCGACAACATTTCCATGTCCATTGCCAAACGATACTCTTCGTTGTCGTTGTCGTGGTTTATCACATAGTCCATAATAATCACTTTTCCCGTCTCCTTCGGTATAGCATCTCTGCAATTCTTCAAGATCTTCACACATGCCTCGTCGTCCCAATCATGAAGTACCGACTACGATCATCAAATATTAGTCATATTTGTGCATATTTTGACCCATTGATTAATACTTTTACATTATAAATAATTTTTACGTTATAATTTACAACATAGAGGGATGACAATAGGAGGATTCAGACAGATTTTGTAGGTTAAAACTCTAAACCCTAAACTTGTCCTCCCACAACTATATATATATATATATATATGCCCAAAGACTACGTAAAATATGTAATAAATAATATAATAATTACAAATTAAATATTGAATGTACATCAAACATTTCAAATTTCAAAAACATCAATTGTGGAATTGATAACATGTGTTATCATACCCGTAATGTATTGTACCAATAAATTACTTTTCGCCATGTGTATTTAAGTTTTTTATTTTATAAATCTTTTTATTTTAAAAATACACATACTAAAAGGTGATTGATCAGTATTACAGAAATACAATATATTAAGGGTAGAGTAATTGAACCGTCTGATAATTGAAATCGTGAAAATTTGAAAACTAAAAATAATCATAAAAAAATCATAAAAAATGGAATAATAAATAAATATAAATTTGAATGACATAAATAATATTTGATTAGAATAACTTACCATAATCAAAATAGCGTCACCATGCGGAATTTCGACAAACATGTCGCCCCCGACATGCTCGATGCGGCCATCATCACCTCCGTCCGCTAAGGCCACAATGTGGGGAAGATCAAAGTTGATGGCTCGGACAATCCACGGGCACGCCTTCACCAACATACGGAGCGCCTTTGCATTACCACCTCCGACGTCCACCACACAACCAATCCCCTCGAATACGGTGGGGTAGTTTTCAAGCACCAACGATATGCGGGGGCTAACTGTGCTCGCCATACCGTTGGCGAACAACTCACCAAATGCAGGATTGGCCGCGGAATACTTCCAAAAATCCATGCCATGCGCGGCCTCAAAACCATTTGAATAGTCCGTTTTCGACGAGAGCACCTTGGCCAAGCTCAACTTCGAGGAAACCAACTCGGGACTACTCATGACTAGAAATATCGGAGCCATACGATCCTTGGTGAGTTGGCGAGAAAAGGGCGTGTGGGCGTAACCAATCGATGAATCTTGACCGTCCATTTTCACCTCTTTGAAGATGCCGCGGCTAGTCAAGAACCTCATGACACGGTAGAGGAACGGTTTCAAGGACCCCGATGCTTTCGACAGCTCAGCCAATGACACGCCGCCCTTCCCGGGATGGTTCTCGACGATGTCAGGAATGCCGAGCTCGATTACACATCTCAGGACAGTGAATTGTGTGAATTGGAACAGGCATTTTGTAACATCCATTACAGCAAGTATTTCTTCCTTCTTAGCTGCTGCCATCTCCATTGAAGGACAAGTTTATTTGTTGTAATAAAACTGCTCATTCGCTTTGTTCTTTATATAGAAAGGTGGTGACTTGATCATTTACTATTCACAAATTGAATTACACACATGATTAAAATTTTGTTCAAAGAACTAAATCAAATTAAACACTTACTTATTTCGGTCTAACCGTATTTGTTGAATTGGAAAGACTAATTAAAGTCCAAGATTTGAGATGGGGTTAGGGTAATATTGATGTAGACCCATTCTTGGCCTAAAATTGCTATCTTATCCATATGTTTTCACTTTCAAAGTAGTGAGAGTAGAACGAGTGTGCATCATAATTTCATATAGTGAAATTTCTAGTTTTACAGTCTCTTCGTTGAAATGGATAACCAAATTTTATGTTCGACATTGCTTTATACTTTTGTTATTGCATTATTTATTGTAACAACTGATATTAGAGCTGGGTTGCATGATCAAGGGGACATAGAGACGTGCATTCGGTCGGTTCAATTCGAACCAAATTGAATTTTTGAATTTTGATTGATTTTTGGTTAGTAAAATTGAAACTAAAATCGAATCAAATTTTTTGAAAATCAAACTAAACCGAACAAACAGAAGTTTCGGTTTTTGGATGAATGAGAAAGTTTTAGGGTTATGTTACAGATAAAATCAAATATGAAGACTTAAAATTATAATATATATATATATATTTTAAAAAAGTTAGGTTATTATACTTAATCAAAACTAAAACTTGAAAATCATAATCGAATCAAAATCAAAATTTATAAATCTAGTTTTGAACCAGAGCGAACCAATTAATCAAATAGTCTAAACCAATTTTTCTTTCAGATTTTTTCATTTTTTGTTTAGTCCGACCAATATTCACCCCAAAGGGATAGGTCTTCGGCAGTATTGCACGGATCAGCCCTTGAAAGAGTGTCCTGATAAATTATTTTTTGAAATTTTTGTAATATTCATCAACAATAATATTTTTTAAATATTCTATCTAACATTTATTTTTTCTCACTAAAAATTATATAAAATATTAATTACTATTTTTTTTTTATCTTTTTCCTTTCAAAAATCTAAAACCTCAAAGGTTCCGGTCTAAACGAAATTTATAATTTTTTAAAAAATATATATATATATATATTTGGATTCAAAATTTTATTATTTTATCCCAACACCAAATCCAAATAGACACGCTAATCATGTTATAGGTTGAATTTTCAATTTTTTGCCGGCAACACAATTTTAATATGTACACAAAGACCCGTCTCTGCTTTTGGTCGAACTTCACTGTCAGGATTTTTCTGACTTTCTAAAAATATGGGCGCCAAAGTCACGCCAATAAATAATAAAATTTTATTTATTTTTTTAGTCAAATTCCACTCTATAAATAATACTCCCTCCGTCCCAGGAACTATTATCAGATACGAGAATTTAGGTAAAATATAATTAGTAAATGATTAAGAAGTGTATTAGTAAAAATAATTATTATTTAGTAAAAATAATTATAGATTAAGATTAAGATAAGTAAATAATTTAATTAAAATTAAGAAAATTATAAAATTTAAAATTTAAAATGCGATTAAAATGCATAATTATATTTTCAAAAATAGAAAGGACAAGTTATATAGGATGGACGAAAATAGAAAATAGAGACAAATTATGTGGGACGGAGAGAGTATTTTTTAGATTAAAAAAATTATAGTTTTTCTATTACTTTGAATTCGACACCACATACAGAAATAAAATAAATAGCGTTAACGACTAAATTAATGCAATTAGTTCTAATCTGATGTTATCACGATTGTATAAATCAAATTACACCAACATAATCTATTATTTTAATTTAAAAGTATATAAAATACATTACCTGTCCACAAACATTAACATTTAGAACGTTCATAAATAATAAACATATTTACTTAATTATTTGATAAGTATGATATATGAACTCTACGATGAGGGAACACACTATACATGTATAAATCTTACAACATAATTGACACTCGTGATACAAAAAAAATATGTACATTGTCGCATAAGGGATGACCTAATATTAAGAGTGTACTTAAGAATGACGCTTGCTGGTTTCTATGGTATAAAATATATATATATATATATTTATTTACACTATTAACTTGCATAAATACAAATTTCTTATATATATATATATATATATATATTTATCGACAAGAAATTGAATTATACCATAAAGTGCTTTGATTAATTATCCACTAATGGCATTTGATAACACATACAATTCCACATTATTAGCATTCTTTTATAAGTGATATTAGACCCAAAGCTATGAATGACTCGATTCTGTTGTTCGTGTTGGTTTTCGATGATAAAAATTTTAATCAGTGACTGTTCAAATGAACAAGAAAAAAACCTCATCAAGCTATCACAGATGAGGTGTTTGAGAAAATTATTGGAACCACGTCAAAGCAAGCATGAGATACGACGACATATAGAGATAATGTGAAGATTACGAACATTGATACGACAATATATGTTTTTAGAGATGAGACCATTTGAGAAAGTCGGTGATTATGTAAGTTGTTATTTTACCTTAACAAATCAAATAAAGACATATGAAGATTAGTTTAGTGAACAAGCTAAGGTGGAAAAAATTAATATTGCAGATATTAACACCAAAATTTCTCTCTAATGTGGATATTATTTGAAATTTCGTAATCGATACATCTCGATGTTTTTTACCACTTTATTGAACGTTGTAATTAGTAAAGTTTTAGTCAATAAATCCATTAAATTCGAAGCCGATGGAATCTTCTAGACATCTACTTTACCCTTCTTTCCGAAAATCATGAGTAGAATAAAAAATTTAATGAAATATATTTCAGTTTATCTCCTTTGATATATATTCTTTTCTTCCAGTGAGCTATATTGTAGTGAAAAACAAATCACTTACAAGATCATTTTTATACAGAGACTAAAATGACAAGGTAATCAGTAACAAAAATAAAATAAAATAATTTTTTTCAAAAAATTAATATTCTATGTGTCCGCTATGTGGCACTTACTTGACGGACACGTGACCTGCCATGCAAGCATCTTCGGCGCCAAAGGATCAAATGTGCAAAATAAATCCACTTTCGAAACTATTTTAGTGCATACTCCAGTTACATGACTAAAATGATAAGAGGGCTATTTATGGGAGTAAAAAAAATAATTTACCCTATTTTTAAATTTTTTATTGTTCAAATTTAAAAAAAATATATGTATAGAACGAGTAATAAAAATAAAATAAAAAATTCTACATGTCCATCTGATAGCGCATACCTAGTGGACATGTGTGCTCTGTCATATCAAGCGATGTTACATGCGCATATCTGGTGCCAAGGCCAATTGTGCAAAAAAAAACCAAAACATTTTTGTACATGCTCCGAACTAAAAACCTAATTTTCTTAAAATATGAATATCACATGTGGCCACCAGATTATGCTTATCTGGCAGGTACATATCCTCCAACGTCCCACGCGTAACTCCGAAGCGGTAGAATCAAATGTCCAAAAAATAAAAAATAAAAAATTATAGAACTATTCAATACAAACTTCAATTACAAAACTATAATAATAACAGTGTCTAGTTACGGAATTTAAAAAATAGATTATTATATCCACTCCAAAAAAAAAATTTGTCCCTTTCTTGTTTTTTCCAATAATTCTTTTATGTGGGTTCCACTACTATTATTATTATTATTATAATACATTCAATTATTATTCTTACTATTATTACTACTATTACTATTATTATTATTATTATTATACATTTAACTGGACCCGTTATCATTTTAGTTTCGTAGGTGGAGTCTGTCGCAAACTAATCCTATAAGTAGAGTTTGTCGCAAACTAGTCCCATAAGTGAAAAATTTTCGCTGTTTTAGTCCTCTGGCGCCGGAGACGCCAGTGTGACTCGCCGGAGGTAACATGTCCGCCAGGTCAGCGACAAGACACGTGGATTTTTTTTTTTATTTCATTTTTTAAAATTTTTTTTAAAACTTATTTTTAATTTATTTTTAATTTTATTTGTATTTTTTTTATTTTTTTATTTGGTCCAATTTAAAAAATTTAAAAAATTTTAAAAAATAAAATAAATAAAATAAATCCACGTGTCCGCCAGGTGTCGCTGACTTGGCGGAACACCTAGTAGACACGTCACCTCCGGCGAGCCACGCGGGCGTCTCCGGCGCCGGAGGACTAAAACAGCGAAATTTCTTCACTTATGAGACTAGTTTGCGACAGACTCCACTTACGAGACTAAAATGATAAGGGGTCCAGTTACTAGACTAAAAGAACAGTTTACCCTTCTTATTATTATTATTATTATTATTATTATTATTATTATTATTATTCTATCCCTTCAATTCTAAGGATTTTATTTACTATTTAACATTCAAATATTTTTATATTTGTATAATTTTTTACACAAATATCATTGTATTAGTATTATAAGACTCTAATATAATATTTTGTCATTTCTCCTTAATTTGTACTTACGTTTTCATATAATAATTAATATTAAAATATCAACACGCAAAAAAATGTAAATGAAACCTTATAGCCACACGAAAATAGTATTATATTTTTGTATGGTAATATTTTAATATCATTATATTTTAAAAATAATACTAATAATAGTTTGTGGTATTTTATATATATAATTATTATTTTGACATTGTAATTTATATTTGATGTATTGATATAAATAAATTCATTTATTTTCATTTTATAACTAATAAAATAAATACCTTCATAGAATTAAATTTAAATTAAACCAAAATTATCGTTCTAGCAATTGTCTTACAAAAATAAATAATTTTTAATATAATTAAAAATAGAAAGAATAATCAATATATAATATTTCGGATTTTATATTATCACTATATATAAATCTCAAATAAAAAAATAACAAATTTAAAAATAAATTTACTTGTATGTTGTATGTTGAATACTATTTCAATTTTTTTTAAAAATAAAAAATAAAAAATTATTGTATCACACAACTATATACTAAAATTAAAATACTTTTAATTTTTATTTAAATTACAAACTTATCATTTCACGTACAATTAGTTAGAATAAAAATGTCAAAACCTCTTACACACCTCCAATAACTAATAAAATATTATTATTTTTTAATATACTACAAAATCCAAAATGACGTATTTGAAATAGCCTGAAGGGAGTACAATTTTCCCATAGTTTATTGATCTCGGAGAAAAAGGTACTAAATAATACGAAACCAAAATCAAACCTTAAATAAACACTCGAGAGATTTTTCCAGCTTAGTTCATTAAACAAAACTTTTGTTCAATTCTTTTTTTATTTTTTTTTTATTTCAAATATTGATTTCCTAATTTATGTTTAAATTGTGCTTAGAATATCACACTATTTTCTTAATTATACTTTATATATAAAAAGAAATTGCTCTATTAACAAACATTATGGGTGTGACTTTCTGCGGATTGAGTTTGGTGTTTTAAGTTTTTTTATTTAAATAATATTTAACGTGATATTATACGATATAACACAGTATATTTTTTTTTGAAAAATATGAAATCCAAATAGTAAAAAATTAAAGGGTAAACTGTTTTTTTAGTTCAGTAACTGGATCCCCTTATCATTTTAGTCACCTAAGCCTGTCGCAAACTAGTCCCATATATGAAAAGTTTTCGCTGTTTTAGTCCTCCGGCGCCAGAGACGCCCGCGTGGCTCGCCGGAGGTGACGTGTCCGCCAGGTGTCTCGCCAGGTCAGTGACACCTGGCGGACACGTGGATTTTTTTTTTTAAATTTTTTTGAATTGGACCAAATAAAAAAATACAAATAAACTTAAAAATAAATTTAAAATAAGTTTTAAAAAAATTTAGAAAAATGAAAAAAAAAATTAAAAATCCACGCGTCCGCCAAGTGTCGCTGACCTGGCGGACACGTCACCTCCGGCGAGCCACGCGGATGTCTCTGGCGCCAGAGGACTAAAACAGCGAAAATTTTTCACTTATGGGACTAGTTTGCGACAGGCTCCACTTACGGGACTAAAATGATAAGGGAGTCCACTTACATGACTAAAAAACAGTTTACCCAAAATTAAATAGAAATCAAGAATAAACACACTCTATAGTTCTAGTAAATAGCCACAAACATAAAATCTAATTCGTTCGACTAAATAATCCAAGGTCTTCTTTAAATTTAAATCATTCAAGTTACCAAACCAATTTATTTTGACAAATAAAAAGTTCGAATAATACAAATTAATTAATTAAGGATAGGCCTCGATGGCAGAGATCAGTGCTGGAATATATTTGATAGTGTATTTTGTGAAGCCAGCAGCTTTTAGAATATCGTCCCATTCCTTTGTATTCCTCTCTTTCCCGTTGATGGTTACGGACAACATTTCGATGTCCATTCCCAAACGAAACTCTTCATATATGTCATCATTATTTTTAAGGTTGTCGCTGATCACGTAGTCCATAATAATCAGTTTTCCCGTCTCCTTCGATATGGCATCTCTGCAATTCTTCAAGATCTTCACACATGCCTCGTCGTCCCAATCATGGAGTACCGACTAGGATCATCAAATATTAGTCATATATATTTGGGCATACTTTGATCAATTGTTTAATATTTTTACATTGTAAATAATTTTCATGTTATAATTTAGAATTATTAGGGATGACAATAGGAAGAGTGTATTGAAAGATACAACCATTATAGTCCACAAATTGAAAAAGTGAAATTTTGAAAAATAGAACAAAGTGAAATTTTGAAAAATAGAACCAACAAAAGTCATCAAAATATATAGTTATAAAAGGGTGTAATTCTTTTTATTTGGTTAGAAAAATTTTAATTTATACTTTAGTATTAGAATAATGTATGACGAGATATTTTTAAAAAAAATATATATATGTTAATCTAAATAATAAAATAAGATAATTTGGTGCAAAGAAACACATTCATATGAAGATATAATATTAATTTCAAAGATGATTAATTTTATACCATTTTAAATATTAAAAATATTATATTTAATTAAATTTTAGTATTTTTTAGACTCATGTCACTGATTACGGAATAAGCTCATAATTTTTATATATTAAAAAATTTTATATTTAGTTGAGTTTTGAAATTTCTAAAGGCACATAACACTGGCCGCATAATGAATTCAAAAATTTTATACTTTTTAAATATTAAAAAGTATACTTCCTCAGTCTGGTTCTAAGGTTATATTTGTAATTTTTTCACAAATATCGTTATAATAGTATTAAAATATACAAACAAAAGTATTTTTGCTATTTTTTCTATCATATTTTTATATAATAATTAATATTCAAATATAACACATAAAATATAAATGAGACCCTTAAAGTCGGACGAGATAGTATATAAATATAAAGCTTCATAACTACGACTCCTAAACACTGGTCATAAAATGAACTCAAAATTTTCAAAGTTTTTTTAAAAAAAAAAAAAAAAAAAAAGATTGATTTCAAGACTATTTCCGAGACAATTAGCCAAAAATTCCGGTTGTGCAAGTGCAAGTAATAATATATGATCGAAAAATTACCATAAGCAAAATCGCGTCACCGCGAGGAATTTCGACAAACATGTCGCCCCCGATGTTCTCGATGCGGCCATCATCACCCCCGTCGGATAGGGCCACGACGTGGGGAAGATCAAAGTTGATGGCTCGGACAATCCACGGGCACGCCTTCACCAACGTACGAAGCGCCGTTCCATTACCACCTCCTACGTCCACCACACAACCGATCCCCTCAAACATGTCCGGATAATTTTCAACCACCATCGATACATACGAGCTAACTACGCTCGCCATAGCCTTGGAGAACAACTCACTAAACTTCGGATTCTCTGCATTATACTTCCAAAGATCTACGCCATGTGCCGTTTCGAAACCATTTAAATTTGGCGTATCCGATGAGATGACCTTGGACAAGCTCAAGTTCGAGGAAACCATCTCGGGACTACTCATGAGTAGGAATAGTGGAGCCATACGATCTTTGGTGAGTTGGCGAGAAAAGGGCGTGTGGGCGTAACCGATCGATGAATCTTGACCGTTCATTTTGACCTCTTTGAAAACGCCGCGTTGAGTCAAAAATCTCATGATGCGGTATAAGAACGGTTGCAAGGCACCCGATGCTTTCGACAGCTCGGCCAATGACACGCTGCCCTTCCCGGGATGGTTCTCGACTATGTCGGGAATCCCGAGCTCGATTACACATCTTAGGACAGTGAATTGTGTGAATTGGAAGAGGCATTTTGTAACATCCCTTACAGCAAGGATCTCTTCATTCTTAGCTTCCATCTCCATTGAAGAACAAGTTTATTTGTAGTAATAGAATTGCTCATTTGCTTTGTTATTTATATAGAAAGAAAAGGACAACTTCTCGTGACTTGGGATCAATTAAACATACATAGTTTTTTTTAATTTCTTGATTTGATCTCTTACCATTCACAAATGATTAATTGACAAAAAGAAAAAGAATTATTTAAACCACCATTTATGATGAATTGTGAAGCTTGATTAAAATCCGAATCTTAGTGAAAGTAGAGTCTGTTTGGGGGTTTGCATTCTAAGTTGAAATTTGAATGGTAAAAAAATTGAATTATAATAGTTGTAGGATGCAATATACATGATTATTGATGCGATATTTTGAATATAAAATTAATATTTAGTATAATATAAAAAATAAAAAATAAATATTTAGTTTGATATTTTTTGAAAAAAATTTCTATGCTAATAGCAAAATAATTTTTAAAGGTGCGTTTGTTTGAAGGATTCCACCTGATATTTATTATTCATCAATTTATTTTTTTTCCAAAACATCAAATCAACTGCATAATTTTTTATTTTTTACATTATATTAAAACTTAATTTTATATTCAAATCATCACATTAACACCTATTTATATTAAGTATTTCAATTCAAAATTTTTGTTGTTCAAATATCAACTTAAAATTCAAACCCCCAAACAAACACATCCCCTGAAGGTGTGTTCGTTTATGAGATTTTACCAAAAATCTTTCGTTTATTATTTTTTTTTCTAAAAATATCAAATTAAATATTTATTTTTTATTTTTATATTATACTATTGAAAAATTAATTTTATATTTAAAACATCTTATCAATACCTATTTATATAACTTTTATACTATTGTTCCAATTTAAATTTTTACTATTCAGATTTCAACTTAAAATCCAAACCCCCAAACAAACACACCTAAGTGTATCACAATTTTATATAGTAAAATTCCGAATTCTAACAAATTGGTGATCGAATTGGATAACCAAATTTTGTTATATGAATGCATTATGCTTTATATATTGCATTATTTATCTTAACAATTGAAAGAAGTCAGTAATTGTCGATTGATTACATTCAAAATTTATGATATATTTACACAATCATATTTTTACTCATTTGATACTGTTTATTTTTTTTAAAAAAAAAAATATCAAATCATATAGAATTTTTTTTTTCACAATTGCAAATTTTTTTACCGTGCCTAACCAATAATTCGCGTTTGGTGGAACGTCATTGTCTGAAATTATTTGATTGTATGGGAAAAAAACATCTAATATCAATTTTAAAAAATTCAATTATTTGATTGTATGGAGAAAAGCATCTAATATCAATAAAAAAATTCTGACAAAAATAAAATAAGGAGGTGGGTGCGTGGGTGGGTGGTGGATGGGTCTAAATATCCTATGAAATTTTCACAAATTATTACTCCCTAAGTCCCTACAATATTTGTTTTTTTCACGGATTTCTAGGTGAATAGTATTAAGTATGATAATTTAAAAATTAGGTGATAATGATAGAGAAAGAAATATATATTTTATGTTTTTATTTGGATGATGTGATGGGATAAAGTGTAGGGTAGAGATTAAATATAATTAATTATTTTCTATTTTAAAAATATTAAAAAATGTTTAGGATATGTAAAAAAAAAAGTATTGCAAAATATTTGGGACAAAAGAAGTATTTTTTTTTCTAAAATTAGGCGCCGATAACGCCAATAAAAAATAAAATTTTATTCTTATACATCGAAGCACAAACTAGAAATCATAAATAATAATAATCCCTTCCCGTCATAATTATAGCCTTATTTGTGCGTTAGACACGAAATTTAAAAAATAATACTTCTTCCGTCCAACTAGAAAGTATACATATTTTTATTTTGGGATGTTCAATTACAAAGTAAACATTTTATTAAATATCTCATTTTTTTAACAAATACCCCTACTTTACATCACATCGTTACTTTTACACCAAAAAGCAAGGACAAAAATATCTTTACACTATTTTTAACTACTCACTATAATTAAAATATTATAATTTTTTAAACAGCGCGTAAAAAATAAATGTATACTTTATGTATAAACGGAACGGAGAAAGTATTATATTAATAATTGATAAAAAAATATGAGTAAATATATATATATATTTTTTGAATATATTAGTATAAAAACAGTTGTATTTGTATAATAATAATAATAATAATAAAATAATTTTTTGGTGTATAAATATTTAAATAAATAAAATTATTATTTTAAGACATATAAAAATAATAAATAAAAGTATTACTATATTAAAACAAAAGGATAAGCAATTGTGTGTGTGTCGTCAAATTTCACGCTATAAATAGTAAAATGTATAGGTCTGCGTGTTACATTGAATTCGGCATCATAAAATAAAATAAAATAAAATAATTAGCGTTAAAATATACGCTATATTAATTCAATCAGACCTCATCCCACGTTATCCACGGCTATACAATCAATATCAAATTCATGAATAAATTAATCAGCGTCGTCTAATTTAAACACATAAAATAAAACATCTGTCCTCTTAACAATGAAAATATTTTATTATTTTTACTTTTTTTTTTAAAATAAAAACTCGTATTCTGTCAAACTAGATGTGGCAAAAATATGAACGGTTCAAAAATTCGATCCGAATCAGGCACGAAAAAATCTTATATAAATCTTAAAAAATAAGCTTAATAATTTTCGGGTCGAATCTAGCCCATAAAGCCCGACTGTTCCTGGCCGGACCGGTTTATTATAATTAATTTTTAAAAATTTAATATATTAGATATGTATATATACATTAACTGGCAAAATAGTGATGCAAATCAAGTCATAGCTTGATGGTAAACTTTTTATTTGAAATTGTACGGTGCTCGAACCTAGCGATTAAGGTCCAATTTTAAATCAGGCCGTGTCGGTCCAACACGCTCCAAAACCAGGTCGGGTCAGCACAAAAAGATATGGACCGGCCGAATTGTCAGGTCTAGGTCAAATGTAGTAGAAAAAATAATTACAATTTGATTATTATATATTAAAAGTAAAGATAGTAAAACTATGGGTAAATAAAATTATTTTTTATCAATAGATTGTACATAAGTTTTAACAAACATATAAAAAAAATCTAGCATTATTATAACAAATGAAGAAAGTGTCAAATTATTTCACATTAATGTACCAAAATATTCATTTCAACACAATTAGTTTGTTATTAATAGAGCCAGCAACAGTAGGTACGATCCAAAAATTCGATGTGAATCCAACGCAGGAAAAACCATGCTTGGATTTAAAAAATATATATGAAAATTCAGTCCATGCCGAACCCAAATCTATAAACTTTAAACTGAAATATTTTAAATTAAATTTTTTTATAAATATATTAATAAGTAAGGTTGTGAAAAAAAAATAAAAAAAAAAGTGTGGTAGCTTAATTAGTAAAGATCTCATTTTTTGGTAGGTTCGATTTATGTGTGTTTTTATAATTAAAAAAAAAAAAAAAAAAAAAAAAAAAAAAAAGAAAGAAAGAAAGAAGAAGAAGAAGAAGAAGATTATTATTACATTATATAATAAATCTTAGGGGAAAAGAATATTAAAAGTTCTAGCCCGGCCCGACTTCAAATCAGGTTGGATTTGGACCTATACCTTTAAATAAGCACGGTTTTGAGCTGGACTAAGCTTGAACAGCATGATTTCAAAATCAAATCGGGCCAGACCCGATCAGAATAATATATTTTATTTGATATAAATAATTATTAATATGACAATTAAAAAATATACTTAATAAATTTAATAAAAATAAATATTCTCTCTATTTAATAAATTTAAGTCATTTTCTTTGTATTTTTATAAAAGAATTGAATAAAATTTGATCGACTAAAAAAATATATAATTTTATAATTTTCAGGAAAAAAATAAATAATCTATGGCACTTTTATATATAAATATATTGTATTGATATTGTATTTTAAGGTTGATGTACAAATGTAGATTAATTTAATTATTTAAATTATAATTATAAATGATTAAAAAATTATATACAACTAAATTTAAATACGATCAAAATTATAATATTAGAATTGTTCTACAAATATAAATATTTTTTTAATATATTAAATTATTAAAGAACAATAAATGTACAATATTTTTATATTATTATTTTATATCACTTTTAAATAAAATAATAAAATTAAATTTATTTGTTTACAATATGTATAATATTCATTCAATTCATTAAAATTAATTTATTTGAATTTGACTAGAGATTAAGAAAAATAAATATTCTATTAAAATAAAATAATATATATAAAAATATGGTCTCAAAATTTTTTAGACCATTTACATAAATTCGTAAAAGTCCGAATCCTTTTAAAGAAAATAATATTCCGAGACCATATAAATTAAAAATAAATTTATAATTTAAATATTTTTTATAGAAAATGCCTGGTTGATGGGATGTGATATCTCTATCACAAATACCTTTTAAATATTTATTATAAATAATTATTTGAATTTGTTTTTTTTTATTTTAAAGATTATAATTTGGTATAAAAATATATAAAAATATAATTATTTTATTATATTTCTGATTATAAATATCTTTATGAATATTATTATTTTATATTTAATTTAACAATTTTCTTTTATATTGTGTTTGTTTGGAGATTAAATTTTAAATATGTTATTCATCCAATTTTTTTCCAAAAATATCAAATCAAATATATATATTTTTTTTATATTATAGTACTAAAAATTAATTTTACATTTGAAACATTATATTAACATTTATTTATATCACATCATACAACTATTTAAATTCAAAATTTTACTATTCAAATATTAACTCAAAATCGCAACCTCCAAACAAACACATCCTAAACAGTCAGTATAGATAATTGTTATTAAAAAAAATAAAAAATTATAAGATTGGTTCACCCACTAATTTTGTTTACAAATTTCGATGAATATGAAAAAATATACATACACACTTACAATTTAAATAATATATATACTTTATATTTTAAAAAATGGTTGATAATTGAAAATAAAATATTATTTATTATCTATATAATTTTATATACTTCACGAGAAACCATCTCAAACTAAAACATTAAATAATTACTCCTATAATTTAGTTTGCACGTTTTCCAAAAGGTTTTAAAAATAAATTTCGATTCATATGATATAATAGTTATTTAATGTAAAATTTAAATACTTTTTTTAAAAAAATATATTAAAGAAAAAATAAATATTTAATACTACCTCGATCTCATAACTAAATATCTATTTATTTTTTGCACGTAATTTTAGAATTATTATTATTATATTTGGATGTAGTAGAAATAAAGTTGAAATGACTAAAATAACCTTATTAGTACGTGTGATATAAAAGTAATGATATTTGTGTAATATATTGTAAGTTGTAAGGGTATTTGTAATGTTACGTAGATACTATAGTTATTGAAAAAAAAAATAGATACTTTTTTATGGAATAAACTAAAATGGAAAAATAATACTTGTTATGTGACGAATGGAGTATCATAATTTGAAAAGAAAAAAATAAAGTGATAAATAGTTAATTATTTTGTTTAATTATTACTCTTACTTTATATTTCATCCGTCCAGGCCCATTGGGGTTTTGTAATAAATTAATAAATAATGATATTTTATTAGTTAGTGGAAGAGTTTAAGAAGTTTGGACATTTTTGCCTTTTAATTTTATGTAAAAAGTAATTATGTAATTTAAGGGTGTGTTTGTTTGGGAGTTTGGATTTTGAGTTAGGATTTGAATAGTAAAAATTTTGAATTTGAATAATTGTATGACGTGATATAAATATGTGTTGATATGATGTTTTGAATGTAAAATTGATTTTTAGTATAATATAAAAAATGAGAAATATGTGTTTGATTTGATATTTTTGGGGGGAAAAAATTGGATGAATAGTATAAATCCAATCCAATCCCCCAAACAAACACACCCTTAAGTAAAAAGTTAAGAGTATTTTTCTATTGGTATATGATTATTTTTACTAAAATAAAAAATAGATACTTTGAAGTGGGACAGACGAAAATAATAAAAAGAATACTGTGAGATGGGACGGATGGAGTATATAGAAAGAAATCACTCCAATCCCGTAAGAGATGGTTTACTGCTGTGGGGTTGCACTTGTGACCGTGAGGTCATGGTTTACACAATACGCACTTTTTGCTAGTTCAAGTGAATTGACACAAACAGAAACTCAAATTCGATTACATAATTGAAACTTCTAACTAAATTTAAATCATCCCATTTATTAAACAAGTTTCTTTTTTTTTTTTTTTTGCGGGAAATGAAAAGATCGAATAATAGGACTCAACTAGGGATAAGCTTCGATGACAGAAACGGGTGCTGGAATGGCTTTTATGGTGTATTTGGTGAAGCCAGCAGATTTTAGAATATCACCCCATTCTTCTACATCCCTCTCTTTCCCATTAATAGTTTGAGCCAACATTTCCATGTCCAGTGCCAAACGATACTCTTCTTTATCGGCGTCGATATTTTTAGGGTCGCCGTGGTTGACCACGTAGTCCATAATAATCACTTTTCCCGTCTCCTTTGGTATAGCATTTATGCAGTTTTTCAAAATCTTCACACATGCTTCGTCGTCCCAGTCATGGAGTACCGACTACGAACATCAAATATTAGTCATATGTATTTTGGCATACATTGATCAATTAGTTTACATTGTAAATAGTTTTTATGTTATAATTTTAAAATTATTAATTTAAGATTCGAAATGGGGTTTTGAGGGAATTTCTTTATCAAATCAATAACCCAACCAGAGTGAAGGGATTTTCTTATCGATTCAACATTATCTCTTTTTTCTTTCTTTTTTTTTTTAACACAGAGGAAAAAAAAAAAAAAAAGATGATGAAAAAAATTAAATGTTTTAAAAAAATTAACAAAATTATATAAAATTTAATATATTTTTACTATAAAAAGAAATAAAATTGAAATGCTAAAAATGTAAATCAATATATGAGCAAATTTTGTTCTATTATTTTTATACTATAAAAATACAAAATTAAGGAAACAAATTATTTAAAAAATATATAATTTTATTATTTTTTACATTAAAAAAAAAAAAAAAAACACACTTTCGGGGCTGAGGTCAGCTAACATTTAGGTCCGTCCATGAACCCAACTGTAAGATTAAAACTTAATCATTCCTCCGTCTACAAATTAATATTTTATTTTCCTATTTAGAATGTCAAATAACTATTGTCTTATAACATTTTTTTTATATATAAAATATATATATTTACTTAAAAACTTGTACAAATATAATTTAGCACAGTAGAATTCAGACAGAGAGAATATTTGTTTAGAGTAACTTACCATAATAAAAATAGCATCGGCGCGCGGAATTTCAACGAACATATCGCCCGCGACGTACTCGATGCGGCCATTATCGCGTCCAGCTGCAGCGGCAACGTTGTGGGGAAGATCGAAATTGATGGCTCGGACAATCCACGGGCACGCCTTCACCAAGGTACGGAGCGTCGTTCCGTTACCACCTCCGACGTCGACAACACAACCGAACCCCTCGAACACGGCCGGGTAGTATTCGAGCATCAACGACACGCGGTCGGTAACGATGCACGCCATTCCCTTGGAGAACAACTCGCCAAACGAAGGATTTGCCGCGCAATACTTCCAAAGATCGACGCCGTGCGCGGCCTCGAAACCGTTCGAATAATCCGTATTCGCCGAGAGGACCTTCGCGAAGCTCAACTTCGACAAAACCATCTCGGGACTACTCACGAGTAGGAATAGCGGAGCCATACGATCCTTTGTGAGTTGTCGAGAAAATGGCGTGTGGGCGTAACCGATCGATGAATCTTGACCGTCGATTTTCACCTCTTTGAAAATGCCGCGATGAGTCAAGAACCTCATGACGCGGCGGAGGAACGTCGGCAAAGCGCCCGATGCTTTTGACAGCTCGCCCAACGACACGCCGCCCTTATTCCCGGGATAGTTCTCGATTATCTCTGGAATACCGAGCTCGATTACACATCTTATGACAGTGAATTCTGTGAATTGGAACAAGGATTTTGTAACATCCCTTACAGCAAGGATTTCTTCCTTCTTAGCTGCCATCGCCATTGAAGGACAAGTTTTTTTGTTGTAATAGAATTGCTCATTTGCTTTGTTGTTTATATAGAAAGGACAGCTATCAATCAAACATATTCAGTTTATTAAGTATTCACAAATTAAATTAATATTCAAAAGATTAAGGCACACACTTATTTATATATGTCTAATTTACTCTCTGTTCTACGTCCCAGTTACCGTCTTCATCTTGCTATTTTTGGATGTCTCACTTATTATGTCGAAATGAATTATATATTTTAATCTCATTTTAATTTTTTTTTATAATTTTTTATTTTAATTAAATTAGTTATCTTAATTTTAATATAAAATTATTTTTAGTATATGATAATTATTGTCATTAATACATTCTTAATTATTTACTAATTATATATCTCCTAAAATTGTGAAACAAGTCAAAAATTGTCCATTTAGATCCAAAATTTAATTTAAATTTTGGTTAAATAAATTTAAATTCGTGACTCTGTTTGGATAAATTGATTTTTAATCTATGGTAAGCTAAATTGTATTAAAAATATAAAATATGATATTTTAAATTAAATATTTAACTTTTTTTTTTTTTACTTTTTGTAATAAGTGTTTAATTTTATTTATTTATATTTTTTTTAAGATATAAAAATTTTTGTAAAAAATATAAAATATTATTTTTAAAAAATCACGATTCAAAAAACTGTTATTAGATAATCTCCAACCTAACCAGTGAGTTGTACCAAAAATGGGTAGGAGGGAGGGCTCCACCCCCAACCCCACATATTTGCAGTAATCAACAGTGTTAACTGTTATTCCATTCCATTTTTTGAGTGGAGTTTTTGTGGTGTTTTTTATATTTTTTTGTATTTTTTAGTGTATTGTGTAATTTTAATTTTTTAGTAGATGATATATAATTTTATATTTTAAAAAGTTGTATGTAATTTTATTTTATTTTTGAAAAATAATGTATAATTTTATTTTTTAAAAGTGATATAATTTTAGTTTTTAAAAAGTAATATATAGTTTTATTTTTTAAATGTTAATTTTTATATATGTAATTTTTAAATAATTTATAAATTACGTGTATGGATCTAATGTAAAAATAAATTAAAGTTGGGTTGTAATTTATAAATATGAAAAGTTATATAAAATAATATAAAAGAGGAATATACAAAAAATATATTTTTAGAGTAAAAAATTGAAGTTTATAGTTGGAATAAAATTACTGTAAATCAACTATATTTTTACTGTAGCAACTGCAAAAATAGAAAAGAATGGTTAAGAGTTTTCAATATTGTGGGCGGGATAGAGGTATGGGCAGGGTTACCGATATTTATTTTACTTTATTTACTTAATTTATTTAAACAATGACTTTTAGTCCAACGCAAATTAATGACCTGCAATTATTTCGTGTATAGTTATTAAATAAGTTCGTGTCGCCCGAAAAGCCAGGGAATCTACCAGTCAAGTTTTTGTGACTTTTAGAGAAAATTAATATATATCTAAATAATATTTAATGATTTTTTAAAAATATATATTTATATCTATATCTATATTTTTTCGAAAAATACAAAATTTAAAGAATAGTTTAAAAAAAAATAAAAAATTGGCAAAAGAAATACACAGTTCATCTCCTAGTTAAATTTCAATAATAATAGTTTTTCTACACCATATAATATCTCATTTTTCTTTTCTTTTCTTCTTTTCAGACCACCTACCATTCAATACTTTTGTCTTTTTGGACGTGGCTATCTTTTTTGTCATTAATTATTTATTATTTGTTTTGTCCATTAAGGGTGTGTTTGTTTGAAGGATTTTGGAAGATTTCTACTATTCATCCAATTTTTTTCCCCCAAAAACATCACATCAAACACCTATTTTTCATTTTTTATATTATACTAAAAATCAATTTTACATTCAAAACATCACATCAAACCCTATTTATATCACATCATACAACTATTCAAATTCAAAATTTTTACTATTCAAATCCCAATCCAAAATCCAAACCCCCAAACAAACACACCCTAAGTTTATTTTTATTTTGTTAGGGTATCCCTTATATTTTTCTAAAATACTAATTTTTGCAAAGTTAAAAAATCAATATTTAACTATTTTCTCCGTCCCAAAAGTAAGTATCAATTTGTTTTTTGCACGTAGTTTTAGAAATATTAGTATTATATTAGGATATAGTATGAATAAAATAGAAATGACTAAAATAACCTTATTGGTATGTGTGATATAAAAGTAATGACATTTGTGTAATATATTGTAAGTTGTAAGAATATTTATAATGTTAAGTAGATAGTACAGTTACAAAAAAAATGAATATTTGTTATGAAACGGATTAAAATGAAAAAAATAAATAAATACTGTTATGGAACGGAAGAAGTATTATTTTTCATTAAACACTTATTTATAACAAATATTACTACCTTTGTTACTTTATTTTTTCACATTTTTTTTAATTCCTAACTAAATCTTCAAAAAAATATTCCTAATTATTTTTTTAATAAAATATTTATAAGACTCAAATACTCTAAATTTACCTAACCGAGTACAAACACACATACAATCCCAATCCATGCCTCTATTTTTTTTTTAAAAAAAATATTAGTAGAAGAAAAACACATGTAAATATAATTCAACAAATAAAATAAAATAAAATAAAAATAAAGAATATGGGACAAGAGGGGTTGGTACACAAATATATTGTGACGACAATATAATAATTAAAAAATATATATTAATAATAATTGCAAAACTAATTCGAAGTTTTGAATTGTATAAATTATAAAAATACTCTAAAAAGTTTGAATTATTAATATAATTACAATATTTTATTTTAAAATCTTTTAGAACAAATACTGAATTAAACATTTGGTCGAACGTCATTGTCTGAAATTATTTAATTGTATGAATAAAAAATCCCATATAAACCAAAAATTTCAGACAAAATAAAATAAGAGGTGGCGGGTCTGATATGAAATATCCAAATAAAATATTATTTACAAAATTAGGCGCCGTGAACACGCTTGCCAAAAATAAAATTTTATTCTTATAACAACGAAGCACAAACAATAAATAATAAATACTTTTTTTGTCGTCCAACTGTGTGTTTATTTGGCAGATTTAAAAAAACAAAAAAAAAAAAAATAGAATCTTTTTTGAAGATAAAAAATAAAATAAAAAAAGATAAATTTATATAACAACAAAATTTGAATAACGGATAAAATAATAAGATATTATTTTGTAATAAAATTAATTTTTTGGTACATTGAGTCCGACTCTTTAATTAAACCAAATCAAATTAATTTAACGTTAAAATTTGCACTACATTAATCCAACTACTCCTAATCCCACGTTATACACGAGGGTATCGTATGTGTATATATAATTTGAAATTAATGAAGATTACTTAATATAAAAATAAAAAAATAAAAAATAAGCTCTTTTTTTAAAAAAAAAAATATATATGCTTCTTTAGTCCTCTATAATATTTTATTAATTAGAGATACAATATTTAAAATAGAATATTTAATTAATAAATAATAATGAGTTATAATACGCCATTCGATTACCGTCCTATTTTTATATTTAAAATGTCCAATAATTACTGTTATCTTTCTATTTTTATACACAAAATTTACTCTTTTACCCTTAATTTATTTACTCTTTCATTTTCTATACACAAAATTAAGGGCAAATTTGTTATTTTATAACAAAAACCCTAATTGCCTAAAAAAAAATAAGTATAAAAATATCAAATAGGACATTAGAAAATAGACGGATGGAGTATTATATTATATTACTCAATTATTATTATTTTTATATAATTAATAATATTGATAGTTTTAAAATGTATTTAATATATGTGATTAAAAAAATTTTAATATGTATTTAAATATTTTAAAAAATTATATCGCAATAAAAAAATAATATGCAATATGAATATTATTTTGTTGAGAATAATTTTTTTTATTTTACAAGTAAAATAAAAAAATATTTTTTATTTATTATAATTAACATAAATTAATTTTATAAAAGATGTGGACTTTTAAATATAAATATATATTTTTTTAGGATAGAGATAAAGATAAAGAAGATTTAAGTAAGTCCTACATGATGTATATAATGTCATATGTTACGTAATTAATTATTTTGATTTATATTTATTAATTATGTTTTGATTTATTAAATTTATCCAAAATAAAAAGAAGTCAATTGTTATGTAAAATCAACAATGAAAAAAGTGTTAATTGTTATAAAACAAAGAGACTATATTTTATATGAGCCACATCCATTATATATTAGTACCTCCGTCCCAGCTACACTGTAAACACGGTATTTTAGAAAGGATGTAATTAGTAGATAATTAAGAATGTATTAGTGAAAATAATTTCCTATAATATAAATAATTATAAATTAAGATTAAAATAACTAATTAGTTTGATTAAAATTAAAAAAAATAAATTAAAAAGCTTAAAATGAGATCAAACTGTGTAATTATTTTTCAAAAACAGAAAGTGACATGGTATGTAGACGGACAAAAACGGCAACGTGGACATGGTAAAGTGACATGGTATGTGGACGGACAAAAACGGCAACGTGGACATGATATGTAGGACGGAGAAAGTATTATATTTTGGGACGTCCAATTACAAAGTAAACATTTCATTAAATACTTTATTTTTTTCCACAAATACCCCTACTTTACATCACATCATTACTTTTACACCAAAAAGCAAGGGCAAAAATATCATTACATTACTTTTAACTACCTACTATAATTAAAATACTATTATTTCTTAAACACCGCGCCAAAAGTAATTGTATACTTTTTTTGTGAACGAATGGAGTATATAATAATTGATACTTTTTTATTTTGGATAAAATCTATTAAATTAAAATATATTTAACAAATATAAATTTAAATTAATTAACTAATGTCATAAATATAGATCTCGTTTAAAATATCTTTATTTATATGTTTCTTTCTTAAAAGAGAACGTAAAATATTTTATCTATATTTAATTTATATATAATTTCAGGTGCACACGGCCCAATAAAAAGA